TTTTATGACACTAGTACAAATAATTATGAGCAGAAAAGTTTGAGTCCTGATGTGAATTTTACGATATCGCTTGCCAGATGTTTTATTGCATTTTACATTCTCGCATTCTCAAACAGTCACCCTTTGAAGAAGAAAGGTACCTGGCTGCCCACGCGCACTGCGTGTTCCCGGTGTCCCCCGCGGACAGCCCTTTGGCTGCACATGCAGACTGCGTATGTCAATAATCTCTCGCGAATAGCCCGGTATTCGCTGTCTTGTTCCCATCTTTAAGGCCTCTTGCCATGAGTCCCCACTCAAGGAGCTTCTGGTCTTAGTTTTCCAATCAGGGCGCGCCGCTTTTCGGCGGCATGATGAATGTGCTGTCTTGTTCCCATCTTTAAGGCCTCTTGCCATGAGTCCCCACTCAAGGAGCTTCTGGTCTTAGTTTTCCAATCAGGGCGCGCTGCTTTTCGGCGGCATGATGAATATGCACGCCCTTTTCCCACTTCCTACGAAATTAGGCTTATTCAATGAGAATATCGAAAGAGTATCTTTGGAAACAAAGCGTGAAGTGGAAGATTGGCCCCTCTCCGGGACTCATCGTGGTGGGGGTGATTTTCGGTCAAGCGTCTTCGCTTGGCTTATGCAAGCAGCGGGCTTCGGGTTGCAACGTATTTTAAGAAATTTTTTCATTCAACTGTTTAGAAATATTTTAATCCTCAAAATATACTCTTGTAAACAAGCTAGCCGGGTTTTGATGATAAGTCTCAAGGGTCTTCATTGTATTCAAAATAATTAAAATAAAACTACGTCTTTAGTACACAAGACAATAAATGGCTGTTTACGAATTCACAGATGTACATACCTTTTCGAGTCTCATACAACCTTGGCTAAACTTTCTTAGTTTATTGTATCCATTCGATAATACTCTTTTATCAGCTGTTGAAAGTTTTTCTAGTAAATATAATTCGAGAGATTTTCTTTTCACTCTCGAACAAAATTAAACTAATTGTTTTAAAAATTTTATAAAATGATCAAATGAATTTATACATTAGGACATTGCGATACTTATAAAAGTAACTTGCTATATTGAATTTAATTATTAGATGCTTTAAGAAATATTTATTCTTGCAATAAGAATTATGCACTTATTTGTTATCATCCTTAAAATTATTTTCTGTATTAGAAATTTGTTGTTTTTAAATAATATCTATTGTAAATTTTATCAGCAAAACATTAATATACCTACGTTAAAAAATTAACTATTTATCGATTAATATAATAAGATTATAATAAATTAGTAGATTAAATGTTGAATAACTTGCTTTTTCAACGCTTTCATTGACTTATAGTGTAATATTAATAATATAATATAATTACTGAATATCATCAAACTATAACTTGGTTTTTAATGAAATTGAAAATCTTAGAGCAATTACATAAAGATAAATTTTCCACGATTAGCTAAAGTTAATTTTTCTTATTCACAGTGATCATTACAGAAATAAATAATCAAATATCCTTCTTATTGAACGAAAATTGAAATGTAAACATATATTTTCTCCTGTTAACATATCATCATTTATAGAAGACTATTACTACTATTAACTCCAGATGATCATGCATTGATGATATTTAAGAAAATTTAATTTGATCCATAAAATTTTTTTTTTCATACTAAACTAATTCATTTATGTGCTAATACCAGGTATTAATAAAATAAAAAAAGAATAAATTGTTATGTTATACGATTTAATATATTAATATGATGTGTAAGAATAAGTATAATTATCGGCAAAATTGATTTAAGCTCAGTTTGTACCTCGATTAATCTAAATTAAATGATAATCGTGCTTAGATATTATTCAATAAAGAATTTTATTCTCATAGTCTCTGATATTTATTATACATCAACTATTCTACGGATTTATTTACCTGAGAATATAAATACCCTTATTTACAAATATTTTGTTGTAACATTATTTTTTTATGTAATAGAAGAGAAAGATCTCATCAATGAAAATTGAAATATATATAATAAGAAATTTATTAAAAATAATTAGTAGTAGTCTTTAAAAAAAATGCTCATAAAATAAAATTGATTACAATATTAATTTTCAAGCTATAATATTTTAAAAAATTTATTATATTCTCAATAAATATTGTTTTGAATAATGTGAAAATTTAAATCAATTGAGAAAAAATTATTTAAATTTTTTTATAAGATTATAGAATTTAATTTATTTCTAAAACATTATTAACTGTAAATTGACAATAGAAGGGTTAAAAAGATATTTTCTATGATTTTCTACCTCAATTTCATGAATTCATACAATATTGTTGGTTTTTGTAAATAAATTTCTATATAAAATCAAGTTTCCATATTAATTTCTGTCATATAATTTTTATATATACAATCAATAATTTTTCTATTTTATTAATGAACTTAATTTCAAAATGATTAAGAATAAAAAATTTCATATTGTTAACCATATCAAGCATTCTTTGACTATTACTGAATACGTAGGATATATATTATATATTATATTCTCTTCCTAATTTTTCGTAAACTTTCTTTTTTATTCCTTTTTTCATATTAGATTTATCAAGTTCTTCCAGTTTGAAAATGTTTGACAATAGTATTTGATAGGATCAATAAATATAATATCAAATTATGAAAAAATTTGAATAACATTTAAAATTAATTCTCAACTTTCCAATATGTCAATAATTATTTGGTAACAAACTATAATTTTCTTGCAATATGTCTGTACTTATAACACATAGCTCATAGAAATAAAATAAATTGTTAAATATATTACTTAACTCATACAAAGCTAATTATGGAAATGCTGTTTTTATATTATTATATATAATTCTTTATATTTTCGCATAATTTATCTTATATTTGTATGGTATATTTTACGGAAATTTGAGAATTAAGAGAATTCGAGAAAATTAAAAAAAAATTTTTTAAATTTTCAAATCTTGTGTAGTTTCTTATAATTTGAAAAATTCACGTCAATTGATTTCGATAAATTTTGCAAATTATCGTTTTTGTAAATAATTATTTTATAACAAAATATAGAGTTTGAAAACAAAAAATATTTTTGTTACAATTTATCGTAATTTTTGTCAACGGTATTATAGTAACTATTTTTGTAGTTTAATTGATTTCTAACCTTAGTCTAATTTAAAATTTATATAGAATTGTATTATGTAATTTAAATAATAAAATAAAAGCATAATAAATTTTATTAAAATTTTTTTATAATAGTTATTTGAATATAATAAATTTTATATTTATATGTTTATCCTTGATAAATATATGGATTTTTAAATCAATACATGAGCAAAACTAGAATTCAGTTTACTCTAATTAATTACTTATATACAAAAATGTTATATATTATAAGTATTTATTAGAATTCAAATTTACATTATAAGATTATAAAAAATCTTAGTTTATATTATCAGGTAAACAACTATTCAAGCTTAGGATTTCAGAAAGTACAGGAAGCTACATTTCTAATTTTGTTGTTATTAAGGATTTTATTATTAAGTCATTATTAACTTAAAGATTATTAAGGAAGCAAACTATTTGTATATCATTTTTTAAAAAGTGGATGATTAATGTTATGGAGTTAATAATTGGATAAAATTTAATTAAAATTTTAATCTAAATGAATGCATTAATCTTAAAATAAATATTTTTGACCATTTCTAATTACAGAACTGTTTTATTACTATAATATAATACATTTCTTAAGATATTTTAATATAATAATATACAATATAGTTTATTATTGAGAACTTGTTTTTAAAAGTCATTAAAATTTCTAATTATGACACAATCAATAATGTACTATAATTATATAAAAAGCAAAAAGTAATACATACTTTTATTAATAACTAAATTGATATACAGCTTTTAATATTCTATACAATTTAAAAATATAATAGATACAAGTATAAAATTAATATTAATAATCAATAAATTAAAAGTTATTTTGTTTTTGTTGATATATTTATAAATTATTAATAAAATTATTTAAAATATTATATTTTTAGTACAAGTATCATGAATATTATTATATTCAAATTAATAATATGAATTATGAATTTTGACGTTTTAAAACCCATCTTTAATGTGAATAAATAATAACACTATACACATATGTTAAAAGCCTATTAAATATAGATTTCAGTTATATATTTAATGTTTTATAAAATGTATTAAAATTTGTACATATTTATATGTATTTCTTTGTACAGATTAGATACATATAAAAAATGAAGATTACAATTTTATATTAACAATGACTAGAAAAAAACACGCACACGCACACAGTTATACACATATAAAAATCAATCGATACCTATTCAACCACCATTAAATATTGTTTTAAACGTTAGTTTTTTATTACGCTTTTGACATTTTTGTTACTGTATTTAAAATTATATAATTATAATAGTATTATATTTGATTAATTATGAAAATATTGGTTTGACTAACATGGAATTTCAGTTATTTTAACCTGAAAAATTTTATATTGAATTTAATCCTAAATTGCTTGTCAAACAAGTTATTTTTCTAAAAAAAAAACATCAATAAAAATATTGTTTTTAATATACTTATGAAAATATAAACTATACATTTTGGTAAAGACAATATAGTGGGGTATAAAATAAAATATTTTATGGGATTCACATAGAAACTTTATGACTATGTATTACTCTTATATGTGCATATGCATATGTACATATGTGATATATATAAAATACAATACGTAAAAAGTATTTAGAAAATCATTACGAATGTTTATTGTTTCTAACAGAAGAATCTTGATGTAATAGTAAGGGCGCACGTTCCTGTCTTAGTTCAGGTAACATTGATAATTCTTCAATCGAATTATATTTCCACATGTTCCGAGTTGCTGCTTCGTGATAACCCAATTTTTGAACCTTCATAAAATATATGTTTAAAATAAACAATAAAAATATATAATAAAATAAATAATAATAAACCATAAGCCTTTTCAAGTAATGATTCTCAGTCATAAATGTGACAAATATTCATGTTTTAATCACAAATATTTTAATCAATTTATTTTAACTAATATCAATATATTTTATCAATTAACTTATAAGAATTAAAATTACTATTCAAGATAACAATTATTCAATAATATGCTTCTTAATGTTCATAAAATATTTTAATGCAGTCACCTTGACTGTTTTAATTCAAGATTAATTTACTTTCTATTCATATTTATTATAATTGCAGATTCTATAAATTCAAATTAAGAAAATCGTGTATTGCAAAAGAAAGAAACAAGGTACAATGGCAATTTTCTGTATAAAAATAACATTAATATGAGAGAAAATAGTATTAAATGTACCATGCGTTTAGTTTGATTAAAGTACCTTAGTTTATGTATTTTAATTTAGTATGCATGTTACAAAGTGTATCTAATAAAAATATTTACCTTTCTATATTTTATTCTTACTAATCGATTTATTAAAACTATTTTAAAATATAGTATAGTTAATATCATTAAAGATTAATAAAAAAGAATTTTATATTTATAGACCATATTAATAAAATATCAAGCAAGACTAATAATGAATTGTAAACCAATGTTTCTAAATTGATATAACCATAATTATTAAATGATATCAAACTTAAATGTTACATAATTAAAAATATCTATATTATTTGAATTAAATAAATAAAAATATATTACATATCACTTACATATAAATTATAATTTATAGAATGTAGTAAAAGAAATTGATCATTCACAAAAAGTATTATCTGATTTAAGAATAATTATATATATTTTTTCGTAAAATTTACTTGCATAGTAAGAACTGCAAACTTGTCACTAAATTACTTTTTAAATAAAAATATATAATTTTGCTGAACTATAGCTTATTTGGCAACATACATTTTTATTTAATTATTAATTTAATTTATTTTATAAAAACGAAATGTAAAAAATTATCTTGGAATGAATATGTAAATTACATAATAGAAATGAGAGCAAATACATTTTATATAATATAGTTACAACAGATTTATGAAAACGGAAATTTAATAATAAAACACTGTCTCTTTTAGATAACAAAATTTCAAAATCCATTAATGACGATATTAGAAACAATAATAAATTAATCATTTTTCGATATAGAATTACTATCCAACTCATGATTGGAATCGGTCGTGAAAGACTTATCAAAAAGAATGTGCTAAAAATTAATCGTTTCAATACTTGAAAATAACATAATTAAATCTTTTGTACTTTATTTACCTTATACCTTTTTGCTATTTAGTAACTCGATTAACCATTTTCAAAAGTGATTTTTGATGTCTTCATAATTATTTATAATATTAAAATTTTACTTGCATCATTAAATTTATAAATAGAAAATAATAAAATACTATTTTCAAGTTCATATGAATTGTTTCAGAACTTACAGATTCATTTAAATTAAATAAATATACATATCTTTATTAGAGTTGTAAAAAACATGTATAAGATATATATTTATACTTGTCTATATTTCTATTCTAAGGAAAATTTCTCTATTTATTTATATAAAGAAAAATTTGATTTTGTATATAATTATATTGCATATAACTGCGCTCTCAAAATTTGTAAATATATCTTACTTGTCTGTGGTGAAGTTCATGAAGATACAATGTAGATAATGACATATCAACAGCTGTTAATTCTAGGGGGGTAGCAGATTCGAAATTTGCATCTTGATATCCAGATCCAATGATAGATGCACTAAAAGATTGATGAGGTGCTCCGAGTATATGTTGTAAACCATAAAGTAAACTTCTTTCACTAATATGCAATGATCCCTCAATTTTATGAACACCTCGTCTAATAGTTTTTGTTAAAATTTCTGATTTGTTTTCATTAATATTTTCAGTAATTATTGAAGCATTCTGAGTATTAATAGATGTATTTGAAGATATTCCTGCTACTTGTTGATTGTAATTACTAATACTTGTGTTTATACTAGGCATAGTTATTTGATTGATCATAGAATTTCTAAGAATATTAGATACTATGTCATTGTACTGTAAATAAAATATTTAATAATAAATAATTATTTTCATTAAATGTTATTACAGTATACATAATTTATAAATATATTCATTTGATTAAAATTTTATTTTAATCATTAAGGACATATTATATACAGTATTATTCTTTAAACCATTATGAAACAGAATCATTTTCTAAAATATTCCATTTTTGATGATTTGCTAGTATATCTAAAAAACACTGTATAAATAATTTCTTTCGTCTGAGTTTATATTTGTCTTGAGAGTAATATATTACAATTTTATAATAAACGTCTAATGTTAATAGAATTACTTTATGGACAGTGAACAAAGTAAGTTATATTTAAAACACTACTTACCAATAAACAATATAGGTTTTTATTGAAGTTTCATTTAAAATTTTTTTGTAATATATACAAAATTTGTAAATCTAACAATAATCAACTCATGTTTAAAGCCGTAGAATCGAGATAAAAGATATAAAATTTTATTTAATAATTCTTTAGTCTCTGACTATATCAAATATATAAATTTTTTTATAAATAAAAATAGTAAAGTATTTATTCGAACGGATAGTTAAATAAATTCTATGCGAAAACCAATAGTAAAATTAATGAACAAATGATTATTTAGCCACATAATAAAACAATGCATACAAATTTAAAAATATTGATTAGTAACACAAAGAAAAAACTTATTTAATAAAATAATTAATAAATTAATAAAATAACAGAAAGAATAAAAATTAAATAATTAAAAAAATATATAGGTACTAGAAAAAAAAAACGTTTTTTTAAACTATGTTCGTTAAAGTTTCGTTAGCAACATAAATTTAAAAAATGTAATTGATTCATTTAAAATTTACAAAAATTTTTTATAATTAAATTATTTTGAATATAAAATTCTCAGACATTTTATATAAAAAATTTTCAATGTATTAATATTCATTTTTCAGTAAAAATAATCAAGACTCATGATTGTTATTAGTAAATGAATAATGTTATAACTCAGGTTTAATGATTGATAGCTTTTTCAACTAACTATTTATATTAATATAGATATAGTCATATAGTCATTTATATAATATAGTATTATAATATAGACAGTAGTTATATAATATAGACATATAAAAAAGCAAATTTAATTGAATGATACTAATATGCAATTTAATAAAAATTTAAATAATAAGAAGAAAAATAAAAATAATGTAATTTAATTTTATGGATAGTTATGTATATATATATATATATACATACATATTATATATATATATTATATAAATAACAAAAATTAATGTTATTTTTACAGATTTAAAATGATTTAATATATAAATACTTATATTAATATAGAATGTTAGATATATTTGAGTTAAACATTTTTGTATACATAAATTTTTGTTACTGAAGCAGTGTAACTCCTTAATGATTAATCTACTTACCTCAGGCCCTAAACTAGATAAACTGGTCAAACTAGTATACAATGGATTAGTATCCGAATAATCGATAGTTATTGCTTCTTTTTTAGCTCTTTCTCGTAAAGCAATAATAAAGTTTTCTGCACAGTTAGGTGGCTTCCAGTGCGGGTTTGTAAGGGTAAAATGTAATAAAGATAGCTCGGTCTTACCATTCTCAGCTTGAGTATATTGATTTGATAATAAAGTAATATTTTTTCCTTTATGTTCAAATTCAAGATTTTCGTATCTTGTAATATCTTGTTCTTTACAAAATGGATTATGAGTAACTGTTTGCCACATTGGGTTACCATGCTTTCTAATATCCATTTGAGCGAAACTACAAACGTCTCCTACCCCGGTTACTTCAACAGTAAAATTGCGATAAAAATCGACTATATCTATTGCTCTATATCTTAATCGGAAGCATAAAATATACGGAGTTAAAATAGGTGATAATAACTCTTCAAATATATGAAAGTTGACTAACTTCCATTTTAGTTGTTTGTGTATGAGCTTGTTTTCTCCAATTATCTGGTCTATAATGCGTATGTGCAAGAATAGCAGTAAGTAAACTTTCAGGGCACCAAACAAGATTTTCATCTGGAACAAGAGATCTGCATATGGCTGCAATGCTTCCCGTTATTGTTATTATCATTAAAACATGTTCTACAGTCAGAAAATCTTCATCGTAAAATGTTATCATAATAAAAATTGTAAAAATACTGCCAGATACGAACGCAATATTTTTTGCAATCACTGTCATTAGTGGAGATGTAAACATGCTCATATATTTAGCGGCTGGACGATATGCTCGATTTAATCGGGCATTTAATTCATGATCAAGTTCATTAAAATGACGCAGATACAGTCTACCATATAAAGACCACATACGAGTTCCAAGAGCTCCAGGTTCTCTTTTTAATAACTAAAAATATGCATAATAACATTGGTTAAATTAATTATTTAAATAAAACATTTATTAATTATAATTTTTTTGCTTATAAATAATTTTCTGTAATTAATATTACTAAAAATAGTCAATATATTTACAATCAATTTTAAATTTAATATATCGCAACTTTTGTCTATTAAAAATAATTGACCTAATTTACAATATTTATTTAAAGGCGATGTTTAAAGAATGTTCATTATAGACAAATGTTATCTATAAATATTACAGATACATTATCTTATAAAAAAGAATTTATTAAATAATTATATTACATTATATTTAATAGATAATAATTAATAAATAATATCTATTAAATTACATTAGTTTTAAAGTTATAATGATATAGTGTAAATGAGTGAAACATAAGGCAGGATGAGTACAAAGAAAAAGGTTTTCATCAAGAATGCATCATTCTTATGTATACATTATATATAGGTAATCAATACATACAATAATTGTGCAACAATTAAGTTAGTTGTAAAATTTACAATAGCTAACAATAATCATATGAATTATTAACCTATTATTAATAAGATGTTTGTTGATAATAATTATTAACATTATTATATATTTTATATTTTACTAATAGATTGTTTTATTATTAAAGATACTCCTTGCAAAACTTGAACTTGCAATTATTAAATATAAATAAATTATTAAATATAAAGTACTAATGAGTGTTAAATTTAAAAATATTATTGGTTCATAAAAGATCTTTATTAACTGAGAGCTCTGGTTATACTATTAAATGTTAGAACATGTATTATATAAATTGATAATATTCAATATGCTTTAATTGCAATGGTTCAAGATGTCAATTTTACATCTAATAATCGGTTATAAATTATGAATTGTAAATATATTATACAAACTAATTTATTATAAAATCTGTTCATTATAATGAATAAGAAATTGTTAATTCATTATATTTACATGTAAAAGACAGTTTTTATAAGATCTTCTTGCAACTTTTACATTTGTCAATTGAATAAAATTGTTTCCCAGATAAATTACTACTGTAGATTTAGGTTTGCAATTCATAAATTGCTTATATTGCTTGACTCTTTTCCTATGATATGATTTTATGAACAAATTGAAATTGATTTTCCTCATTGTTTATAATTATTATATGGCTTAACTAGTCCTATTCTTTCAACAACTTATTATATTTTACATGATCATCAAATTATCTTCTTTAATTTTTCTATAAAAATTTAATGTCTTGAATTTATGTTGTAAATATCATTTTTTATTTTTAATTAATTTAATAAAAACTTTTTATTCTACTATTTTTATATTACTATTTTTATAATAATATTACCATCTCAATATGTATTGAATTCAGAATATTTTTTGTACGATCTTTGTTCAACCAATTAATCAATTTAATAACAAATTTTTTGTGACAAGCAAATAAAACTGAGTAAAATAAAAACAATTTTTTACTAAAGCTGCTCACCTCGCCATAGTTGAAGAAGGAGTACAAAATTTGCCAAAAAAATATTAATGGACTAAGTATAAAATTAGCAATTCCAATCCACAAAATATGTTTGGATAGAGATTTTGCAAGTTCTTGACGTTTATTTAGTTTTTTATAATCTTCTTGCAAATGCCAACTATTCTCAAATGGTGACCAAGGACCCCCTAGAAAACGTTGTGTTTCAAAAACATAATTTTTTTTGTATAAATATTTATGTAATATTAACAAACTTACAAAATAGTAATAGTTCTAAATTATATTTTAATCCTCTGCTCATGAAAATAGCATCACCAAAAAATGGAATTTTTAGTCGTATAGGTAAAAGAGACTTATTAATCATTGCTACTGTATAATTTTTAAATCTCAATATTCTGTGATAGATATCAAGTTCGGTTAATTCTCTTTTATGAATGCACATTTCCTGTTCTTTCTGTACTTCTATAACTCTTTTTTGAACTTCATGCCAAGTTAAGTTATCCAAATCATTATCATTAATTTTTAAAGCAATATTGAAAAAGGATTTAATGTCCCAAAATTGAACAAAATGATAACAAACTTTGATTACTCTTAAAAACCAAAAAATACTTGCTACAAGAATAGATATCCAAGTAATTATACCCATGTTTGCTAAGCATTGTGCTGATGGTAATATAGCATCACTTATTGACCTTTTATCCGTTGTATTTTCTCTATAACATTAATAGTAGTAATAATTATTAGAATTAAATATTTTATATTATGTTAATTATATTATAAACGTAGGTTAATTAGTTTCAATATATTAAATATTCAATATATTACAATACAAACTTACTTGAATAAAATTGAATAATCAATACAGTGAAATAGAAATGTTGAAAAGATTACAACAAAAATAAATTGTCCGAGTTCAAACATTTCTTGAAGCATCATACAGGCAAAGCCATGTTTTTGATGATAATGATACATTCTTGTAAAAAAAGAGTCTAAATCTTCGATATGATTCCATCGTGATTTTCCACTTTCTGGTACAACATGAATCATTATACCTGAATCACACTGAGTTTCATGATCATCTTCGCCTTCATCCTCTGAGAATGAATTTAATTGTTGATAATTGCTATCTAATACCGTCGTCATCTAATTGAAAATAGTTATTATTTAACGAGTATATTATATTGAATTAAATTGAATTAAATAAAACATAAAATTGAAAAAATGCTTAATTACGAAACTAAAAATCATATATATTATTTGGCAATACTATTGCAAAGTACAATATCCCACAATGAGCTTAACATTTAGATTTTTATATCAATATGAAAATTATTGATATTAAAGTGATCTAAAAACAAATTTTTCTCACTTATACAGTGAATATCCATAATATAAAGGAAGTAAAATATATTCCTTTTGGATTCCTAATATTCTTTTGTTTTTACCTATAAAATTTTCATAAAAAACTTATATGAATTTATACTCTATTAAATATATATCATAATCAATTTAAAGTAAAGACTTGGTGTAATTATACAGATTATAAATATGTCTCAAAGTTGATTATAATTATTTTATTCAAGGCTACTTTGATGTTCCTTTACAAAATATATATATTTTATATATATTATATGTATTTTTTTATTATGAGCATCTATTTATGTAATATCCAAATAATAGCACATATAAATATTTTTATTGAGAATTCCAGTGTTTTAATATTTTAATTGATTGTGATTTATTGGTTCATAATAATATGAATTATAATAATATATATAATATAGATTATTAATGAAATTGTATATATATAAAACTTAATAGTTACATACTTTTTAAAAATGTCTCAATAATGAATTAATTATATATTAAATAGCCTTACCAATTATTTATTCATTAGTTCTTATTGATTTATAAATTTTTATTAATAGATTATTTCAATATTAAAACAATACCAATAACTTTTTACTTTAAAGAATATTATACTTACACAAATAATACAGCAACTTAAATTATATTATAAATTTCATTAAAAACAATTTAAGAAAAACGTACTTTATTAAATGCTTGGTGAGTATTATTTTAATATTATCTTATTACTTTATCTAAATTTTAAAAAATCTTACCATTTTTTCTCTGTGGTTTGATTCCACGCAAGTAATGACAATGTCTCGTTTCATTATGTTATATCATTAAATTAACTTATCTATGCTCAATGGCTTTAACGTAAGCATCTAGAAGATTAAGTATTTAAAACATTAAAAACTAATTAATCTAATATGTAAATAAAATTATATATATACAAAAAATTTGATATTACTTGTCAATACAGAATTTCATTACACTATTTGTATTATTTTGCTTGATATACAATGATATACAAGTTATATTATTATTATATTTAGTTTTCTGTTAAAAATAGATAAAAAGTATATATCTTTTTTAATTAATAATGAATACATAATTAAATTGAAATGACAATTGTAATCCAAAATTATTATAGCTAAATTGGTATACAAAAATAATTATATATTCAACGATATTTTAATATATTACTCTGTTTACATTTTTTTCAAATACAGAATGAAAAATGATTATAAACTTTATGCAAATATAAAGAATTAGGGTTTTAAAGAAAACTTCTATTAATAGTTGAAACAATTAAAAATGTATTATACGAAGTAAAATATTTTATTAATTTAATAACCGACCGCATTTTCTTATTCAAAGCTTCTAATATTTAAAATCTAATACTATTACAAAACTAACCTTGATCTCATTCGTATTGTTATTCTGCACACTCAGTTTATTCAAATTTTCTTATTAATTTTAGAAATAAGGAATTACCTTTTTTGTATATAACACGCAGTCTTCTATATTTATAATATTAATAACATTATTCAACAGTTGTATTGCGTTTAATTTACAAAACATACGTAGTGCACATTTTTACCGCATGCGCAATAAAAAATCGAATGAACCTTGAAACTATATTTATATTAAATTTATATAATGTCTATCATATTTTTTTACCCATATAGTAAAAAGACATTACATTTGAAGAAGTGCAATAATAGTATAAGATAATTATCTCTCGATTGAATTGTATGAAATCTTTACTATTTACATTAAACAATATTACTAATGAAAGAAATATAACAGTAGTAATCCTTATAAAAAATTATTTCTTTAATTTGATTTGTTATATTTAAAATTGGAATGACTTAAGACTAAAAATATCTTAATAATTGTACTTCTATTTAGCTATTATGGCTTTTTTAACTAACTCAAACTAACTCATTGTTTTTTTTTAAATATTTATTAACCATAATAATTTATGTAAATTTGTAGCAGTATTAAATCTTCAAATAAATACTAGTTTTTTTATTATTTGAAGTGACATCATAGAAATCGAGATTTGAATTACAATGGAATTAGAAATATTTGATATATTATTAATATATGAATGTGCGACATACGCAAAAAAAACGTAAATATTGATACATATGCAAAGTTTATCTCTAATGAATACTACAGATACAATGATTATAACTTTTAATATACAAATTCATTGACGCTAGATTTTTTAAAAGATATTTAGATTTTGCAATAACTACAAAAACAAGTGTTAATACTGGATATTGTATGAGGTTTTAATATGATGGCAACATATAATGTAATTTTGTGCAATAACAAATATTAAAACGAACACATTTTACAAAATTAATAATACTAGTTTGTTCTGAATAAAATAAAAGTTCTAATCTAAAACTTTTTTTTTATATGTCGTAATTACATATAAGACAAGGAATTAATAAATCGTATTTTATTAATCAGTAATATCCATGAAGAAAAAGTTACTTGTTCAAATATTAAAAAATGTTTTTATTCAATAAATTAAATTATGCAATGAATCCAATTTTTAATATAAAATGTAGGGTTTAGTTAAATATTATTAAAATTTCTAATAATCTTATATGTATGGATAATGATAATTAATTAATACATAAAATAATCATTTCAATAATTAGATGATCGTATAACGTATATTATATTTATGTTAAACGTATTATACAAGGAGAGTTATATTTTATTTAATTATAAAATTTATATAATTATAAAATTTTATTATAAGTTAATTATAAAAAAGAGAGTTACGTATATATAGTAACAATTATTTCAAAAGAAAAAAATATATATCTGAGATATATAGGAGATATATTGGGTATGGATATAAAAAATATACAGGAAAGCGAGATGGAGTGAGTGATGTAGAGATTGGGCGAGAGGGAGGGGGAGAGATAGAGAGAGAGAAAGGAAACATACAAAATCACTTTAATTGAATTATCTATGTAAAGTTATTGAGATATAAACATTTTTCAAATTACATTCTATTTTCTTCCTTTCAATTAACAGTACACAGATATATGTAACAGCTAGGTCTAAACGCAATGTAAGAAAAATGAACATAAAAAAATGATTGAAAATTATAAATTACTTTCAAAAACATAAAAAGGAAATAGGAATATCTTGATACGTAATATATCTGATTAAAAGGGGCTATTAGAATAAGAACATGAATAGTTTACTTTAAATATAGGGTTTGAACAGCATAATTTAGAAAATATTTATATAAAATACAAAAGAAACATTAAGTAATTAAAATGCTGCTAAAAAAATTAAATTGTAAATTTTCAAAATCTGCACAATGCAGCATTCATTATAGTTACAACGAGTTACGGAAATCGACGAAATATAATCAAACTATACACATAATGATTTTGTGTGAATATAAAATCACTTAATTAGAATTTTATTTGAAGGACTTTTGGAACACTATATCTAGCAATGCTAATGAAAATGCTTTTTAATATTTGTATTTAAAAATTCTTTTGCCAAGATAATAATACAAGATAATAATACAATAGATGGAATACAAAGAATCTTTGTAATTTCTAGATTTATAACAATAAGTGCGATTAATTAAGATTATTTAATTATAACAATCATAAAAAAAGACGCTTTTTATAATTCAATGTACTATTTTTTTACTTTATTTTATTTCTTGTCTTTCTATCAGAATTATAGCTATTCTTGTTAACAAATAATATACCAAAGTATATCTTGGAACTATAATTTTATTATTGAATAAAATTGCACATTTTTATTCTAATCAGTTATAGTTTCTATTATATATAGTTCTATTGTTTTTATTACATACCATATTAAAAATTTATACTACAATTTAATTATACATATTAATAATATATCTATTATTATTTAATTTCTTTATACATTTTTTTTAATTTCTATTAATATATATTCATACATTGCTTTTATTTTAATTACTTTTTCAACTTTATTTCAGTAATTAAAAGGAATAAATTTTAGTTAAAAAAAAATAGTTTTCTATATGCATTTTTAGAATATTATAAACTTCATGTGACTGATTTACAAAATCAATAAAAATTTGGTATATTATATAATATATTTAATTATTATTATTATATATATATAATAATAATAATTATTATTATATATATAATAATAATAAGCTTTTAAAAGAAAAGAAAATATAGAAATAAAACGTATTAAATGAATTAATTTTCAGAAAACCATAAATATAATATAAATGTTTTGCATAGTGTTCTTAGTAATATAGAACCTCTTAGATAAAAAGTAAAATAATTTTGATTTTAAATTAAATTAAATGTTAAAATTTTCTACGATTACTATAATTAATACTATAAATATGTAAAATTTTAAAAAAACTAAGAACGCCATAAAAAACATTATATTAAAAAAGTAATATGTAAAAATGTAAAAAAAGCCAATACCAAGTTCTGACATCATAAGTATGTATTTTCGACAAATAAAGGTTTTACATAAATTTTAAAGAATATTTCAATAATAAATGAATATCAAAATCTGCTAAAATTATTTATATAATGCTCCACTACTTCTTCGAAACCATAACTGTAAGTATAGTATATATAAATAAAATCGATTAAATTTAATTGCCTAAATAAAAGAAATTAGTTAAAGATTTAGCATTAAACCTAGACGAAATATGTATTTTTAATTGACTCCTAAATACCGTTCACTAAAATTAAAATAATAAGTATTCATAATTAAACCCGAAAATACAAAATATAACTTTCAAAAGTTTGCAATAAAATCATAATTTTGGGTAATTTAAAGTTAATTTATTTTAGAACGTGATATTAAATGCAACTTAACTTGCTCTTGAAAACCTGATTCAAACTTGTTCTAAATTAAATCTTGTTAAAAGTTGATAAATAAAAAATTATTAAAATATAAAAAAGTATTGTTTTCTATCAAATATTTAAGTATAAATATAAAATAATATTGAATAATTTAAATATTCAATTATTATGTTTAAATAATACAAATAACTTTTACATTAAAGTATTACGATACGCCATGATAAAATTCTAGTTAGAATTAAATGTAAAAGTTTATTGCATTCTAAATTAAGTATAAATTAACAGAAATATTTAATTATAATATTTGCATGAAAACAATTGCGATTGTTTTCTATCAAATATATATTAATAATTATTATATTAAATAGTACTTAGATAGATTTAATGTATTTAGTAAAATACATTTTTTACTTTACATATATTTAAAAAGTATTAAATTTGAAATATGACAAATATATGTTATATTTCATTTGATGAAAGTAACAATATTAAATTTACTATATTTTATTTTGGCACATTATGTGTAATTTGCTAATTATATTTATTTGATAATTAACCTTATAGTAAATATACATGCTTGTTTTAAACAATAAGCTTTTTTTTTATACTTTTGGGTATTGTCCGTTACAGGTAATTAAAAAAATTGGTTAATATGTATTTTTTTATATTCTCTCTCTAGTTTGTAAGTATTTTTAATATATAAGTATTTAATACTTAAGATTAATAAAATACAATAAAATATAGTTTAATATTGTTATTAGTAGTACACTACATATAGATGATTTTTAAATGATTTTCGGCATTGAAGTACATAATTTTCTATCTCTAGAGATTTCGGTAAGATTTAGTTTTTTATAATATATTAAAAGATAATATAAGATAATATAAGATTTATAAAATCGATGATTTAAAACATTATTTATTTGATTTTGCAGCATATCATTTAAATTTTAATATACAAATATTTTGTAATTCAATATTTTTTATATTGGATTAATAAAATATTTCATCCATTTTAATCATTAAATCTTACAATTGTACTGTAGAGCAATTTATATTGATCCGTGAATAATTGTTTTTATAGTTGAACAAATAGAATTAACAATTTTCAAAACGTATAGTCTGTATATTTTGTAAATAGGAAATATTCGATTTCAATTTTTTCTGAAAAATTATAAGGACGCAAATTTAATTAGAACCATAGTTAAATTAAGAAAATTATAATAGTTATTTCTATTTAATTTACAATTTCGGTCACTTAAGACGTAATTGCTTTTAAATTATTACTATTACGCGCTTTGTGAGATAGACATAACCTTTAAAATAATAAATATATGGTGGATGCGCATTATTTAGTTATTCATATTGTTTTATATTTATGTAATTATGAAGGAATATATTAAATTAAAAAAAATTTATGATTTAACTGCTGATCAAAAAGTGATTACCGATTATAAAGCAGAAAGACGTTTAATACTTCGTAATAAATACTTAAAGGAAATTCATAATCCTAATTCCATGCAAAAAGGACATATTGTAAGCAAATATTCTATACCTTGAAATTAATAGTATTGATAATCTAAATTTATTTGAATTTTTGGACGAAATTAAAATTTACAAGTTAAACTCCAAAATATTTAATTATATAACTTTACTACGTTTTGAAAATAAATATATGTGTTAATTTTTAATTATACTTAACTGTTTTTTAAATCAAGAATTAATATATTATTAGTAATTATTTAATTCTTTTAAATTTGAATTTGTATAAGAAAAGGTTTTATTTATAAAATGAGTTAAAATACTTAAAAGCTATTATAAAATTACATCTTATATTATAAATTAGTATAAATAAAGATTTAAATATTGTATATCTATTAAATTTTATGTAAAGATTTATGAAAATGAATATAACCTAAAGTTTTAAACCTATTATATAAACTAGCTATATAAATGATTAAAGTAAGGATAATACAAATGACTACAATTTTATTGTAATCATCATTCTAATCATGTAATTTTTTATTTTTTAATAAGTTAGCATTATGGGTATTATTATATATTTGAGGAACATTTATTATATTATACATTGTTCATATCGCAAAAATTCTATTATTTATTTTTTGTAAAGAAATTTCTTAAATATTAGAACCCGAATCCTTCACTGGAATTCAGTTTGATTTTATATTCCTCTTATTTGTATAAATATAACATTAATTTTATTTGTTAGTTTTTTCGATATCTATTTTATCTTTCCATTTTTTTATTTGTACAGTAAGTTTTTTTTTACTACGAGGAAAGGCTATCGATATTATAAGAATTACTTTACAAACCGATGGAAATTCGAAAAAATTATAAAACTATAACAATTTGCAAGCTTCGTACGTAACTTTTATAAACATTCATACTTAAAACTAGATAGCTTTAACCTATTTTCAATATCGGCTACGGAAAAGAAATTTTAGAATATTGTATTGAAAAATAAGAAGTTCCATAGATAATAACGTCATGAAAAACAGTAAAGTATGAACAATGTTTACTACTTATTGATATATCTGAACAGCTTAGCTATCAAAGAGTATCAAAATGGCCTTCGAAACTATATATAATTTATTCCCCTTCCTTGCATTTTCCACATGTGTACCCGTAGCTTACTAAAATGAATATAGTAACAAGATGAATGACATTTGAAATACGTTTTAAATCATTATTATGAAAGGGGCAAATTAAATACATGTTTGATTTTTGATTCTAATAATTTCTTTGTGACATCATTTTCGGGAAACTTATTGTTAGTTATATTTTTTCAGTCATTTGTCTCTGTAATGGTGATTTCAAATCACAAAAATTTTCTAATATATCTTCTGTATAGTGGTTTAGGTATTAGGGTGTACCCAAATTTTTATATCAAATTAATCATAAATTATTTCTAATTTATTATATACTTAATAAATGTACTGGCTATACTTAGTTCACTTGTTACATATAATTTATTTTATTTGCTTTTTAATTTATATTAATAATTATTTATGTATTATAAATATAAACTATAAATACTATTTAAAATTTGTTAATTTTGATATTGGAAATTATATTATTAAATATATAATTTTATTTATTATAGTAAATAATGATGTTCTTAATTATTACACTACTATAATATATTTTATTGTATATTATTTAATGTATTAAAAATTTTAATTGGACCTTTTCATTTAAAAACAGTAATTCTTACATTTGACTTTATAAGAATATGTTTTGTCATAAATTCTACTCTATTAATTGATTTTAAAAATTAATATTTAAATTAATTTAAAAACATTTTTCTCATACAGTTTGATGAACAATTACATCAGCATTATATGACAATTCCTAAAATGGAAAAATGCTTTAAGCCAAATATTAAAAACTTAATTTGGTGTTTTACTATGACTATTACATGCGCTACTTTACTTGCATCATATTTGAAAAAGTATAGGGTAAGAAAATTTAATTTATTATAATTTATTTATTAATTTTACTTTGAAATATTTGTAATGAATAGTTCTATTTATTATAGTTTTATTAATATTGTTATTTAAAATATGCCTTGTTAAAGATTAAAAATTGATTATTTCTTGTAGGATGAAAAAGAATATAGATTACGAAGTGGACAAGTAAGTTATCGAGATAGAGATATAAAATTTGTATAAAGAAAAAATTGACTTGAATAAAAATAGATAATATATAAATACATATTAACAATGTTATAGAATTATGTATGCATAATTTTGTATTATTTGATTGTGACAAAATAAATGGTTTAATGAAATATTTAGTTCATAATTTATTATTGTTATAGTTTTCAATTTATTTCAATGCTGTTTTTGATTAATTAATTTGCTACTACATGTTAATAATATAGATATAATTATATAATTATAATTATATAAAGTATTAATTATGCATTAATTATATTTAATAATATACAATTATTTGTTTTTATTCATAAAAAGATTAACCTAATTTTTAAAGCAAATTAAATACTAACGATCTTCAAGCTGTTTATCACGTGCAATAACACTATCATCGAATTTGACCATATATGTTGTTCCTTTATGCCAATGAGCTGTTACTTTCGCAAGCTAAAATAGTATTAAATAATTTTCTGTTATACATTTAAAAAGTTTAAAGAAATAAATATATAATTTCAATCAACTATTTTATCTCACAAATCCACAATCGCCCAATACTGCTTCAATTATTCCAGCAACAAATGATGCACAATTTAAATTCCCTTTATCTTTTGGTACTGATACAAATTTATTTACTAATGATTCTTTTTCAATAATATAATATGTTTGCTCATCATCATTTGCATGTTCTAATTTATCAGCTTCACGCCCAAACAATGATTTCCATAAGGTACTCTTAATAAATAATAAGATATTTAATAATTTTATATCTCTTTTACTACCCTTTTCTCGAACTACTAATAAATCTCCCACTCGATGTCCAACTTCAGTTCCCATTTGAGATAATCTAAATTAAATTTAAGAATTGTTTTTACTTTACACTATTGTTACTTATAGCGAACTGGCTTATTCATACCATAGTACTTAAAAATATGAAATTTTCCTTAATTTACATGTAAACATAAATTTTATTATATATTTTATAATTACTTATTCTGCAGTTCGGGTACAGTATATACACGGTTTTGGCAGTATTGAACTAATTCCGAAAAAAGTAGGGCATAACAGCTTATATTAACCTCTCCTTTTCCTTTACTTAAAGATTTATCAAGGATACTTGTACGGGGTCGAATTACTGATATTGTAATACTTGACATTTTTATAATAAATTCTTATTCGTGTTAATAACAACTTTAGATAATGAAACAATTCAATTTTAAACAGAAAAATACACAGATGAAGATAGTATTTTCTGAATATAAAGAAATGCTTACATGTCCAGCAGAAATCTAAATTTAATGATTTCCAGTAATTAAGTACAGTTATTAAATATGTATATATATATATATATAGTAATAAATATCAGCATTTATTTTGTGTTTGCTAAACTTGTTATAATATAAAATACTGCGGTAAAAATTTATTTAGTTACATTAATGTTGAACTATAAAATACAAATATATACATATTAACAAACAAAAATTAAATGAGAAATTTATTTTAAATTGTTATTACTATAAAACAAAAATATATTTACATATAATATATATCTATATATACCAGTGTACCAGTACTTTAATATAATTTCATATTATTTATATTTTTAATTCATAATTAGTAAAATCTTTTTTAAATAAATATTTATTAAACAAGTTAATTAACATTCTTATATTGTATCTAAAATAGCTAAAATTTTAAATACTAAATAAAAAATATCGTTTCGCTCATTCCCTTAATTCTTTTAAATTTAATAACAATTTTTTAATAATTTCATATATGTATTTTCTAAAAACAGATGATAAACTAGTTGAATCATAAATATCTAACTAACATAACTGTTCAATGATTTTAAATGTTGCTTTAAAACAAATTTGAGTTGTTTCACTACAAAATATTTATAGTTTCAATAGTTTCATTATATCGAAGCATTCGATTAGAATTTGAATGTTTATATTAATATATTATACATTTGTAAATGCAATTTGAACATCTGTTATATAATACAGATCTGAAAATTCAAAAACTATTCAATTCTTGTATATAAAAAAAGTAGATTATACTAATGTCAAATTTATGTTTTTTGATTCAACAGAATGATAAATTATAATATTTAGTTTTATTTAATTACATTATTATATAAATTATATAATTTAAATAATTTTTATACCATCGAATATTAATGTCTGATCCTTTCCATTAAAGGATCGATAAAATTTTCAAATTTTAATATATTTTATCGAATTATATATAATTAACTTTATATAATTAATTTATATAATTATATAAATATATTGAAAACATTAAGATTTGACACAAATAATACGTATTATCTTTTATATCTTAAATGGGCTTTTTTAGTAGAGTGATTATAATAAAAATCAAACAGCAAGTTCCAAAATTTAACAATTGTTATAAAATATTTATTTTAGTAATTAATGTTTTTATCCTTTTTCATCATTTAAAATTATACTCATTTAAATTGTAGCAGGTTGGAATTTTATATGAACTCTTAATTACGTCTAGGTATAATAAGCTATTAAAAGAAACTAATACCTTTAATTTTTAATTATATATTTTGAGAGTCCTTACCCATACAAGATATTTACTGGTGCATAATCCGACAATGTCATGATATCCAGTTTAGACTATAAATAAAATACAACTATAACAGTAAACTGAAATACGCAATATTTTAAGAATATTGTTTTTGAATTAATTTAAAGTGGATTCAATATTAAAAGGCTGCTTCTGATAGTAATTAGATGAATCTAAAATTGAATTCTAATGAAAAATAGTTGCGCGTGGAGAGATAAGTAAAATGGTTCATATAACAAAAAACTACTAAATAAAAGCAATCTAATTCTTCTATTATAATCCTTAGTTATGTAGAATCTGCAAAATTATGATATAAAAAACCATAATTTATTTTGTAATAAAGATAATAAAAAGTATATTAACTGGAATTATTCAAAGCTTATAGAATATTCTACTACTAGACACTTAAATACATGCATTAGCATACAAAAGTATTAACGAATTATAAATTTTTTAATTAATATATCGTATATAACAATATTTTTAAAGTAAACAAATAATTAAATAATTTTGATTAATGTAATAGATTATAACAATATTTATGTTTTTTTTAATTCTTAAACATAGTTTGTTTGGAATTTCAGTCACCAAAATGGTCCGAAGAACAAGATGGTTGGATTAGACCGTACCGACGGTTTAATGGCGGAGAGGGGGGATAAGTGAGACGATAATACATCAATTCAGTATAACACAATTGGTTTTAGTGACTTTTATTAAAGGTTATGTTATATTGATAGTTGCTTTTTACCGATCTCATTGGCGATATGAATTGTGGGGACTACCTGGTCAATGTCCTGGTCAAAACCTGTCAATGGTGGCTTCTTGAGCGGTCTGATAAGAATTAAGTTACAGAGGCCTGACCGAGAATGTCGGCGCTGTGTCACAATAATGATGGCATCGCCGGAACTACCAAACAATATCGGCAGCCTGCTCTACAGTCTAATAACCATCAAGATGCAAAGGCCTGGCTGATAAAGTCGGGGATGTGTTGTATCAACAATAAATGATAACTAGATTACTGTTAATGCCAGATTATACCGACGCCCTCAATGCGATCTGACAAGAGTTAAGTTGTGCAGGGCGCACCGATAGCTAGCCAGCAATAATAATAATAATTTAAACAAATGAGTATACCTTGCACGGATTCCCGTAGACAGACGTATAGAACTTTTAACTGTTATGACTTGCACTATTTCACTTTGACTTACTCAACAAGACTTTTTTGCTTCGTCGTCTGTCGCTCTTTATATATGATTTCGTACATTTAGAGTTTTAAATTCTTGGAGATTCTTCCAAATTCTCGGAAAGCAAGTTTTAGTAGATTCGAGAATCTTCTTTTATAGCTATGCGGATACGGTATAAGGCTTTCTCCACCGAGAATTTTCGTAGCAAATAATTCAAATATTGTGAATTATAATTAATTAAATTTTATTGGAATCATATATTAAACAAAGCAATAAATTCTCATTGCTGGGTACTTCAATCCTGAACATAGTTTGTTTAGTGATTATATAATGGATTATAGTTTGCATATTTAGAGAAAAAGAAAGTGATTGTTATTCAAGATCATAAGAAATAATAAAACCTATCATTTCTAATCGTCTAAGATTTACAAGCTTTGTTCTCTTTCAATTTTAAATGGTAGTTGTTGTGCATTTAAAATTACCTACACTTTAGCAAACTTCAATGTGGCTCCTTTTGCTTCTTCAAATCGATATCTGTATAAGGAAATATTTTCGCACACATACAAATATTTATTATTTTACTATCTTAGCTACGTATGTAGTAAACACTTTGTTCGAAAGTTTCTGTATTTGATCCGGTTCGAAGGATCAAATGTATTTAATTTTCTGGCTCGAACTGCCAAGTTCAATAGTTCAGTTTATTTGTCGCCCGCCTTAGCCTCGAATAATGTTTCAATTCGGAATACACTCGAATACACTCTTTCCTTACAAATTTAAGTTTTATTAAAATAAATATTAATATTATTATAATTATTCATTATTTATAATCAATTTTGATTATATATTTTATTTTTTTTAGAAGTATTTCAGCCAAACTATAAACTGTTCAGAATGAAAGAGCGTGGATTCCATAACAAAATAATAAGTAAATAAATTTTCTTTTACTATATATAAAAATATTATAAAAAAATATAAATACTAAAGAGTGGAAAGTTGAAAAGGAAACGAAGATTAAAATCATATAAAATTACTTATAATATCTAAGTATTTGAATTATTGTAACTAAGTCACTATTAATGACTGATGGTGTATGATGGTCGTCTTACCAAAATGGTTTTATATTTTAACTTTTCTAAGGTTAAAATGTAAAAGTAGTTTTATTATTATTAATTATAACTTATGTAATTAAATCGATAAAACAAATGTGACAATATTAATTATTTTTAGATACACTAGGTATATTTGATTTAATTGACATACATCTTATAAATCTTTTCCAATAATATTTAAAGATAAGGTATTGAAATCTAATAAATAAAATTAGAGCTACACTTTCGGTTAAGGTTTAAAATTAAAAATTTTTCAATTTGATAAAATAATTTCTGAGTAAATCAGTTAATAATAAAAATCTGAATCAAATATTACGCGAAAACTAGTAACAATAACAGCAAAAATATAGTAGTAAAAGCTAATAAAAAGTGTTAGCATGAATTATTAATGAACACATGACTGCTACTTTGAATGAATTTTTATCGAGTTTTTATATATTTAATGCTTGATTTGAACATTGCTGATGAACTATTTATTACATTGAATTAATTATTTAAATGATTTAAAATTTAATGTGGCTCTACCTTCTTATTGTAAAATTGATTATATATCATTTATGTACCAATGATTTCAATAATTGCATGAACTTAAATCATTTTAAAAAATTAATAAGAATATGATTAAATTTGTTTAGAATTAACTAAAAGATCACTAGAAGTTATGTGAGAAAAATGCGTGGGCAAGTGGAGGGGTTAGTGCATTGATTCAGTGCATTGATTCTGTTTATTCTGTATATTTTCCAAATACAGATATGATTATTTTTTATGATGTGTGTGAATGAATTCTTGTTGTTCTGGTGTGTTTCTCATGTGGAGATATTGTCCACTTCGGTTGAAGGTAAGAAGTTCTAATCCTCGTGACGTGGTGCTCTTGATGGTAGGTTACCCTGGAAAAAGGAAAGGTTGTAAAGCTCTTCCCACTTGAGGAAACTGTAACTGCGTCTTGCTCTCAGGCACAAATTGTAGTTCCTTTGCGTGTGAGTCGTGCACATTGGCACGAGCTTCAAATCCCTCTAACTAAATCAGTCATACGTGTAGGCATCAGCCTTGAAATAGAGGTTAGAAATGATGCAGAGTTATACTGAATGGCGGTAAGTAGGCATCATGCGGAAGGCGCATGAGCGAAAGAAAGGATTTACACGGAAATTACACTAATGGTGTGAATCTCCTTGGGCATTAACTGGCGACTGGACAGACCGTGTGACTGGTGGCGTAAAACACGGTAAATTGAAAATACTAGTTATGAAACTTTACTTCGGACTCAGCTGATTAACTGTTCCCTTTCCTTTCTTCTAGAGGACTTCAAAGTGAGTGTTTTAATCTAATGATTGTCCATCTTAAATAGTTCACTCACCCTGGATCCACTTGGGATCCTTTCTCTTTCTTTTATCCAATCAGAAAGCTTGCCTATTAATGGGCGAGAACAACTCCTCGTCGTAGTCTTCTGTCAAGAAACTCATTCTTTTCATTGCTCTCGAGCTAAGAAGAACTCTTCATTCAATCGCTAGTGGCGGCTCTGGCGGACTGAGGCTTGAAAAAAGAGGTGGAGCAATACGTGCCGAAAGGTTTTAACGTTGGGCAAAGTGACCGTCTTGGGAAAGCCTAAGCCTGACTTTCCAGATGTTTAATAATGTTTTCATGCTAGATATTTAATGACAGTCCGACCAGATGTTTAATGAGCAGAAATTTTCAGAAGATTAATGACAATTTAACGATGTTGTTTTCCCAGATGTTTTATGGCATTGGAAAAAGTTCTCACAATCTCGAACAAAATTAGACATGGTGATTATATAATAAAAATGTATATTAAGTATATTATGTATATATTGTGTATTTTAACAATTATATACCGTAAGCGTGTATAAATACACGTTTTCAATTTTTTAATTACTTCTTATAAGTTTAATAATATTATGGTCATTATTATTGTTACCATACTAAAATAAGAGATATAGAACATGTATATTCGTATCATAGCAAAACATTTTTTTTTAATATTATTAATATCTAATATGTATATAGTCGGATTGTACAGCAAATAGAAAACGTTAATAATAATATATTTATAATATAATATAAAAGTAGAATATATTCACTTCATAATTTATTTAAATAAACAATTTTATTAATTATATTATTGTAAATAAAAATTTGTGTTATATAAAATTAATATTGCATTAATTTTTATATTAAATAATAAACTATTGATTATTATAAATTATTCTATTTGGAAATTATAATTGTTTAAGCATCAAATTTTATAAATATTGATTAAATAGAAATTTAGAATATATTAATAAATAATATATTTAAAGAAAAAATAAGAAAAGATTCAATAATATATACTAAATAATTTTATTATATATCACAAGATCTATTAAAAATAACCAAATTTACATTTATAAATTCTAGCATTTCAAATATTAATCTTATGTTCTAACATATATTATTAATTTCAGTATAAGAATTCGATTGCTTTATACAGATACTATTCTTTGTATGAAAAACAACTTTCTACGATCTAATAGATCTTTTAAACAATCGAAATTTGTTAATATAGATGGAATTTTGAAATTATCGTCCCTTGTCAGAGGTACTTTGATCATTATAAAATATGGATTCTTTAATTTTTTTATTTGATAATTAGATGAATGGTAAATTTCAGTTGTGATTGAAGATTTGGGATAATATGGATCATTATCTATATTATTGGATACAAAATAAACAGTTGTCATTTTGGATAATCCTCTTACACTTGCATCTGTGGACTTATTTAATGAATTTTTAAGCACATTCCAAGTATTGTGAGTTCTATTATTTTTAATAAACTTCTGTGTTGATGTATAAGTATAATTATCTTTATCAAATCTGAAATTGGATCTTGTATTTATAGATGAATTAGAGTTTGAAATCGATGGTTTAAAAATATTCACAGGCTTTTTTGAATATATATTTGAATTTGAATTTATACCAAATTCTTTAGGTTTTATCATATTCATTATCGTTTCTATTGGAATGGTAATATTCTTTAAAGATAAATTTGATTCAAAAATATTGTTGTTTTTAACTTTCAATTGATCGAAAATATCTATTTGAAAATAAGAATCGTTTTTCTTGAAAAAATTAGAGAGGTCTTCCTGAAAACAAATTTTATTGAATTATAATTAGGAAAAAAATTTTAATTTAATGAAACATTGTAATTTCTTACATATGATGGTAACAAGAAAGGTGAATAACTATGAATTTTTTAAATTTTTGACTTTTTAAATGATTCGATTGGTAAATGGCGACCAATTAAAAATATACTTTTTGTACTGGCTGCCTTTAAATTGTTCAGTGGAAATTTATAAGATGAAATATTAGCAAATATATTATCGTTATAATTCATTGGTGTTATTTTATTTCCGGTAGAAATGTTCTTGAATTCTTATACACTGTAATATATATATAAATATATATTTGTAATAACTACGAATATTTTTAATTATTACAATGTGGAAAATTATCATTTTTAAATACAATTAAATTACTAAAAAAATAACATTCTAATAATAAACATTTTCAAATTATTCAAGAATCTTATATTATTTAAATGTGTTAAATGTAAAACCAATTTGAATATGATTAAATTATTTATAATATTAGATGTTAATATTTCTTAATTCTCGATTAAAATAATAACATGTTCATTAGATAAAAATTTATGACTATATGTTGTTCTAATTTATTCGAGAAAACTGAATATTTAGTTGTTTTTAAAATTAATTATATGTTAAGATATAATTAGTTTAATAGAACTGTTTTTCATTTAATGCTATATAATACTAATGCAACGTATACAGATATTTAGTAAGCCACGTAGAAATTTCATAAAGTTTGAGTGCTGTTTAATTCGATTTCTTCCAAAATGAATTTGTCATCAAAGCTTTTTTTAATTATTATTTAGATTCTATCTTAAAGTATTCACATATTATTTAAATTTCTAGATTTTCTGACACAAATTTGCTACGTAGTTCTTAGATATTATGATTAATTTTAGTGTTAAATTATCATTTAATTTCTGGTAGTGTCATTTACTGCATGATTAAAACTTGTAATAATGATTTGCTGAGATATAAAGAACCATCAATTTAGCCACAAGAATATAAATTTTTTTAAATCTTTTATCTTTATAATTCATATTCCAAAATCACACTCACTATTAATTCAATTACATAAGGTATCATATATACTAAAAGATATTTTTGTCTTTAAAATATAATATTTCGATTATGTCGACGAAAGTTTCATAAACAAATGATATTAATTTACCAAAGTTCTCAGAATAGGGGATCAATTTGTATAATAAATTGCCCGATTAAGCAAATATTATTAATATTTTAAGTAATTTATTTAATTTTTTTAAATGTAATATTGTATTTTTATATTCTATGACTGGTTACATTATGACTGGTTCTTTAAAATATTTTGAAACAATTACACTCAATAGCAAATTAATTCTAATTTATATTAAGACAATTTGCACAATAAATGAAACGTATTTTAGTATTTACGCATAAAAATTGTTTAAAATATATATATACATATATTTATCAAGCCTCTATATATGTTAGCATTAAATATATTTCGTTGAATGAATTCTAATTAAACGTTAAACAATTTTCTTAGATTAAAACAATGTTACTCAAAAATAATTGTAACTTCAATTTGATTTTCTTGTTAATCATTTAATAATAAACAAAGAAATAAATAAATCTAAATAAATAAATCTAAATAATAAACAAAGAAGTTTAAGAATATAAACATTCTTAAATGCTATCTCTTAAATGTTATCATTTGGGGAAAATCCCAACGGCTATTATTTCGAGGAAATACCGCAATGGTTATCATTCGGGGAAATTATTGAACGGTCATAACTTCTAAGAAAATTCTGCATCAATCGTTGAAGGTTCGGAAAAGCCGGTACCTCCGAAATAATACAAGTACATAATCACCTCCATTGTTTCTCGCTCCACAGTCTTCTTCTAGCACTATGATCAGCCCTTTGTTCTCGGCTAACAAAGCAGCCGCATAGATATTTAAGGCAAGCGCGCCAAGCGATAAGCGATAGTCAGTAATAAACTAGTCGAGTAAGACGCCAATCAGCCAAGAATTATTCGGCCAAGCCGAGTCACTCGAACACACATTCTCAACAGAGGCGTTACGAAAGGTACACTCAAGAGTTTCATACTAAGCAGAGTCTCAAGCATACTAGTGAGTTTAGCACAAGGCCATGTAAGGCCTTCTCATACTAGGTGCAGCCATTGCACACACTCTCAGCAGAGCCGCTACTGAAGGCATTTCACATCCTTCCATACCACAAGACGTTATCGCCACGTGGCACTACCGAAGAAGTGTCATGAGATTTACGACCTCTCACTTCTCATTGTAGTACATCACCATCAAGCACACTCCATCAAGAAGATCCGGAGATTTACGATTTCCTACCATTACAAGTAGTGCATATTGACACCACGTGGCAACAACCAAGAAACTGTAAGATCTCAACGTTCTCACGAAAAAAGAATCATTATATTGTAGTTGTAAAATAACCGAAATATCAAGCACGAAAAGCAGATGTGTCAAATACAGAGTTGAATCCCTACCTCTTCCATTCTACCACACCTTTCTCTCACCAGACAACTGGTGGCTATATTCTAATAATAAATATTATTTATCAACAAAATAATATATATGATATTATTTAAATGACGGAATATTTCCAAGATATTAAAAATATGTATAAACATAAAAATAAATTTTATATATATGAAAGATAGTAGAAAAATAACTTAAGTGTTCTGATAAATAATAAGATAAACTTCAATTTAAGTAATAAATGCCCCAAAATTGTTTTATTTGGGATATTTATTTATACATACTTTAACATACTGTTTAGGATTGAACTACTCCACAATGAAAAATTTATTGTTTATTATAATATGATTCCGATACATTATATCTATATTAAAGCGTAATATTTGAATTATTCGTTACGAAAATTCTGGATATAATTTATGAGTATGGAGAAATAAATTAGTAAAGACGTACTTTAATATGTTCTCAACGTTCATCCGACAGTTTATACGATAAGCATGATCACAAATCGTTGCATCTTGACGAAAAGCTGTATTTTCTGGACAGTAACGAATAAAATTATTGCCATGATTATAGCAAGTATGATATGCACGACAATTCGTTTCTACATCTGCATAGTAACCCATTTTTCGATCTGAACAGTTAAAGTATGACAAAACTTGCATTCAAAATAATTGTTGACAAAAGTATTGTATTCCATCAACAATTTTATAATTTCATTTTTTGATTAATTTGAAATCATTTAAATAATTAATAATTTAATTTTCGTAATTATATTTGAATATTTTATTATATAAGTATATTAATAAAAATATATTGCTAGATACATTAAAATAATTGAAAAATATATGCATTATTTTATTTTTTTAAAACAAATATAATAAATATATACATTTATTTAATATATAATTAAAATATAATTTCATTCATCAATTAAAAAACATATTTTAATTGTACGATTTATATTTTAATCTCATCAAATTTTGATTTGTAAAGTAAAATTATATTCTGTGAATACCAATTTTATGAAATTTATAAATTATTTAAGCCATAAATTATATTATAAGCACTAATTTAAGAAGAATATTGAAAAAAGATAAATAAAACAAAATTTTATGCATAATATTTGGTAATTAGTTGCACTTTTTCTTTAAAAATATATTTTTGAACCTTTAAAAAATAAATTTATTATAAAAAAAATTTCTATTAAAATATCCTAAAAAATTAATTGAACACAGAAAAAATACAAATAGATATATTTTTATTAATTTCTTATATACACTTATCCATATTTGAACGATTTCTAACTCTCTAACGGTAATCTTTACGGTTTACGCTAACTAGCGAGTATTTCATACTAGTATCTTTGATCCCTTCTTGAAATAGATTCTTTATAATAGTTTTTAAATTTATTTTTAAGTTATTTAAAAAAATTTTCCATTATCATAAATATGAAGATATTCTATTGTATTTATTTTAATGATTGAATAGAATTGTGAAACAGTGTCGAATATTCATAAAAGACACTTCATTTGATCTTTTTATTTCCTTTTTTTTGATAATTTTTATATTATCATATTCAAATAATTTAATCGAGGAAACTATTTGTCTATAATTCTATGTGATTTTATCCAGATTATCTTTAGAATTGTCTTTAGAAATTGTACATTAAGCATTGACACAAATAAAAATAAATTCAAAATAAATTATAGCTCAAGAATATTCTCTCGAAACACTCACTTTGTTCTCATCAGTTCTGTATCAATTAATCAATGAAAATTAAGTTTAAACGAAATCGCCAGCTTTGTGAAAGAATATCAAAGTAATTTACAGTGAATTTTTTGTTTAATGTACATATTTTTAGCCATTCATATAATATATAGTACAATAAAATGTATCAATAAGCAAATATCTATTGAAATAAGGACTACTTTTTTTTATTACACTAATGTTATATACCATTTATTATACATTATATTATCAAAATGTATTAAATAATACTATTTTAGCTTTATAATATTGATTACACATATTTCTAAATCATAAAAAGAATAATATTATAGTTATAAGAATAATATTATAGAATAATAATATATCATATAACTAATATGTAAAAATTAAAATGTACAATTTTTTAAATAAAAACTCTTGGTCAATCATCAGCGATTAAAAGTAATTCAAATTTACAAGATCAGTAAAATAAAAATTTGTTTTAATCATGCGAACAATATTTAATTTTTTACAAATTTATTAAAAATATTTCTCCTAGTATAATCAAATTATATATATTAATATATTACGAAAATTGTTATCAAGCATACAGATATAATAGATATTTAAATTAAAATAGAATATTAGCTTAATAATAAATATTTGAATTATTCGAAACTTCCAATTAAGATAGAAAAATATTTTAAATAATCAACATATTAAAAAAAAAAGTTACTTACGTAGGATATCTTGACTGTTGCCATTATAATTATAAATACCATAAACATCATATATTTTATTATCTAAGGTTTAGATAAAATTTTAGAAAATTCAATTTTATTTTATTTTATTTTACACTCTGATGAAATGTAAATATTTAATTGATAGACAGATTAGCTAATAATTCTATATATGAAGTTGCACGACCTTAGAATCTTATGTGCACTAGCTTCTTAGAAATATATATTCCACTATTGACCTACTAAATGAGAGAAATGAAAGTGAAGGGCATGGAATATCAAGTTATTTAGGAATACCATCTTTTTGTATTATAAATCGGTTGTGTTACTTACTCGGTTGTAATACTTGTGTTTTTTATCGTTATTTATTTATTTTATATCATTATTTTTTGTAGGCTCTATTAAGTTATATTAGAAATAGGTTTTCTAAATAAATAATACTCATTATAAAAGTGTCAGTCATCATTAAATTAATTAATCATTAAATAAATCATATGGAAGCGTATTAATGAATTATTAATTAAAATAATTTATTAATTTTTGTTTATTTATTAAATATTCACTGGATTTATTTTTGATTTAAAGTAGACCATTTCTTTTGATTTAAAATAAATTATTGATTTTTATATCAAGGAGTGTTATAATTTACTTTATGTTGCATCAAATTTTATCAATTTTTTATTTAAAAATATTGTCTGATTAATTAATAAATTTATTAATTAAATAATAAAAGTATTATAATCATTAATAAGATAAAAAGAAAATTAAATTTAGAATATTGTGTAACAGATTTTATTTACATCATGTAGATTTAAGTAATAGAATATGAATATTTAGAAAATACAGATCAATATTTGATTATTAAAAATCATATATAAAAAAGTTTGAATGAAGTAATTGTGAGTAATAATACTTCAAAAGTTACATAAATATTCTGTATGAAGTAATTGTATGGAACTATTAAAAAAATTATTTTAAATCCTTAGAAAAGAATAAAGAATTATACATAGAACAATAAATATTATTTAATATTAAAAAAACTCAGGTATTACAATACAAATTTTCCATAATTTTTAAATTAACAATGTATATATACAGACAATATAAACATCTATGTGCATATCAATGGATGTTATTAAAATTGAATATAACATGTTACTTAAATAAAGTGGAATTTTTTTAGTGTTTTCTTCCTAGTATATTACTTAATTTTCACATGAATTTTGCATACATTAAAAAAAAATTAGTCTCATTATTACAGTAATTTTATATGATTAATTTTATAATTTAGTTAATTAAAATTAATGTTTTATTTAAATATTTTTATTATATAAAAAATGTTGCCCTAAATCAAAATTTATCTTTGCGATGTTAATTATTCTTAGTCTATATATTATAACTGAACTATTGCAACATAATATTATACCTGTGAATTTAATGACCTATATATCTAGTATGAAGTTTTTATTTTAAATTTTCTTACGAAGATAGTATGAGATTAAAATATGATATTCACATTGATAAAGCAGTAGTGTAGATAAAAAATTACGTCACAAATAATATAATTAGAAAAATATTTATAAAATACTAATAGAATAGATAAGAAAGTTGTTATTAAGATTATTAAGAATAAGTAGAAAAGATAGCACATATTTATCATTTAAAAATATTAAAGTTATCACCATGCTTATAAAATTACACTTGATAAACTAGCATTGACAGTATTAAATAAAGAATTCAAACAATGAAATATTATGCTATTCAGCTTGCATCCAGTCCTTTTTTTTCTAATGGTTTAAAGATCACATTGTTACCTTGTCGAACCTTCTAGTATAAGAATATAATATAGAAAATGAAATTATAAATTATTTTTGAAAGATTATCGTATAGCTGACTGGGAATTTCAACGATTTACCTACTTGAAGCATGAAAGTATTAAATATTTTTTTAGATAATTTTCAAAAATATAAAGAATTATGTAATTTTCCATGTTTTGATATTACTTAAGAACAAGGGGCATTAAGCAAATTATTACACATTTTAATTGCAATATAAAAAAAGTCTGCAATTAGAAATGAATCAAATTAAATAAACCAAGAAAAATTTTTTTTTAAAATCAGTGAAAAGGAGGTTAGATAATGACTAGTCAGTCTTTCTCTATTCATTTAAAAAATTGTTTCCAAATTATTTTTTCATTAACAAACAATTTTATACATAATGTTAGATTAAACAAGATATATATATATATATACATTGTAATTAAGTGTATAAGATGATAATTCATAATATCAATTTGAATGACACTTCCAAATACAATTTATAAATATTAAACCAAAATAAATAACACGTTGTAATCAATTTAATTATGACTGAATTGTACAATGCATAAACAATTTTGCACATACTTTATTATAAACTAGTAAATAATTTAAAATGAAAACAGACATTATATAATTTAATTATATAAATTATGTACTGTAATGAGCATTCGTTTTTTGAAAATCAAATGATTCTATATTCATGAATACATTGAACATGTTTAATGAATGATTTACATTAATTTAGTAAATAAAATTAAAGAAATTTAAAATAGTGAATATAGAATAAAAATCCTCTTCTCAAAAGAAAATGAACTGAAAATTGAATACATTACAATTTAAGGTGACATTTGAAGTTAAAGAATGACGGGGTAGAATTCAAATTAAAAAGCTAATGAAAGATATTTGTCCAATCAAATTGATAAAAATTTTTGATAGCATAATAATAGATATTGTAATAATTTATTAAACCTAAAAATTAATTTATTACAAGAAAAGAATTTTTCATTTGATCATTTGATTACATAATAATTTGTAAATAATACAAAAATTCATGATATTTATAAAAAATGTATCAATACACATTATGCTGTTTTTATTCACAAAATAAATATTTATTATCTTTACTATGTTTCCTTGTATTTCTTACTATAGTCAATTTATATGATTTATTTTATATCACATACAAGTATAGTTTTCTTCCTACACTATCTGTTTTGACATTTTACTATTTCTTTTATACTTCTAACAACTGAAATCCTTTTCCATAAACACAAAAAAGATGTGTATTTGGTCTGCAAAATAAATGTTTTTTTTTTAATTAAACATCAGAAATAATATGAAGTAATAAGCAAATGAAATGACTCATATTATTAATATGTACAATTATTTCAAACATATATTAAGTCTTAATATAAATGTATATAAAAATATAATTTACTTTTGATTTACACATAAAATAATGCCCTGAACATCTGATATGCACAAGTTTATTTCTTTCAGAAACATTGCACATATCTTTGAATTATTATATGAATATTTATGTACTGCAAGTTTTTGATCTCTTCCAACACTAATAATTCTGTTGTGCAGTAATATTATACCTGAAAATAAAATTTTAATTTAAATCATTTATAAGAATTTTTTTAATTGAATTAAAATAATACCTGTAATTTGAGCAGAATGAATAGAAATAGTTCCCCAAGAAGAAACTACATGAATTGACAAAACTTCATTATGTTGAAAAATAATCTTAAATATTAATAGATTAAGTAGGTTATCATCTCCACCTGTAGCCAATATATACTCATAATTATTTAATATTTTAATATCAAAACTATTAATTCCAGATTGATGTAAACTGAGATCGTGTTTCCCATCAATTGTTACATTTTTTATCTCGAATATATCATTTGTAGAAATGACGTTCCATATATTTAATAATCCATCAGTTGCCATGGTTATTAATAAGATATTATCTTGATTAATAAATGAGTGAACTTTTAAAATACACCTGTTTTTATTCATTAAAGTATTGATTAATTTGATTTGATTTGTTTGAATGCTGTAACTGAAGGACCTACAAAATATGTTATAAGTTAGTTAAATTGTCACATAAATTTTAAATATTTACCAATACATAGTTTCTCAATGTGCTATCTATAAGAACATGCTTATTACATTGCATAAGTGATAATTAATAATTGCTAATAATGATATAAAATATTAAATGCTATTTAATGAGGAAGGCAGAATATAAGAATAGTTTATAATTTAGAAATAGCAATCCAAATATAAAGCTCATATTATGTAAAGTTGATTAATTAAATAATAGTATATTTGAATCTATATATATAATATTTTAGTTAAAACAACTAATTAAATTTATAATTGCAAAATTATTAATTATTATTTAAAATATTCAATATTTAAGATGAATAATATATTTACCTGAGGCAACCATCAGAGCAGGCAATAAAAACTAAAATATTATCCATATTTTGAGGATTATTTATTGTACTTATATCCATATATCTTGTTTCTGTATCTGTATTATATATTAGTTCATTTCCAACCCAGATTTTATTTCGCTTTTTATCTAGCCCATGCAACATATAAGATAATAAATCTTTACAAGATATATTTTCATTTGAAAGAGTATTATTATTAGCCGTATTAGTTTTTATTGTTATCTCCCATAATTTTAGTTGAGCCCTGCCACCACCAGAAAAAATTAAATGTTTACTTATATTTTTATCTATTAAAACTGTGAATATTGATATGCATTTAATACTTGATAAGTGTCCATTAAAAAAATCTATAAATTTAACTCTTGATTGTGATTTAGGTATAATGGAGCTTATAAAAAGTGTACAATCTTCACCACCAGATATTAAAATATAATGATGCTTAGATAATATATGTAAAATTTTAATACAATTTATTTGTTTAGTATGGAAGGCATTCTAAAAATATTTATAAGTACATATAAAATCTTTATTCAAAATTATTCAATTCTCTTTATAGCTGTGATTATACAAACCAACAAAGGAGGATTATATAATGTATCTAAAGAAATGGTAACAATGTACACTTGTTTTTTTTGTATGTATGCAAAATTAGTTAATTTATTATACATCACACAATCCCAAGATCTGTGTCCTCCACCACAAAGAATTTTCGATACTATTCTTTTTAAAGAAAGATTATAAATTATGAATTCTTTCTAAAATAATTATATATTAAGTTTATAAAAAATATAAAATTAAATAATTATGTTTTTATATATAAATATATACCTCCTTAAATCCTAAAACATAGTAATAATTTTTATGTTTTATTAATTTACTAACCCAATCCATTGGCATAGTTTTTGCATGTAAAAATTCAATTGTTGGATTATGACCACTAATATCACAAAATTTATAAAATTTGAGAGTACGATCACGACCAGTTGTTATAAGATTACAATTCATAATTATACATGATTGCACACCAAACTGCCCATGGATTTTTCTAAAACTCTGTACAGGATATTTTTCATTATTTTGTAAATTGTAAACATAAATGCTACCTATTCTATCTCCGCACACTAAGAGATTATTGTACACACATGCTGATGTAACCCATCGTTGTCGAGAAGTCGGTAGTACATGTTCAGATAAAATTTTAATACCTACAAAATATAAATTGTAAAGAACGTGAAAATAAAGATTCATTTGGAAGCTAATTATTAATATTTTTACTGAATTTCAGAAATTGAATAATATATAAATGTCCTTCTGCAACACAAACTAAGATTGTATCAATATTTAACCATTTTATAGAAAATATTTTAGAATCTTCAATTTTATATTTTCCAATGTGATACCATTTATTCTTTATTCCTAAAAAGATAAATTATTGAAAATTATATATAAAACATTAACAGAAATTGATTAAATATATTTATTTATATTAAAATAAGTCACTTGTATATAATGTTATATATCCTCCCTTTGATGCTAAGACTATACATAATCTATTTGCAGAAAGTTCCATAATACAATAAGATGAGAAGCATTCTGGTAAATCATAAGAATTCAATAATTGTAATCTATTATTATAATGTAATATTTGAGATTCATTTTGAAAATTTGAATAAATCAAAATATCGTGATTATTAATTATATGAATATGCTTTGGAAGCATATGGTTATTGATTTCTAATAAAACATGATTTTGTAAAGGATTAATATTTTTCAAAGGCCAAGAATTTACAGATCCATCACCTCCTCCTGTGAATACAATATTATCTTCAGATATATCAATACACCAAATTGGTGCTCCATGATGAGCTTCTATTTTATATAATAGAACACCCAATAAAGTCCAGAAACATATGCGTGAATCCTGCAAATATATACATAATAATTAATTTTCTAATTTATTCTTATTATCGATTTTTAAAAATTATAATTAAATAACAAATGATATTTTACTTCTCCAATGCTTGCAATTATGTTTTTTAAAAAAATAGCTTTCCAAACTCTTGCTATATGACCATACATTGTTGTTTGAAGAGTTATCTCAATATTTTTCCAAACTGCATTATTTAAATCATTAATTAATGTACTTGATATTTTCCATAATCTTACAGTTCTATCGTCAGATGTAGAACATATTAAATTATTTAGTGGATTATATAGTACAGAAAAGATTACTCCCTAAATTAAAAATTTTATTATAAATAGAATATAATAGAACATTATAATTTATAGATATAAAATATATTTGAAACCAACTTTATGCCCTATTAAACGATGTAAAACTTCAGAAAATTTCATATTTGAATTATGCATTACTCTCCATATTAATATTTCTTGAAAAACAGTACCACTAAATATTAATGTATTTTTACAACTTTGACCAAATATAGTTCCAGAATATCTAATGCATTATATAATATTAAAAAAAATATTTAATCCATAACATAATACCTGTATAATTATAAAAAGGATACAACAAACATCTTTCTTTACAATGAGTATTAAAGTATTGCTTACTAAATAACTCAAAATTATAAACATTATTATTTGCAAATAAAATTGTTAATGTTGGATCAGATAGCGCACCTAACCATTTCACATTAATAATCCAATCATCAAATCTAATAATTTCATCAATTTGTTCTATTCTAAGATGAAAAATAATTATTTAAAAAATTTTGATGAAATTTTATAATTGATAAGGAAAATCCAGAAAATTACCTTATAAAATCATCTCTAAAACTAATACTTAAAATGCACAGGCTTTTTTTGCCATAAACAATAAGTTTATCATCTGATTTATTAATAATATCATATATATTATCAGGGTGAAGAACATTTATTTTAATTTCTAGTTTACAACGTATATTATTCAGCACATAAATCGTACATCCAATTCCTAAAAACAAACAGTTTAGAAATAGAATATTTTTTATTCATATAAATTTAAAATAATAAATATTTATTAAACCTATGAATACATAATTTTTAATACACTTTATTGCAAGAACGTCAGTGTTCATATCTAAAGATATCATGATAAATTTTTAATTTTACAACGAATGTAAATCCGTACACTAGTATGATGGACGAAAAAGAAGAACTTTAGGAAGTAAACAGCATAGAATAGGTAAAATAGATTGAAACATGCACTATTAAAATCTAAATTTATTGGCCTTTTTAAATGCTCACAATTTGATATGAAGTAGCAACGTCTGTTTTTTAGGATTGTTTACGTCCATTATCAAATATATTTCGATATAAACGATTAAATTATTCATCGACTGTTGATATTATAATCTATTGCAAGAACGTTTTCTAGAATCAATATATACTTGATCGTTAATTCACCTACCTATGGGTTTGTAAGCTTATTTATATGACCATATGTTTATTGACTGTTACCACTGTTAATAATGTAAATAAAGAGTATGTCTTTCTCGATAAAAAATATAATAAATAATTGTTAAATAATACTAAATTCGATCAGCTATATTACAAGCAGAAGAAACAAAATAATTTGTTAAGCAAAATAATTAGTTTTAAATGGCTTTTCGAGAATATTTAATTATTTCTTTGCAAACCCTATACTAAATTGTTCTGGACTTTTTGTCAAATAAATACAGGATTAGTCACGTTTTTAAGCCATTTTAAAAATAAAATAAATTTAAAAATAAAAAAGATAAGGAATTATATGTGTTACGGATTGCAGCATTTTACGCGGTAAACAAAGTGGGAGAGGTAAAGACACCTGCTTAGGTCAAAAGATTGCGCGCCAAGTCGTAAACACGATTCTACGAAATCGGGAAATTTCAATACTCAAATAGTCTAAATTACATTACAATTCCGACTAACAAGGGCCGACGAACTCTCCAAGGCTAGATTCTAGTGACGTCACTTTAACTATCAGCATGACAAGAGCAATTTAGAATTCACAGAAATCGCAAGCCTGTACTATAATATTTAAGGAGACGCGCTTAACGCTCTTACCCTCTTACTAGTTCAATCAAGCAGTCATCAAGATCGAATCGCCGTCGTACAATTCGACTACATTCAACAGAAACCAAGCTCACGGCCTTCTACCGCCGCTACACGGATCGACCTCAACACACGTGAGTTACTCCATTACATACGTTCTTACATACCATCAATGCACTGAGATCGACTCCACACGTAAACTACGCTATTACACACGTTCTTACGAATCACTAATACTCGGCTCCGTCAACTAAGTAAGCAGCAATACTAACAAACGCCTCACGGTACGAGGACTACTCCCACACGTCAAGCAGTAACGGGACACGGATATCCTTCTTCCACTAACCACTACAGCATGCAAGTCGCTAGACAACGGCATCATCACCGTTCCGCATCATAGTGACGTCATACAGGCGCCCCCACACTGGCAGCTACAGTTCGTATGCAGAGGCAAAGGCGGCACCATCATTGCCCCTTACAGCGTGACTATTGCCACAGCACCATCGCTGACCTTTACAGCGAGAATCTCCCACTACCACTGCGAGTTCATAACTACAAGTGGAAGAGCACCAAGCCATCAAGAATACACTTACAAGATTACTGAAGAAACTCTCACTTATTTATTGAATCATTCATTCATCTTACCTCAATAAACCACTGATTATTTATTATATCATTATATTCAATAAAAGGAAAACCAACTTATACAAAGGCAGTATTGAATTATTGCATTGTCCATTCCACTTGCCAGCAAGCCTCCCTACATCATCTCGGGGAAGCTTTTAGTCTGATCCCATTTTGATATTTTGGTCCTTCGAGCCGGATAAGTGGAAATCAGTGCATACATCCAATATTACCAGTCATAAGGATAATAGTACAATACGCAGATCATTGAGTACGAGAGAGATTCTTCAACACCGTAAGTAAACCTTACTGCTCTATCATATCAACATGTATATTGAGCTGAGCAATGAAAATCTGTATCTATATATGTTCGAGAATGCGAGAACATTTTTTCCTATTTTGTCAATGCAATAAAACATCTGGCAAGTAACATCGTAAAATTTCTATTTGGAGAAAATCTTCGCTTGCACAAATTTTCTCACGTATTAGTGTCATAAAACATCTGGAAAAACAATACCATAAACACGGAAAAACCTATAGTTTTGAGATCTGCATTTTCGTTCCGCTCGGCAACTACATCAAGCATTACTGCAAGCGGACCCTCATTCCCCTTCACGCTATCAACAAGTTGCAATGCTGTCACCAGATGTGTCAACGAACCGCCCCTCGCCGCTGCCAACATACTGTCGAATGCGGCAGCAGCAATGAGAGATCTGTTCATCATGAAGACCCAGAGACGACTAGGCCCTTAATTAACTCCGAAGCCAAAAGAGGCGCTGCCCTCGCACTATAAGGGAGGAGTCTCTGATTGGACAGACAATAAGGGAAGGGGTTCAAGTAAAATTCATGGTCAGAAAATGTATTTAAGGGGCGCAATTTTCAATATTCATTTACTCTCGATACTTAACTCTCTTAACCTTTATCACTCGTGATATTTAACTGTCTTGATATTTACTCTTGATAGTTTTCAGTTAGTAATATTTTCGTGATATTACTCTTATCGAAGTGTCTCTCAGTTTTTGATATCTATTGTTTATTAGTATTTTTGATATCTCTCTTTTAGTAATACTCTCTCAATATATTAAACCCTTGAGACATTTCATACTCAGTTAAGTTTAGTGAAAGTCAATTTAGCGCTATTTCGGGAACGACTTACACTTCTTCGGATTGTCCATTAACACTGTTACCGGAACAGTAGTTACTGCCCCGGAAGAACCACGACAGAAACCCGTATGTCCACTAACGCAGTACAAGAAACTGTAGTTACCTGTTCCAAGGGAGCCACGACAATCCGCCTATCAGAGTCCGAAGACGAGTCAACGATTAGTCTTTGTAAGTAGTATCTACGATAATAATTATATATATATATATATATTGAGATTCAGAGTATACAATCGACAAGCACTAAGGACGAAGAAGCTATTCTTAAAACGTCAGTGCGGAATAAATTCCAGTACGCGTCGTCAAGTTTCGTGCCCGCCAAGGGCATCCCACTTCGTAACCCTCACCTTAGTTCAAGTTCGGAAGCTTACGAAAGAGAGCAAAACCCAACGCAAGTATAGACAATCCAGTTTCACGCCACTTGCGATATCTTTCAATCATAAAGCCGCATTCATAACCTCAATCATACACGTGCTCGTTCAAAAGACGCTAGTGTCGATGAACGAAACTTCGCGCCATTCGGCATTCATATTGAATAATCAAGCTGCATAGATTATTGTACAGTTGTCTCCGCAACACATCACTTCAACCAAGAATTTAGTTCTACAAGTAATAATAGTAATATTAGCGAACCTTGTCATTAATTAATAACAGAATAAAAAGCATATACTTAAGCCATATCTTTTTTGTATTATTATAATATCCCTTCCACTTGTGACCTGTCATCGCTACCACACAACACCCGTGGTCTCTGAGTTGTCAACGGCATCAAATTATATCCGTCGAATCGGCCTTCATAAAACAAGTCGGAACGACGAGGTGCATTTTGTACAATATACAAAATTGAGTTGTTTTAAATACAATTTTACTATAAAGTATTCAATTTTTGCATGACCTTTTCATGAAAATCTATTTTAATATTAAATGTTTATTTAAAAATAATAGTTTTTCAACAAAAATTCTTGCGGAATATGGAATATAAAGCGTTTTACTTAACAGAAATGAATAAAAAAGACAAAAATAGAAATAACTAATAAAAAAAAAACAAAAAATTGTAACAATAAAAAAAACTATATTTGGTATTTCCTTTATTATTTGTGATTTGAGAATAATTAGTGAAAGAATATATACATAGTAAGTGTATATTTTTATAATAATATGAAATTTAAAACATGGCCACAATTCTGTATTATACAAATAAAAATGTATATTGGATATATTTATACAAATATAAAAACGAAATTTTATTAGTTTTTATTTCTAAAATATTATTAACTATTAATTATGAATTACAATATGATTTAAAAAATAAATGAATAATGAAAATGACATATAGCATAATGTTCAGAATTCCATTCATGTGGATCGAAGGACCAAGATGTTTAGAATTGGACTATGTCCGCCAGTTTATAGATGGGAGAAAGGTGTGGGAAAATGGAAGGGGTAGTGCTTCAACTCAGTATTTAACACATCTGATTTTCGTGCTTGGTATTTCGTTTATTTTACAACCAGAATATAATGATTCTATGTTGATAAGAATCGTTGAGATCTTGCCGTTTCTTGGTTGTTGCCACGAGGTGTCAACATGCACTACTTGTAAAGTTAAGGGGTCGTAAATCTCCTATCTTCTTAATGCAGTGCGCTTAGTGGTGATGTACTACAATGAGAAGTGAGAGGTCGTAAATCTCTTGACACTGCTTTGGGTAGTGCCACATGGTGGTCACGTGATTTTTTGACTCCTCCTTGATGTCTTGTGGTATGGAAGTAAGAATGCACTAACTCGTAAAAGCGAACACTTGCTGAGAGTGTGCTTTGGCAGTGTGTGTGAAGTTCCTTACTGAGAAGGCGCTTTGGCACTATGTGTGAGGTTCGATGTTGAGTAGTTACACCAAAATGGACGCGAGTTCCTTCCGTGGCGGCTCTGCTGAGAGAGCTTCTTTCTTGCTTGGCATCCCCACTATGAGAGCGAAACTGTTCCATGGCGTCCCCACTAAGAGAACGTGATCCTGAGTGACTACCTTATGACTGAATAGCGCGTGTTTCGTGGTGTGCTTGCTTTAAATATCTACGCGATAGTGTAGCTAGCATAGTGTGGTGCTAGATGCAATGGATGCGACTGTGCCCTTTAGATTTTTTTAGATGTAACGACTTTTCCCAGATGTCCAACGACTGTTGGGGCTTTTCCTAGATGACTAACACTCTTGGATTTTCCTCAGATCTCTGACGACTTGGGTTTACCCAGATGTTTAATGATTTGGGTTTTCCCCAGAATTTTAAAACTCCCGAGAGACTTTCGCTATCTCGAACACACACATATATATATAAACTGAATAATATTTAGTTAGAAAAAGAATATTAATTAATCAAAATAATATATATTAAAATAACATCTTCACATCACATAAGATACTGGATAAAATGGATATGAAAACACGTATAAAAGTAATTCTCAAATGTAATAGAATACAGTTAATCACATGTGTATTTATTTATATAATATAGTTTAATATGACATACAATATTTCATTTTTTTTATTGATACACTTACCATTATTAATTATTGTGAAGTTACTTTTCTAAAAATAACAGTTTCTATAAACAAAAACAATTTTTAATTTAATTTTAAATATAAAAATAATTTTGGAAAGTTAGTTAAATACACAAGATATTTTATATAAATAATATATACATAAGACGCATCTTTGATTTTGTTGTGCACTCAATAATCTTTATACCACACTATGTTGCAGTGCGCATACTTGTACATTATCGAATCTAAATCCCCAAACAAGCCATTACAGGTAAGTAAACTACTCAATTTACCAGTAGATATGCTAATACTATACATATATGTGACGGAATTTATAAAGCTTAGTTAACTTTAATGTAATGAGAAATTTGCAAAAAATAATAAATCATGTATCATCTCGGAATCTAGATGTGAATTGATAGACGTGTGTATAAACACATTGTTCGAGATTCCGAGAATCTCTCGAATGTTATCATTTCGGGCAAAGAGCAACGGCTATTATTAGGGGGAAAATCCCAATGGTTATCATTTTGGGGGAAAACTCCAACGGTTGTTGGAAATTCAGAAAAGCAGTTACATCCGAAAAAAAACCAAGTATACAAACGCCTCCGTTGTTGTCAGCTAACGAAGCTGCCGCGTGGATATTTAAGGCTAGCGCATCACGAGATAGTCGCCAGTCAGCCGTTAACTACTCAGCCAAGAACTAGTCACTCAGGATCTACTCACGTAATCTCACACACTCAGTATAAAACCGCAAGCAGCATGCCCTAGCGCACAAGGCATTTGCAGATATCGAACCTTTTCTTCGCACTTCCACGCTACAAGATATCAAGGAAGTTACCATAATCAGGCAATCACCACGTGGCACTACACGAAGAAGTGTCTAAAGATTTATGACCTCACACGTCTCCGTGTAAACATTTACCACTAAGCGTGAAGATGCTCTGAATAGTGCATGTTGACAGCACGTGGCAACAACCAAGGAACGGCAAGATCTCAACGATTCTCATCGTCAACGTAGAATTATTATAGTGTAGTTGTAAAAATAAAACGCAATGCCAAGCATGAAAAGTAGATGTGTTGAATACCGAATTGAAGCGCTACCCCTTCCACTTATCCACACTTTTCTCCCACCAATAAATTGGTGGACATAGTGTAATCCTAAACATCTTGGTCCGTCGACTAGATGAACGGAATTCTAAACACATTATTTAAGAATCTAAAACAGGGAATACTGCATTTTGGCTGGCGAAAATAAGGTCTCATGTACGAAAACATTCATTCGCATCTACGCACACACAAAGGGTGAAGATTTAAATTTTTAATGGCAAATTAAAAATATAATTTTATCATATGTATTTTTTTATAAGAATTTGTTTTTATCTTTGTTGGACTCGATATAATACACCATTCTTCTGATTAAAAACTATTTAGTTTTATTTAAAAATATTGATCATATTAGTATTGGAATAATATATATATGAAACTACTAAATATATTTAAATAATTTTATTTTAATTTAATTTAATAGATATGTATACAAGCAATACATTTTGATTGAATCCGTAAGAGTATAAAAGCTGAATAACGAATAAATCATTTGAAAATTTTTTCGCCTGTGGATAAAAAGTTAATATATTATGTATGTATATAATATTAATATAATTTTGTTTTACATATAAAAATATATTTAGAAATTATTTTTATCATTAATGGTATAATATAATTAACTATTGTAATATTTTTATAATTTAATTATTAAAATTTAATGTTTTCGCTAATTAAAAAACAAAAAAAGATCGTTTCGTACTTGACAAGTATGAAAATTAATATATTATTATTGAATACATGTTGGAATTAACTAATAGAAGTTCAAATTGAAATTGCAGGTATTTATAAGAAAATTATAATAAATTAAATTTCTGTTGTCTGTATCGCAAATAGCTATATTTTACTTTGGATGATTTGACTATTAAGGTAATCAGTTTGTACTGGAAAACATGGCAGATGCTGCAGCTAGACAATTACAATACGAGTACAAAGCAGTAAGAAATATTTGTCATATTTCAGTATTTTATTTCTTTCTCAGATTTGTTTATTCTATTTTACATTTACATTACAAAATTTTATTTTTTTCATATTTATCGTTTTATGTTGAATGGGGTTATGTTAAAATTGTGAAAATGTACATCGTCTTTTAAAAATTACGTGTAAATAGTTTTATTAAATTTTATTCACTTGTCAAGTTATACTTGTTACTGTATGTTTAACATCTACCTTTTTAATTAAAAATAAATTAAACATTTTAATAATCATGTTATTTTTACTCATCTTCTAGAATTCTAATCTTGTTTTGCAAGCTGATGTTCGATTAATAGAAAGACGAAGTAGAGATGAAGCTACAGGTGAAGTTATGTCTCTTGTGGGTAAACTTGATGGAACGAGAATGGGTGATAGAGCACAAAGAACAAAACCAGGAAAAGCAGAAGAAAGAAAAGTAAAGTATGTAAATCATATAATAGTTTTATGTTTTTTTCTTTGTTCATTAATTATTATTAAATAAATTAAAAAAATTTTTATAAGAAACTATCATAATTTTCGTCTATTTTTCGTCTATTATATATAAGTTCAAAATATATGCACAATAATATAAATTACAAATCGTATTAATTTGTTTTGATTAATACTTGTCTTAGACGACAAAAGCGAGATGAAGCTCAATATGACTTTACACATAGTAAGGGAGCAACCGTTCTGTCTGAAAGTATTGATGAAATGGTTGGTATTATATATAGACCCAAAACTCAAGAAACACGTCAAACATATGAAATTTTACTAAGTTTTATTCAAGAAGCTATTGGTGACCAACCACGTGATATACTTTGTGGTGCAGCAGATGAAGTTTTATCAGTTTTAAAAAATGATAAACTGAAAGAAAAAGAAAAAAAGAGAGAAACAGAACAACTTCTCGGAAGTTTAGCTGAAGAAAGATTTGCATTGTTAGTTAATTTGGGAAAAAAAATAACAGATTTCGGTAATGATGAGAAAAGTGGTACAGGTGAAGAAAATATTGATGAAACTTATGGAATTAACGTACAGTTTGAAGAAAGTAGTGAAGAAGATGATGAAGATGTGTATGGTGAAGTTAGAGAGAATGAAGATGAAGTAGATGAAGGTGAAGAAGCAAATGATGATAGAGCTATTCATGCAGAAAATGTAAATATTTTAAGTTTTATTTACAGATGCATAAGTAAATTTTACTCAAGTAAATATATAGATTTAATGTAAGTTTTAATTTATAGTTAGGTAGAGCAGAAGAAATGAAAAAAGAAAAAACCTTGCATCCAAGAGATATTGATGCTTATTGGCTTCAAAGGCAATTGAAGGCAATATATAATGATGCAATGATTTCACATGCTAAAGCAGGAGATGTCCTAGATGTACTGAAAAGTGCTGCAGATGATCGTGACTGTGAAAATCAGCTTGTACTATTACTTGGTTATGATTGTTTTGATTTTATTAAACAATTGAAAAAGTACAGACATATGAGTAAGCTAATTAGATTTTTCTAATAACATTAAATTTCACTGTATAAAAATAAAAATATTTTTAGAATAATAATATGTTTTTGAACCTGATATATATATATATATATATATATATATATATATATATTATCTTAGAATTCTTACATCGTTTTTTTTATATTATATGCATCATAATTAGCATTAGATGTATTTTAATAATTTCAGTGTAAAATTAAAAAAACTTAATTATCTGTAAAAGATTTATTATAATACAAAGAAATTTCTATAATACATCAAAAATTAAAAACGTAAATGATTCTTAAAATAAAAATAATATATAAAAAAGAAAATAGTTAATAATTGTATATTAAATACTTCATGAGTCACAGTTTTTATCTGTTATATCAAAATTTATTTTACATGATATTAAAGTTTTCAATTAAATTGTTTGAATTTATATGCACCATTAACATTAAACTTTTGTTTTTGCACGTATTTGCTAATTATTTTTATTTAATTACTAAAATTTGTTTTAAGAAAAAAACGAAGTTTTATTTTCCATTATTGTATTACTTTGATACATTTATTTATAGGCTATTACATATAGCTTAAAAAATATAATTTTATCAATTATTTATGTCGAAATAACTTACATGACAAAAATTAATTTATTCGAAATATTGCATGAAATATTGTTAGTTGCTTACTGTACAATGTTGGCATCGTCTCAATCGGAGTCGGAACGTTCAAAAATTCGGAAGAAAATGAGTGAGGATCCAAGTCTTACAAAAATACTCCATCAACTTGAAACTGGTAAAGGTGATGTTGATAATGATGAAACTATGGAAGCTAGAGCTCAACGTAAACGACGAGAAGAAAATGAAGATACAGGAGGCCCTGGTGGGTTGGTACAAGGAACAAGAAATATTATTGATCTAGAAGATATTGCATTTGCACAAGGAAGCCACTTTATGCCGAATAAACGATGTCATTTACCAGATGGTAGTTTTAGGAAACAACGTAAAGGGTACGTCTATTTTAATTTTATATGCATAATTCTTAAAATTACGTATAAAAATTATGAATTAAAATATTAAAATTAATGAAATTTGTTATTTACATAGTCAAATAATAAATACCACCAAGAAAAACCAAATTATTTATTGTATGCTTTTTTTTTATATAAAATAATACTGATTTTATAATCTGTCATTAATTTTAGATATGAAGAAGTTCATGTACCTGCTTTAAAACCAAAACCATTTTCTGAAAATGAAAAACTTATATCCATAACAGATCTTCCTAAGTTTGTCCAACCAGCTTTCGAAGGTTTTAAGACTCTGAATCGTATTCAAAGTCGTTTACAAAAATGTGCTTTGGAAGAAGATGAAAATCTTTTATTATGTGCCCCTACAGGAGCTGGTAAAACAAATGTTGCTTTATTGTGTATAATGCGTGAAATTGGCAAGCATGTAAATCCTGATGGTACTATTAACGCTGACGATTTTAAAGTTATTTATGTAGCACCAATGCGTTCTCTTGTACAAGAAATGGTTGGTAATTTTGGAAAGAGACTTACATCATACAACTTAACAGTTTCGGAATTGACAGGTGATCATCAGTTAACTAGAGAACAAATAGCTGCAACTCAGGTTTGTTTATTTTTTCTTTGTACGTGATTATTTATTAATTTTATTATTTAATACATTTGGAAAAGTATGCTTATTATTAAAAACATATTACTAATTTAAACAAAATTATTATTATAGGTGATAGTTTGTACTCCAGAAAAATGGGATATTATTACGAGAAAAGGAGGCGAAAAAACATTTACTTCTCTCGTGAGATTAATCATTATTGATGAGATACATTTACTTCATGACGAACGAGGTCCAGTTCTCGAATCATTAGTAGCAAGAACACTTCGAAATATTGAAACAACACAAGAAGAGGTCAGATTAGTTGGCTTATCAGCTACTTTGCCGAATTACCAGGATGTAGCAACGTTTTTACGAATTAAACCTGAAAGTGGCCTCTATTATTTTGATAATAGTTTCAGGTATGTTTCTTAGAACTGATATTTAACAATTATTAAGTATAAATGTTGTAAAAACAATATTTAACATTTTTTATTTTAAATGAAAATATTACACTTATTTAAATTACTTATTATTTGATTTTAAATAAAATTTAAAAATATACAAATTTATAAAATATAAATATGTTAGTCATTTTTATTAAATATTATTTAATCATATTTATTAAATTTACTAAGTTTTTAAATTTAACTTATGACAATTTGTTATGATTCTCTTGTGCTTAAAATTATATCTGAAAATTAAAAATCAATATGAATTTTAATGCAAAATAAGAAATGGTATTATTTAGAAATAGATCTGAGTGATTTATTTAAGAATATTCTTTTTGAAGCACTTATTTTGGGTTTTCCAATAATTTAGGCCTGTAGCATTGGAGCAACAGTACATTGGTGTGACCGAGAAAAAGGCACTTAAACGATTCCAGGTTATGAATGAGGTTGTATATGAAAAAACAATGGATCATGCAGGTAAAAATCAGATTTTAATATTTGTACATTCAAGAAAAGAGACTGGAAAAACGGCTCGCGCCATCAGAGATATGTGTCTTGAAAAAGATAGTTTAGGACAGTTTCTCAGAGAAGGATCAGCATCAATGGAAGTTTTAAGAACTGAAGCTGAACAAGTAAAGAATATGGAACTAAAGGATTTACTGCCATATGGTTTTGCAATTCATCATGCAGGAATGACAAGAGTTGACCGTACTTTGGTGGAGGATCTTTTTGCGGATAGACACATACAGGTGTTAATTTCTACAGCCACTCTAGCATGGGGTGTCAATCTACCAGCACATACAGTCATTATTAAAGGAACACAAATTTACAATCCAGAAAAAGGACGATGGGTCGAATTAGGAGCTTTAGATGTTTTGCAAATGCTAGGTCGAGCTGGTCGCCCTCAATATGATACAAAAGGAGAAGGTAGAACAAAATTTTAATTTCATTATTTTTATTCAGTATTTTATAAAACATGTTTAGTATTTTTATACAAAATACATTTAGTTAGTAAACTAATGATATATTAAATAAAATATATTTCATTAAAACTAATTTAAAATTTTCAATAATATAATTAATTAAAATAATTTTATTTTAAGATTAAACATTTCTTTCGTTCATTGAATTTCGTTATTTATTATAACTCTGGTTTAAATAGTAAAATTTAACGAAATCTAACAATTTTCATTTGATAATGTGTAGCATCCTTTTTATAAGAATGCAGTTAAAGAGTGATAGTATTTTAATAATTTCAAAATTATTTCAGTTATGAATTTTTTTTTGAAAAGGAATCATATTTTATAATAAATTTTGTAATTCAAAATATTTTTGCTTGCTCATAGGTATTCTTATAACGAATCATAGTGAGCTTCAATACTACCTTTCATTGCTCAATCAGCAGCTACCAATAGAATCCCAACTTATTAGTAAGATGTCAGATATGATGAATGCGGAAGTGGTCCTTGGAACAATTCAAAATGTTCGTGATGCGGTCACTTGGCTAGGTTATACGTATCTTTATATTAGAATGCTCCGTTGTCCTAGTCTATATGGAATTACCTATGAAAAGTTGCGGGAAGATCCTCTGTTAGAACTACATCGTGCAGATTTGGTACATTCAGCTGCTATAGCCTTAGATCGCAGTGGCCTTATAAAATATGACCGCAAATCTGGTAATTTTCAAGCTACAGAATTGGGAAGAATCGCCTCCCATTATTATTGCACACATGATACGATTGCTACCTACAATCAGTTATTGAAACGAACTCTCAGTGAAATAGAGCTATTTCGCGTATTTTCACTTTCCAGTGAATTCAAACATATCAATGTTAGGGATGAAGAAAAGATAGAACTGCATAAGCTAATGGAACGCGTTCCTATACCCATCAAGGAAAATATGGAGGAACCTAGCGCGAAAGTTAATGTATTACTCCAGGCATATATATCTCAGGTAAATGTATTTAATTCTTTTATTTAAATTATATATATATATAAACATGCTTTTCATAATTTAGCTCTAATATTGATTATATATAACGTTCTTTCTAATGTACGTATGTCGTAACTGCAAGTGAAATTAAAAAAAAAAAGAAAACTTATTCTAATAATTAATGTTCCTATGAACAATGAATTTTTTTGTCATAAAACTAATTTTATTATTTCATTTATTATTATTTATTATTTATTTTATGAGTAATTAAAATTTTTTGATTACTAGCTCAAATATAAAATTTAATTTTTACATTCTTATAATAAATTTAAAAATTTATTACAGCTGAAACTCGAAGGATTCGCTTTAATGTCAGATATGGTGTATGTAACCCAATCGGCCTCTCGGCTAATGCGTGCAATTTACGAAATCGTACTATTTCGAGGTTGGGCTCAATTGGCTGATAAATGTTTATCACTTTGCAAAATGGTAGATCGCAGAATGTGGCAATCAATGTCACCACTGCGTCAATTTCGCAAAATGCCAGAAGAAATTATTAAAAAAATAGAAAAGAAAAACTTCCCTTGGGAAAGATTGTATGACCTGGGACCTAATGAAATTGGCGAACTTATACGCATACCAAAGTTAGGAAAAACTATTCATAAGTATATTCATCAATTTCCGAAACTTGAACTCTCAACACATATACAGCCAATCACTAGATCAACTCTTAGAGTTGAACTCACAATAACACCAGATTTCATGTGGGATGATAAAGCTCATGGTGCATCTGAGGCTTTTTGGATCCTCGTTGAAGATGTTGATTCAGAAGTTATTCTGCATCACGAATTTTTCCTCTTAAAGGTAATATAAATCTATTGTGTAAAAAGATAGAAAATTTTGATTAAAACTTGTCTTTATTTGACTGAAAAGCAAATCTAAAACATCCATCTTTGTAACGGATGATTTATAAAGTAAACTACCAATGTCTAGATATTTGTTTAAATCCTAACATGAAATTGAACACATATATATGATATTGATGTTGTTTTAGTAAAAATTCATGTTATATCTTATTATACTTTATTAATTTTTTAACTAGTAAGGTCAAACATCTTTTTTACTTTATTTTATTTTCGTTGCACACAAAATTAATAGAAGCATGTTGGACAATTTTCAAAATAATATGTTATAATTAATAGGAAATTTTTGTTGGACAATTACGAACATATTTTTCTATGTTTTAAATATGATATAAAAAATTTCATTTATAATATAAGCAAAATAAACTTATTAAAAAATTTGTATATATTACTTTTAGGCTAAGTATGCAAATGACGAACATTTAATTAAATTTTTTGTGCCGGTATTTGAACCCCTACCACCTCAATACTTTTTACGGGTAGTATCAGACAGATGGATAGGAGCTGAGACACAGTTACCTGTTAGTTTTAGACATTTAATACTACCAGAAAAAAATCTACCGCCAACAGAGTTATTGGATTTACAGCCACTACCTATCACTGCCCTTCGAAATTCGATCTTTGAAAATTTATATATTGACAAATTCCCACAGTTTAATCCTATACAAACTCAGGTATCACAAATACATTTTTAAATAATATTTTTTAATTATCTTACATTTTCGCCTATATTTTTTATTTTAGGAATTACTAAAATAATTAAATTTCAAAATTTAAATATTTATTCTATTCTGTATAAATTTTAAACAACGTTCTTCAGTAGTTAAACATATTATATACTTAATATAATATATTTAATTTAATGAAATTATATTTTATATTTAATGAATTATTGTATATTTAATATAATTCGTTATAATAATATGCTATTATAATATAAAATAAAATTCAATATTTAAAAAAAAGATTGTGCAATCAAGATATACAGATTTTTATAGAAAATTGAGAGAATGCATATTATTGACATTTATATTTTAATTGAATAATTATTAGTTTAAAAAACATCTGCTGTTTAAAGATGAATTAATCAACTTCGAACATTTAGATATATTATTTAACATAAAAAATGTTTCCGATATAACATTTTTTTATAAAGAAAATTATTTGTCCTTTTTATTGATTAGGTATTCAACGCAGTTTATAATTCAGATGATAATATATTTGTGGGTGCACCTAGTGGATCCGGTAAAACAACTATTGCAGAATTTGCAATATTACGTCTTATATCTCAAAATTCAGAAGGTCGATGTGTATATATGGTGAGCAAGGAAGCACTTGCTGAACTTATATATAAAGATTGGATATTTAAATTTGGTAAAAGTTTAAAAAAAGTTGTATTACTAACTGGTGAAACTGGTACAGATCTTAAATTGCTTGCTAAAGGACAGATAATTATTACAACAGCGGATAAATGGGATGTATTATCGCGTAGATGGAAACAGCGTAAAAACGTTCAAAATATTCATTTATTTATCGTTGATGAGCTACAACTTCTAGGGGGAGAAGATGGCCCTGTTTTGGAAGTGGCTTGTTCCAGAGCTAGGTAGATTCAGTATTTTTTTTTAGAAGTATTAAATTTATTCCTTTTGTACAATTTTATGTATATAGTAAAAATCCATAGTAATATCAATTCTAATTTATAAATTCTAATTAATTATGTGCATAACGAAAAATATGGTTTTATCTTGAATGAAAATTAAAATAATCCTACAAAATTCATTTTTAAGCACATTTTTTTACATAGAAAATATTAATTATATATAAATCATATAAATGCATGTTTAAAAAATATATTGCAGTTTAAGAACAATAATATAATACATAGACTGCATTTTAATATATTAAATTTAATATATATATATAATTTGGCAGGTATATATCATCTCAACTAGACAAACCAACTCGAATAGTCGCGCTTTCGAGTTCCCTCGCCGATGCCAAGGATATAGCCCAATGGCTGGGTGCACCAGCTGCTAGTACTTTTAATTTTCATCCATCAGTTCGACCAGTACCTCTTGAGCTTCATGTTCAGGGTATTAATATTACTCACAATGCATCACGTCTTGCTGCTATGGCTAAGCCCGTATATAACGCTATTCTTCGTCACGCACCAAGAAAGCCTGTTATTATTTTTGTACCAACTCGCAAACAAGCAAGATTAACGGCTTTTGAAATACTAACCTTTACTGCAGCTGAAAGTAAACCTTTACAATTCTTTCATGCTGAAGAAGCAGATATCAAACCCTTTTTAGATCGAATAGTAGATACAACTCTAAGAGATACTTTATCTCAAGGAGTAGCTTATTTGCATGAAGGCTTATCTAATAACGACAAAAAATTAGTGGAACAGCTATTTGATAGTGGAGCAATACAAATTGCAGTCGCTACAAGAGAACTCTGTTGGAGTTTATCCATTTATTCTTATCTTGTAGTTATTATGGATACACAATGTTACAATGGTAAAAGTCATGCTTATGAAGACTATCCTATTACTGATGTACTTCAAATGGTTTCCCTCGCCAATCGTCCTCATGAAGATGATGATGCTAAATGTGTAATGCTTTGTCAAAGTTCTAAAAAAGACTTTTTTAAAAAGTTTTTAAATGAACCATTACCAGTTGAAAGTCATCTTGATCATAGACTTCACGACCATTTTAATGCGGAGATTGTCACTAAGACTATTGAAAATAAACAAGACGCCGTAGATTACTTAACTTGGACGTTTCTTTATCGACGACTTACTCAGAATCCTAATTATTATGGATTACAAGGGGTAACTCACAGACATTTATCAGATCATCTGTCAGAGCTAGTGGAAAATACTCTAAGTGATTTAGAACAAGCTAAATGCGTAACTGTAGAAGATGAAATGGATGTAACACCGCTAAATTTGGGCATGATAGCTGCATACTATTATATAAATTATGCAACTGTAGAGATGTTTGATGGCTCACTCAATGCCAAAACAAAAATACGCGGTTTATTAGAAATTATCTCAGCTGCCGCTGAATATGAATCTATTCCAGTAAGGCAACGCGAAGAAAATCTACTTAGAAATTTGGCTGTAAGATTACCGCATGCACCGCAAGCTCAAAGGATGGCTGATCCACATATAAAAGCTCAGTTACTTCTTCAAGCGCATCTTTCCAGAATACAATTAGGACCAGAATTGCAAAAGGATACGGAATTAGTGCTTAACAAAAGCATCAGATTAATTCAAGCATGCGTTGATGTTTTGAGTTCATCAGGTAAGTAACATATTATAAACACCTGATAATTATGAATAGTTATAGAGACTTCCTGAATTTATCATAATTCTTATCGTAAGTTTTTTTTCTTAATTTTTTCTAAAATTTTTAGTTTATTCACTCATAAATTCATTTTTCTCTGCCTCGGGAAATTAATATTTATCTGGATCTTTACTTTTTTATATTTTTAGCTTTTAAAACTCAAAACAGTTTCAAAATATATATTATTTTAGCAATATTCTATTCCAAATAATAAATGAAATAATTTGTTGATATATAGCTAGTAAGACTGTTCTAACTATTTTTAAGAAATAATTATAATTATATTAATAAATTATATTAATATTTTTTTAATTAAAATTATTTATGAAAATAACATATTTAACTTTTTAAAAAAATTTAATGATATGACGATCGTTTTAAGATAGTTTTAAGTTTACTTTAATAGAGTACAGTAATATGTCATTATATATTATTATTATAGGTTGGCTAGCACCTGCTGTCTCAGCTATGGAATTAGCGCAAATGATGACACAAGCCATGTGGTCAAAGGATTCCTATTTAAAGCAGTTGCCACATTTCACAATTGACATAATTAAGAGATGTACTGATAAGGGTGTGGAAACCGTTTTTGATATTATGGAGCTAGAAGACGATGTACGAAATCGATTATTACAACTAAATGAAATACATATGATGGACGTCGCTAAGTTTTGTAATCGATATCCGAACATTGAAATGGCATATGATGTCCAAGATAAAGAAAATATAAGGCATGGGGATTCAGTAAACGTAATTGTTCAATTAGAACGTGAAGACGAAGTAATTGGACCAGTAGTAGCACCTTTTTTTCCACAAAAGAGAGAAGAAGGATGGTGGGTTGTTATTGGTGATCCAAAATCAAATCAACTTTTGTCAATTAAGAGATTAACTCTGCAACAGAAAGCCACTGTAAAATTGGACTTCTTGGCACCTGCACCAGGGCAACACAATTATACATTATACTTTATGAGTGATGCCTATCTGGGATGTGATCAGGAATACAAGTTTTCCATTAATGTAGGAGAATATGAATCAGATGTTAGTTCAGTTTCAGAATCAGATTAAAAAAGTTTCATAATACCAGTCTGATATTAAATTGGAAAAATAGCAATATATTATACGTTCATATTATTATTTATAAAATAATAAATAAATAATAATAAAAATATAAATAATCAAATTAGCTTACAATTATCTTGAATTATTAAGTTTGTTATTCTTAATATAAACTTTCTTAAGCAGTATTTTAATATTTGTATATACTTCCAATAGATATAAATTAGATTTTTTTATTATAATCATTAACTCAATATATATAAATTTTAGAAATAAATAACAAAATACCATTTTCATAGTAAAAACAATATACTTTTACTGAATATTTGTATTTTATATACTATATTTGAATAATATAATAAATCTATCAAATTTATTTGTAATATTTGAGGTTATTTATTTTCCACATCACACAAATTAATTTAAATTTATACAAATTAAAAATATACAAAAAATTTATACATGAATTAATGTAAAAATTTAATATTAAATCATAGTTGTTATAAATTTATAATAATAAAATGTGTATGTATCATACATATATTATACATTATATTTTTTATCAATAAAAACAAATAATATAGTTTTTGTTATCTAATTCTCAATTTAAACAATTTTTTAGAAAACATTCAAATTTTTTTTATATATTGATATCTACACATATTTAAATTTTACATATGAATTTACAATCATTTTTGTATATTTGATTTTCTTATAAAACAATAATTAATAGACATTGTATAAATTTTATTTATCTTTATTTATATATCGAATTTTCAATGATTGATATTAACTTTATTTTTTATTTTCTCCTTCAATATATTAATAATAAAGATAACTTTCTATATATTTAATAAATTATAAATTATGTTATAAAATTTCTTTTACTATTAAACATTTTCAGTTTCATATTTGCTATGATCCTTAATAAGAAATCTATCCGATTTATCTAAAATCGAATTAAAATGGTTAGCATATTTGCATTTTATTGTATTTAAAGTAATTGAGATATTTATTGCTTCAAAAAAGGAAGCAACCATTATTATTGTAAAATTAATTAGCATGGATACAGTCGTAAATCGTGTTATTTGTGAATTAAAAATCATAATAAATATAGTTTTCTCGGTAAAATAATTTCATATGAAAATCATTAGCTTAAATTATAAATGAATAAACATAAATTAATTTTATATTATACAAAAAAGAAGTTTAGTAATGGTGTAATATTAAATTTAATGCTTGCACAATAATAATTTATAAAAATTTACTACACTTATTATAATTATTTAAAAATATGAAATGTCTGAAATTACAGTTTTAATATATTAGCCCTAAGTACAAGTATACACTTTAAAAAATTCCTGTTTTCCCAAAATAGCCTTACACTGGTATAGTATCATAAGTTTATGAAAAAAAAAACAATTAGATACTTTCGACATTTAAAGAAATTATGCACAATGCAATGCTATGCAATTTTCATTTAATTTTCAAGTAAAATAAGTTTTAATACTTATAAATAATCCATATACAATAAAATATAGATATTCATGTCGTAAAATAAACCATTTATATATTTATTATGGATTTATCATAAGAATAAAAAAGAAGAATATTGAATAAGATAGTTGCAAATAAACAAGCAAATATCTAATAGCAGACGGCCTATTATATGGTGATATACGTACGATGAAGTAAAAATATTACTTCTCTCACGGATCAAATTTCATGCATAAACGATTGAAATCAATTAAAAGCTATGAAAATTTTAATTATTGACAGCAAAGTAAATTTTTTTATTATTATACAATGCTCTCATATAATTTATTTATTAATAAATAAATCAAAATAAACTTTTTTTATATATAATTGCTAATTATTAATTTAATTTTAGAATCAAATAAATGATTGTTTTAATAAAATCAAGAATAAATATATAAATATTAGTAGTTCGATTGTGATCGATAATTAAAATTAAAATAACATTATGTAATTAATAAACAATATTAAATAAAGAAATTTAAAATTTTTTAAATTTAATTATAATTTCGAAAATTATAGATTTTTCTATATTCAATACATTCCCATTCTGAAAATCAAATGTAATTTATTTAATAACTGAAAATTTTAATTTAACAAAATATTTTTAACATTTGAATAAATTTTTATTGAAAATCTATTTTATAAAGATATCTTTGTCAGTATGTAAAATATAAATAAATATAAGACTGAATGTCATTAAAACAATTATTATACTAGAATTTTCATACAAAAAGTATTGTAAAATTATAGTCGCAAATGAATAATAAAAATTATATAATATTTATTATAAATTTTGTTTCAATTGAGATTGCTATTTTAAAACTAATGAATTCTATACAATGATTTTTAAAAAAGAAACGTGTCGAATAGAGTATTATGCCTTTTAAGAATAAATTATTTTTTATAAACAATTACACGCAAATTATTCAAGATAATAATAATACTTATAAATTCGTTATATATAAACATGAATTTAAAAAATGTGAATAATAATTAAAATACATGCGACAAAAAATATACATAGAAAAAATTATGACGCTGATCTTCAAGCTAATGTGTTTTACTTTGGGTATATCATTACTTAATGGATATATAATTTTATATAAATTTAAACTTGTAAAATTTATTTTTAATAATTTGATAATTGTTTAATATCACAAATTAATTATTATATAGAACTAATCACAGTTGGTATAATTTTTTATATCTCTTATTCAAATTTAATTAATTATATTATTCTTCTATTTCTCATTTGACCTTTAAAATGTATTATACTAATAATAGCTTCAATCAATGTATTTAATTCTTTACTAATAAGAATCGACTTTATTATTTTTACAATCCAACTTTTATTATTGTTAAGTGATGATTACTAATTCTTAATTATGTATCTCAACTTTTTTATACGTAAATTATATTACAAAATTGCATTGGATAATTCTGGAACTTTAGGCATCTCACATTATATATGCATTAGTAAGACGAGATGGCAGTTTTCAATTAAAAAATATCGTATTTAATTGAGAGACTATCTAAACACTTGCCACAAGTTGTTTTACAATGTTTATTTCATAGTTTTAAATGATAAATATTTAATCAAAACATCAAAAAAAAAAAACAAAAAAAATTAATGGTTAAAAAATTGGTTTTATCCAAATTATAATATTTGCAAGTTATAAACTATTAAATTATTATTTAACTAACTGAATATGAATCATAATGAACAAAGTTTACATTTTATAAATATTTAAAATCCAAAACACTGCCGAACTTGAATAATAATGTCTACAGTATTTTAAGCATAATTTAATAAAACAAAAAGTTGTCAATATCAAATTAATGAAAAGTAGTTTTCCATGTTGCATTAGCGATGAATAAACTATTGATAGAAATTTTAACAGGATTAAACAAACGTTCACAGTATTTGGCACCAAGTAATTAGTACAATTTCTTGTAACGCAAATACCATATAATGCATACTTTTATATCAGTAAGGAAATTGAATAATAAGTGAACGTATTATATAGCATTAAATGAGATGGCAATTTTTATGAATTAAGAATTTAAATTTAAGAATAAATTTTTTTTGTAATAGATGTTAAACTTAAAATAATTAATAATATCATCATATAAACAATAAACTAATTAAGTAGATCATATTTTAAGTAAACTAAACAAATATATATTTACATAAATTATAAAATACATATTTAATATCCAAACTAATGTCGACGATATCTATCCAATTTTCATCTTAACGATGTTGAATTCTTGTTCGATATTTTAATCCGTATTAAAAATATAAAATGAAATAATAAATATTGATGAATATATAAATACAGATAATATAGACAAAAATAATATAAAATTAATATAGTGACGCAAGATATACAAAAAAAGATCTATGCGACAACCGATGATGTTTCATCCTTTATCTGCAGTGATGGGACGAAGATAGCATTAAAAAATGTATGCGATGGCCTTCCTCACTGTATCGATTCATCCGATGAGACGGCCAAGCTGTGCCACCATATCGTGTAATATTTTTATAATATAAATTTATATTTTAAATAAGATCTTTAATTATCATTTTTAATTTAGTGTTCAACATTTTATACGCATATGATTCAATAAATATTTCAAATTCTTATATGTTATATGTCAATGTAATCAATACTAAAATTATCTATTATTATATATTCAAATAGCATTGAGAAAATTAATATATTTATAAATTTTTATCATTATAAGATTTATTATGTAAGATATATTAAAAACAACGATATTATAATAGAATCATAATACATTTAAAATAAATATAAAAGTATGTCTAAATTTTAAATTTAAAGTACACAAAAATTATTGTTTACATTAATGTAGAACACAGATTTTAAGTCACGTAATATAAATATTTTAATATCTAATATTGTTGAAAATTATAAAAACATTATTTTAAAATAAAGTTATTTGTAACAAATTCGGTTGAAATTTAAACATATTGAACCAATACCTAATAGTCTGTTTTAGGATCTTTATCCAGCAATTCGTTTCGCATTTAGTCAACATATATAATATATCTATACATAATATTTCTTTTCAAAGTTTTGTAAATATTAAATAACATTAAAAATACAAATATTACTATATAATATAAATTTTGAAATAATTAATTATTTGAAAATACATATTTATATTCTTAAAATTTTAAAAAGTTTGAAAGAATGAGAAAATTAATTATCCAAATTATTGATGAATTGTCTATAAAAGTGAAATATTATTACTAAAATATGAAATTGAATTAACAATGTATAAAAATTTGTATTATGTAGAATACCTAATGGAATACCGAATGGAATCATCGGATCCATAAAATTCATAATAAAGAACAAAAATTATGACTTTTTCACTGTCAAATAGAAGATATAAATTTACATTATAAAGATGTTAAAACTTTTGAAAAAAAATTTTTAAAATAGAAATAATTCATATTAAATTTTTCAATATTTATATATTATATTATTGAAATAGTCGATTTATTTAGAAAAGAATATCAATGATCTGAATTATATATGTAAATTATCGATTTTCGATATCATAAGCTTTGGTTTATTATAATTATTGTATACACGAGTTATTTATTATTTATTGTTATATCCAATATTTTATTAAATATAGTTATTTATTAATATATATTTCATATTTGATTACTTTATTAATAATAATTATTATTATAAAAAATATTTTTTAAATTAAAAGTGAAATTTCATTTTTTTGCAAACTAAATAATATTAATAAGTACATTTCTTTTCAACTACTTTACAGATTTATGTTTGTAATGATATTATAATCAACAAAACTAATTTTAGCGGGAATACATATTTGATTTAAAGAAAATTATGTAATTATTGTATCAAATATATTGCGAATGAACAAAAGAAATACTATTATGTTTAGATGTCCTTTAACAACATATAAATGTGCTTATGGAGCATGTATATCGCGTAGTAGACGCTGCGATGGATTTGTCCATTGTATTGATGGAACTGACGAACTTTTCTGCAATAATGAAACAGATTGTGCAGATCAAATGTTTCACTGTTTTACATCATTAGAATGCATATCACTGTCTATGATTTGTGATGGTATGATTAATTTGTAAACAATACTAAAATAACATAATTAATACGCAATATATAGTCACAATTCTATTAAATATACTGTTAATAGTAATAAATGTATTTGATTAATAATAAATTTGATTAACTAATAAAAAAATTGATTAACAAAAAATAAAATAAATATATTTGATTAAATACTTCTATCTAATAACTTTAAATTTATTAGATTTTTACCTTTATACCATATTTATTTTCATGTTTCAATTATTGTAATTTTCAATCAATTATTACTAACATATTAATCAATTCATTATATACTTAATATATAATTATCACTTATAAAATTATTATTATATAAGTATTTAATTACAATTAAATATATATAATAAAATAAAAATATGAAATTTAAAAAATAATTATATTTTATATTTTTAATAATAATATTTATAGAGTCCAATTGCAAAAATTAATAATTTTTTTGTCACAGATATCTTTCATTGTTTTATTTGTTTATATTTATTATAAATTTGGGGTATTAATTAATTATAAAATAATTTTAAAATTTTTAAAACATACAAGTTATTTTTAATAAAAAGCAAAAATTTTACATTTTTCAAGGTTTTGTAGACTGTGTTGATCAAAGCGATGAGAGTATAGAAATTTGTCAAAATTATGTTTGTCCTAATCATACATTTAAATGTTCTTATGGTGGATGTATTCATGATGAAATTGTTTGTGACGGTATTAAAGATTGTATTGATGGCAAGGACGAAGCTAAAGATTTATGCACTGCACTTAACTGCAAAAATGACGATTGCCGAAAATATACTTGCAAGTATGATTTCTGTTAATAAAATGAATCAATCTTTTACAATGCAAAATGCATTTAAATTTTCATTTATAATAATAAATGCAGTTTTAGTCACTGTTCTTGGAGCAAATTTTTTTCAGTTTTCGTTGAAGTTCACAAATACGTTAAATGTAGCTCATTTTTGATAAGAATTAAAAATTAAAATTGTAATAACGAAGTAAATAAAAAATTTGAAATGCTACAATATTACGTAATAAAAAATCAGGAATTAAAAATGAATTTAGTAATTGTTATTTTTTATAATATATTAATAAAGAATTAACGAATAAATATTTATTTTATTAATACCGATTCCCATGTATATATACATGAATTATTTAATTTTGATCATTTATAGAATAATACAGAATTGAAAATATAAATAATTTGAAAATATAAAATATTGTAAATAATTTTATATTTAAATAAAATTAAAATAATTTACGATGTATCAAATTCACATTAAAAGTGAATTATTAGTGGATAACTAAATAATGATTTATTTATTTCGATTACAGGTAATACTTATTAAAATGTATATCCTATTATAGATGTTTTTACGGAATAGTACAATTTTACTAACAATTTATTAAATAAATTTCTATTGTCTAAGGTATATAAAATAAATAACAAATTTTTTTTCTTTTTTTCATTTTTCCTAATTTTTAGTATTAACTTATTTTACTAACTAGTTCCATAGTAATTGTAAAAAATACTTATAAGATTAAATAAATATATTCATATCATTCACAAGAAAAATTTATGATGTAAAATGTATACATTTAGTATATAGAAAACGTTTTTAATATTTTTATTCAACAAATAAAGTTGAAATTTGTAATAATTTGAATAACTCTTTATTGTTACAGAAATGATGAGTTTAGTTGTGAGAATACTGGCCAATGTATTCCAATGAATAAAGTTTGTGATGGTACACATCAGTGCCAAGATGCAACGGACGAAAAAAGCGATATATGTAAAAATCGTAGGTATGCTACAATAATTGTATAGTAATTTTATAATATAATGGCATATAAAAATATATATTTTAAGTAAATATTATATTTAAAAATCATATTAATGAATGTAAAAATTATTATTATTATACAATATATACAATAAAACTATTATTCAATTACATAGTTATAAATAAATGTATTTATTTATATCATATTTTAAAAACTTTTCAAAGTGTAAACAAATAATATTTTATAAGTATAATAATAAACTATTTCATTATATATTAGAAAAATATTTGAAATTTGTAGCAGAATCATTTATTAATTAATAATCTGTTTTAGAAATATTTTTAGATTTTTTATTTAAAATCTACTTTAGATTTATTTTTTAGATACTTTGTTAGATGTAAAAAAATTTTAGTAAGAAATCGATTTAAGTTGTTCCAAAGATTACTTTCGTTGCGCTTATGGTGGCTGCGTACCGTCAAGCTCACAGTGCAATCTTCGTGCTGATTGTTATGATTGGAGTGATGAGGATGACGATACATGTGGGAATTCATTACCAGAAGGTGCATGCAATCTTCCTCTTGTAGAACCTGGAACATGGTACAATGTCGGAAATTGCGAGCGTTGCCGCCCTGGTAGTACAGTACCAGAACTTACAAGACTTGAATTTAATTGTTATGGAAATACAAGCATAGAGGGTGCCAGTATAGCATACTGTCAAGGTAGTCGATGGCTTCCATCTCTTCCTACTTGTTTAAGTGGTAAACATTCGCCATCAAAATTTCTATTATACTTGCTATAAAGATAGGATGTTAGTATTTCCGAACAAAATTATGAAGTTTTTATTATAACTCAGTTACAAATAAGATAATACTTAAAATACTTGATATTATTCAAATAGTTCCTATAAGAATTTTCTTATTTTTTTAGTATAAAATTATTTTTATTTTATTGAGCTATTTTATAAAGTTTGTACAAAAATAATTAAGTATTGTTTAGTATAGTAAAGATATACAATCTTAAGAATAATGTTTAATGTGAAAAATGCATTACTATTGTGTTCTTGGTATATTATAAATTTTATATATAATAAGTTATATACATTATGTTTATTTGATAAGGATGTTATAATAATTTACAATGTAAAAAAGCTTTTAACTGTTGAAATTTTTAATAAAAAGTAATCGACAAAATTAATTGTAGTAATGATTAATCTGATTATAGCTTCTAGCACAAAGAAATGTCCCATAGTAAATTCACCTGGAGCGATACAATACTGTGAAATAAAACAGGGTGTCAAAGCAGGTTTAACATCTTGCAATCATCCGGCATCAATTGGTACAAGAATATCATTGAAATGCCATCATTTCTATGAAAGAGAACGAGGCTCGTCTCATATAACATGTTTACACGATGGTACTTGGAGCCAAATACCTCTCAGTTGCCGACCAACTTGTGGAATAAGAACATCAGCATGTAATTTAATTTAAATTTTATTGTTTTATATCATTCTTGCTTCAAATAAGTATATAAAAATATTTTCCAAATGAAATACACGATAAATATTTTAATATCACACAATGATTCAATATAACTTTGCAATAAAACTCTATAATGTAAAATTAACAGTACGAAAAAATATGTTATGTATAATACACTTTTATTTAAAGCAAAACAGAAATTAATTTGTTAAATTGTATTTAAAGGCACATATTTGTATTGATTTTATTACAGTACATTAATAATTAAGTTATCATTAATATAATCTCGTTTGAATAATTTTTAAGAAGCTGAAGAATAATTGAAAATTTACTCAATACTTAAAATGTTTGGCTTTATTACGCATCTGATAACTTTTGTTTATGGTTAACATATATTTCAAATATAAAAATTTCAGATGGAATTGTTCTTTGCATTTGTTTGAGTTTTAATAAAAATAAATGAAATGTTCTTAATACAAGAAATTGATTAATATTTATTATTCAGTAATAAATTTATAAATTAGATAAATTTATGAAAATTAACAAAAATTTTTATTTATATTAAAAAATATTCTATATCTATATATACTATGACAAATTTGTCATCTTTTTTTAATAACTGATTTTAAATTAATATAGAATTTTATATGACTTTGTAATTATAAGAAATTAAATTTTCATTTAATTAAATATTTAAGAAAAGTTTTTATAATTACTAACATGATCATATATAATAATATAATTATAATAGTAGCAACTATGATTATAAGAGGTTGGAAACCATCACCTAAAGAAGATATTCCATGGCATGCAACGTTATTTTCTTATGAAAATGGATTATGGAATTTCTTTTGTGGGGGTACGTTAATAACTGAAAAAATTGTGCTTACAGCAGGTCACTGCATTTGGAAAACTTCACCTGACACCATCAAAGTAAACATATTTTTGTCCATATTTTAAATAAAAAAAATCTGCTTAATTCTTCTAATGTTGAAAAAATTAATATTGTTTTTTCTAAAACACTCAATTTTATAACATAAAAAAACTATTTTTAAAATAATTTTTAAATATTTAAATACAAGTAAATATAATTTTTATACAGGTGTTGTTAGATAGTAATTCAAGTAATTTTACAAATCAAAATAAAGAAACTCAGATACGAGATATTGATCGAATTGAACTTCATGGCTCGTACCAAGACTATGAAGGAAATTATGGTTCTGATTTAGCCTTGTTAATTTTTAAAAATCCAGCTTTAATAAATCCCCGTGTGCTTCCTGCTTGTATTGATTGGTCCAGCCGATATGATGTAACTCAAAGAATAGGTGAAGTTGGTTTCATTGCTGGTAAGTTAATAATATTGTTTTGAATAAGTTTAAATTTCTCAAAAAGAAACATTCAATTACAAAAAATATATCAAAATCAGTTGTTAATATATTGCTAATAAATTTAAATGAATACATTTTATTTATATTTTAATATATAATTAATATTTTAATTAACATGGTAAAAATATAAATAATTGCTTGAACAGAAGTGTTTTAATTTTTCCTTTAATCTAATATTATTTTCAACAATTTAAACTATATTATTTAATAATCACAATTAAAAATCATGTTAATTTTCAATGTAAATATCGCACTAATGATAAAATTATAGATTTTTTAATATAATGATTACAAAATAAAACTAAATAAAATTCATTGCTCTTATAAATCAATTTTTAATAAATAATTTAAATAAATATCATTACAGGAATGGGTGTAACCGAAAACGATACATTCAGTTCGAATTTACGAATAGTCTCTGCCCAAATTATATCTGAGGATGTCTGTCGTAAGAAAGAAATGCCAGATTTTCGAAAATACTTAACCTACACATCTTTTTGTGCTGGATGGGCTAATGGAACTGCTGTTTGCAACGGTGATAGTGGTGGTGGTTTTCTTTTACAACGACCTAATACAAATATTTGGGAGGTTCACGGAATCGTTTCTTTGAGTCCTAGACGTTTGGGTGGCTTTTTATGTGATCCAAATTATTACACTGTCTTTACAAAAGTATGTCTTCATGAATATTTAGTATTCTGTATTTACTATTCATTACATATAAGTATACTGTTTTCATGGTATCTGTCATAGCAGTCTAAATACTGATATCTAATTGATTTTTTTTATAAATTTTAAGTCAATTATGTTAACATATAGTAGTATTGGTATCATGTATTATTATAGATAAGTATTATGTATTATATTATATGTCATATGAAGATAATTATACTAACTTGTTTCTTTATGTAATTCTATTATTATAAAATGATTGTGAACGCGAACGTTGCGAATATATCTTCGTTCTTTCAATTAATTTCTATTGGAATTTGAATTATTATTTTTCGTATACGCGTTAGTTTGAAAAATATCCATTCGTGTAATGAATGTTCTCCCAATAAAAATATTATCTACACTTTTTAAAACTCATCTAATTATAACTAAGGTATAAGACATTAAACACGTAATTAAGTTTGAATCTTATATATATAAATAATTAAAATATCTAATTCTAGAAACAATTAAATATTTTTGCTTACTAATCTACCTAAATCTATTTTTGGAATAAAAATTCAATATTAAAAACAGTATGTATATATATATATATATATATTTATATATATTGTTGAATCTAAAATTTTTACATACGTATGAACTTGCAATATAATAAAAAAATGAGATTACCTGTATGAACCAATTTAATTTTTAAAAATACTATTATTATTTATAATTTAATAGGTATCACCATACATCAACTGGATTAAAAAAATAGTGTATTCCATTTCAAACAATGAAGAAAAATATTTAGATAATATTTTGATATCCAATAACAATAATGTAAATAAGAAAAACTGTTATACTATTAAAATACTTTTATATTATATTCAATTTAGTTACAATTTTAATTATTAATAAATATTTCTATTGAAAGTAATTTTAATTTACTATAGTTCTAACATTTAATATAATACTTCGTGTAGAAGAAATGATGTTCAAAGATTGGTTGTATATAATTTCTTTATATTAGTAGATAAATTTAATGTCTACTAAATAATAAATATTTATTTTATTTTATTAACAACAATAATTAAAAATTCTAATTTGAATACTAATGTGATCAATTAATATTTATAGATAGGGAAAAGAAGTAATGAGAAGTCGAGAAGATAATTAATTAAATATTCCTAAAACGATTTCCAAAATAGAAAAGGTGGTCAAAAACAATTCGAAGATAATAAATAGATGTGAGGAGTACATCATATAAGAATAGTATTTTCTGTTAAAAAGTGAATACATAAATAAAAAAACTTTTAATTGAACTATTTAAGCTATGAAATGAATTCTTTATGTAATGTATATAATTAAAAGAATAAAAATAACTAAGTTAAACATTGAACTAATAAATATATACTTGATCAAATCATTACATATTATAAAATTCTAAGTATGCTTTTGATGTAATGAGATATTAAATTTATTTGGTATTAATGCTTTTAATTAAAATAAGAAAATAAAACTCAACCATAATTTATTTAAAAATTTTGAAGGTATGTTTACTATAAAATTTTTTTTATAACCTGCATGAAAAAACAAAAATGGTGCCTTCATTACAAAGCATGTGTTTCTTACAATAATCTCTTTTTTATATAACCACAACTATATGCATATATATAATCGTAGTTTTTAAATGAACACATATAATAAAATATACATAAATAACACAGTTATTTATATGATTTTTATTTTATACATTTTTTTAATATTTATTTTTATTTATTCATATTAGTAAATATAAAATAAAAAATATTTTTAAATATAAATTCAATTACAAAACTTAATATAAGTATTATTTCAAATTCATTTTTGCACATATATAAAAATATATTTTATAGTTTTTATTTATGTGCACTGATATTATTAGCAATTGAAAAATCAAATATACCTACAATTTGTTTACATGTGGTTTAATAAATCAAACTATATTGAATGCTTAGTAGTCATATAAAAATATTAAAATTTTAATATTTTAATATTTTTAAAAAACTGATTTTATAGAAATAGAAATAATAGAACATATAATTATTTCAATTTTATTAATATTCATATGTTTATATTTTATATTTTATATTATGAATTAATAAACTTTTGTTACACTGATTTTTAATGAATTTATTTTTGTTTTACTAATATTATATAATGAATGTTGTTAAACAGGTGCCTTGAAATTTATATAAAAATTATATTATCTAAAATTGACTATTGAATTGTGAAGCACAATTTGAACCGTATTTTTATAAAATATTTAATTATTTTTCACTTTAAATTATATATCAAATAAATAATACTAAGATATTAAAATCGATATAAATGATATATTCTAAAGCTCTGAAAAATTTAATCAAACAATTTTCGTTTAAAATTTATTCATTCATCAAAGTTTTACATAAAACGCATATCGATTGAAATTTTTGTTTACAAATTTACAAAAGTTAAAAATATTAATAAGAAGAAATTGAAATATTGTATTAAACTGAATATATTAATATGTATTTTTCCTACTATTATAAGTATAATTACATTTGTGGTACCACAACTTTATAAAAATTAGTCATTACTTCATACAAGCCGATTAATGTATTATCTACAAAAATAATATAATAATTTAATATAACTCTCATTAAATATATTATTAGCTGCTTTATTAACAACTTCCAAATTTGGTATAAGAGATTAATAGAAAGTATTGGTTAATCGTTAAATATGCATATTATAGTTTCATAACTACATCTACACTTTGTATGACAGTACACTTAAATCAATTTTATAAAAATATAGTTGAGGCATAATTCTTATGCATTTAAAGTAAGCCTCAAATAATAATTTTGAAAATTTTATTATATTAATTGATAAATTATATATAAAATGTATGAATTAAAACAATACAGTTAGCAAAATATCATAAAAATAAATATCTTTATTAAAAGTATACATTTTATTTTCAACTTTTATTAAACTTTAAGGAAAAATTTACTTGAGCTATTGTTAAAATGCATCCCTGAAAACATATTTGTCAAAAATGGTAAATAATTTTGGCAATTAATTCTTATGTATTAATTATTTATTGTAAAATGATTTATTTAAATATTTTTTACAATAATAAATATTTTAAGTAAGCACCAATTATCATAAATATAAAATATATTTACTACTATTGCTAAGATAAATAGTAATAAAAATACTTTTTCTTTAAATTATTGAATATTTGAAATTTTTAAAACAATTTGTTTGTAAAATATATATATATTTATAACAAAATATTTTATTTTAAAACAATGTACAATAATTTATGTTTTGTTCAACTTATAATAAGTCGTATTATAAATATTCTATATTTACAATTAAATAAAAATTCAAATCAAAATATATTTTATAAAATAATTAAACCAGGAATCTTTGACAAAATATGCTTTAAGTTCACAAAATGAAAAATATATACAAATTAATCGTTAATATTATATATAAATATATATAATATATAAGATCGGCAAATAAATTATTTGAAACTTCTAAAACCTGTACATAGTTTACATTTTCAGTTTATAAAAAAGCTTGTCAACAATATAAATAATTATTCGTTTGATATTTAATAGATACGTGTTTGTAAAATAATTTAAATTCTCACCCACATGTTTTAATTAGATTCTTAATAACATTTAAAAATATTTTTATAAATTATAAAACTAAAAATAAATCATGGAAAATTAGCTAAATAAACATTATTTGTAAAATTTCAATTAACTATAATCAATTCTGTTTGAGTATTTATTTATTTTGGTTAAATACCATAACATCACATTTTCATTCTTTACATTCATAAAAACTCATCAAATGTGCAATTTGATTTGAAGCACAATAAAGAATAATGTAATTTTATAGATACTTTTTACATCTCGAAAATATTTTTCAGAAAAGAAAATATTTGCTATTTGAAATAAATAAATAAAAGATGACAATTTTGATAATAATTTTAAAATGTATATTATTAAATTGTTTCAATATTAAATTACCTGCCAAAAAAATGATTTCTATTATGTTTCATACTCATATGAAGCAAATAATTTATATTCAGTTGACTGTATTGACATTAGTAATATTATAATTTTAATAATTAATTGGTAGTCACAATAGCATGAAAATCGGTATTTCGTTGCTACTTTCGGCTTTAAAGATTTTTTTCCTGTACTATGTTTCTTCATGAATGAAAATTTGGAATAACGTATTTATACATTTTTTTATCAATTAAAAATATTTGCGAGTTTTCTTGTAAGCAGGATGCATTTAGGTTATAGCCAATAGAATCTCAATTATAAAAAACTCTATGGCAACAATAAAATAAAAAAGTGAATTATATTTATAATTAATAAATAATGCATATGTCACACTTTCCTTTTACGTAATTTCGCCTGCGCTTCTTTTAGTAAGAGGTCGAAAGTATTTTCTTCTTCAGGCTTAAACATACTACCTTTATTTCCTCCAAGTGAATTGTTTGCCACTCCATCTAGTTGATCGATTTAAAGATTAATGAATATAAATTAATATTAATATTAATATTTTTATTAAAATATTCTTTATTCTCTATAATATATAATTACTTCAAGTCCTATTTTTTAATAAAATTATAAAAATCAATTTAAGTGAATTTAAATAATCAAAATTTGGATACTTGGCAAATTCTAACCAAAACTGAAATAATTATAATCACAAAAATATTTTGACAAAAGCTACGATATAATAAATTAGTAATGATTAAAAATATTTTTAATTAATAAATTTAATTAATTTGACCTGAACAAAATAAATATTTAAAAGATAATATGCTTGAATAAATATAGCATAAAATGTAATTTAATTTACAAAAATTGTACCTAATTGAAAATCACTTACAAATTGATATTGTTTATTAATATTTACAAGATTATCTATTATCTAGTTATTATAATTTTAATTCACATGTTTTTATTGTGTATCTAAATTAAATTGACTTTAAAAATAAACAAACAATTTTTATTTTGTTACTATTAATATGAATCTCGAATATAATTAATTTTCTTTATTTGATATTTATGAATACAGTATTGAAAACAATATCCATCCAAATATTTTTAAAACAAAAAATAATTTTTCAATATTGACCAATATGATAGAATTTCAGGTCTTTTATCATACAGCTTAAAAGATGTATAAGTCATAGTAAAAAATAAAATATTTATCAAAACTGTACACTGTAAAATAAAAATGAAAATTTCCGATAGTTAAATTTTCATGAAATTCATGGTTATAATTGAAAAATACTAGTAAATGATACTTTAGATAACAACAGAAAATTAAATTTTTTACAAGAAATTATTTAGTAACAAATAGAGTTAATTTATAAATAATACTTTCAAACTGTATATATATATATATATATATATATATACACACATACATATACCTACACAAATAATGAAAGAATTAATGTAACGATTTTGCACAATATCCCACATTCATTATTAAAATTCGTAGAAATATTAATATATATTATGATAGATTAGTATAATGTAGATTATAAAAATATTGGATATCACAATATGACTAAGTTGTAATTATGTTTTTTATAGTCCATAAATATCATAAGCTAGATCTGATCATGAATAAAAATATATAAATAAGAAAATAAATAGAAAATACCACATTAGAGATAAAAATACAAACTATTAGAAATTGTCAACAGATTTTCATCAAAATATTTTTATAAAGAATCCCAAATGTTATTAAAACGGATTGTACTGAACTTAATTAAAATTTTAACTAATTATTACCAACATTTTCTATGAAAGTACACAGTAAGTTGAATCAATTAATACTTTTTATTTTATAAATAATTTAAAAATTTATTTTAACAATCACTGCTTTTTTATTTCCATTCATAGTTTAACAGATATGGATAGCACAAACTAGAATTTTCGTGTCAAAAAGTATTGTCTAAAAGTATAATATATTTTTTATAAGTGTTCAAATTTTTATTAAATTTGAAATAATAGAAATGGAAAAATCGCTTAAAACAGATATTGAATTTCCTAAACCAACTTACCAAGATCAGCATATTTTACTTTACAAAATGCTCTGCGACCACCAAAACACAAATCATATCTAGGTAGTGATGGATCATCATTGCCATGCTCTACTGCTTCGTAAGCATCGTTTTTATACGCAAACGTTACAAATCCATAGTTATGCCTAAAAATAATATTTCATGTATATATTTATATTTTATTTAATTAAAAGTAAATTTTTCGCTATTTTAATCCGCTCAATCACTATTTCAGTAAAATTTGTTTCAGTGTAATAGAATTTTTATAATAATATTTGTTTCCATAATTTTATGTGACGGTTGCGCGAGCGTATGAATATGTATGAATATGTATTCATATTAATACATTTTTGCTTGATATTTTAAGACAGACAGTGATTGAACTTCACTTTTAATGCATTTAATCCAATGAATGTTTGATTTCATAATAATTTATTATTATTATTTATTATTATTTTTTATTACATTACATAAAAAAGTTTAATAAAGAAAACAAAAAAATGTAAGTATTGTTTTAAATACATTTTCTACAAAAATTTATTTATATGAAAATTTATTAAAATCAATGCAATTTTTATGCTTCATTTAGATTAAGTTATTGTAAAACTTCGAAGTAAGCTTTCCAAAAATTAAAATTAATTTTATTTTTTAATTGAACCTATACATAAGCAGCTTCATTTATAAAATGTGAATTACAGAAATTTAGTAATATATTTAAATAATATAAAAATATTAAGTAATATGTACATATTTTATACTCTCATCAATAATTTTTAATTGATAATAAAATGCTTAAACACTAATAAAATAATTTGCAAATGTGATTAAAATATTTTGTTAATTACCTTGTATTTAACCATTTCCTAATTTGCAATTATTAAATAATGTAAATATCAACTTTATAAACTAATACTTTTATATTTCGCAACAAAATATAAAACTAGAAAGCTGTAAAAGCATTAGCGTTTATATACTCTGATTTCAATAACTTTCTGCTATACATATAGAGAGAACCTCACTGTATGAATCGTTTTAATTTCTGTAATAATTGTATTTTAATTATAAACTTATTTTTGTAATTGCTGTTGTGTAATAAACTAATTTCTATACATGTCTAATAGTGTCTATATAAATCATATCCAAAATAAATATTTACGTTCGAAACGTAGAATAAAGAGCTCAGAAAAGATGCAATTCAAAACACATTATAAAATTTATTGATTTATCCTATATTGTTTTATGAATTATGTATTCGTAATAGTACTAATATTAGATACAATACTAATAAAACTATAGCAACATTATATCATAAGTAACACTAAATGATCATAATATCCATACTGTTTAAAGGCTGAAGATATTTAATGTACTTATTAATTAGTTAAATTTTAATTCATTATATAAATATATATATATATTAATATAATTAATTAATGAATTAATATAATTTTTAAATACTATTAGGATGATTTTATTCAAAATAATAACACAAGTTTGAAATTATTATCTTAAAACTATGAGAATAGTTTTCAATAAGAAATAACTATAATTGAATAATTTAACGATATTCATAATAATTTTACAACTTAGAATAGTTGTATATCAAAATCTAATAAGAAATTACGACCATTTAAGATAAGCTATATTTTTTACGTTATGAAATAAATAAAGGTTTAATTCTTATACTAACTCCTTATTGAAGAGATCTTTGAGCTAATAGAACGATGAGGATTACAATATTGATTAGCAGACTTAAAATTTTTTAAAAACAAATCGAATTAAAATTTATAATGAATAATTTAAAAATTTTATAATTAAAAAATATAATCTATTTTAGTAGTTTTATTATTGTCTTTGTTGTGATGTATTATTTAAAAAAATCTACTTTAAAAGTTTTTCATTTGAATATAGAATAAAATATTATACAATACTATTATTATTGTTTATTAAAAACTTTTATTAAGAGTCGTTAAAATTTTACTAAATTAAATGTTTATATTAAATATTACAAGAACAAATATTTATGATGTACAGTATCAATCTATCATCATATAAAAAAATATCGTTATTATGTATAACCACATTTAATAATAAAAACTTTTAAATTAATTACAAATAAAAATATTTTTTTTTTAATTACCGTTTTTAATTTTTAACAATAAATATATTTTGTATTAATATAAATTTATTAATTTCTAAAAAATCAAACAGTTTAACTCATAACTTTACAATGAAATGAAATACAATTTTTTTGCGCAGTTTTTTATTATTTTAAATTATAAAAATACACAATGTATTTATCTAAGTATCCATATAATTTTTATTTCATATAAAAATATATAATAGTTATTCATTTATTTTGTATGATGATAAATGTTTGGATTTTTTGTGTTTTGTTCTGATTTTATGATACATTTAATTTTACTGACCATAATTGTAATATTTTTAAAAGTACTCACCCTCGCTCCCGAAAGTGTAGACTGATATTAACAACTGGTCCGAAAGTTTCAAATCTTTTTCGTAACTCTGTTTTGGTAATATCATCCTTCAATCGACCGACGTAAATAACTCTTCGCTCCTCTACTTGTCGTTGTTTTTCTTTAATACACCATTCATCATATGAGCGTCTATAAAATGATAATGGAGATCTAATAGTAAAAAATAAAAATTATATTTAAAAAAAGCAGTTAAACAGTTATGTTAATGTGTGTTGCTAAATGTAGTAAACAAGCTGCGTAAAAACATTTAAATCTAATAATCTATATTATCAGACAGCAAATCAGGTAACATTTTATTTGAATTTTATTTACAAAATAATAAGTAAAAAAAAAATCTGAAAAGTACTCAATAAACAAGTCACTGACAAAAAGGAGTTAATTATATGTTCCTAATTGCAACTTCAAACCTAATTTATTTACCTCCAACTACCGAAGCCATGACTATAACCCGATGAATCCTATCTGAGATTATTAAAATTTCGTCTGTATCCACGCCTGTTTCTTTTATTTTTCGACCATTTAGAACACCCAAAAACAGAACGGGGATTAAACCTATGTTATTTTTAATACCATATTAGATTTTTAATTTGTTTATAAAATTTTTATAAAAACTCCAAAAGCCGTATATAATATAAAATTAAAAAATCATTTATTATAAAATTATATTTTTAATTTAATTTAGTGCACTAATAATTTACTCGTATTTGTATGCGTATGTTTATTTGGTAAAATTTAGTAGATTAAAATTGAATTCCTTTTTTTTTGTTTTATAAAACATACAAATAAAATGTTATATTCAATGTTTATCTTTTAAATAAAAGTTGATCTTTATTTATCAAAAGTACTTAATTTTGATTACCTCGAGCTATTGGAGTATCTAGATGACCTTGATCTCGAACTGGAGCTTCTTGATCTCGATCTCGATCTCGATCTTGATCTCGATATTGATATCGATCTTGATATCGATCTTGATAAAAACCTACATCTCATTGAAGATCTTGAGCGTGATCTTGTAATTGATCTCGAACGCGATCTGGAGTGTGATGACCAACTGCTAGTCGAGCTAACGGAACTGCGTCTGTGACTGATCCTTCGTCGCCTTGTATGATGTCTTACACAAGACTTACTTCTACCGCGCGATCTATTTATATATATATCGGTACTCCTGCTTTTGCTTCGAATATCATTGCAATCTTCATCACCATTCTTCGTTCCACTTCGTTTGAAATTATGACTGTGATTACGATTACAACTGCGACTACCACTATGACTACGACTATGACTACGACTGTAAGCATAACTACGATTCTGGCTCGCTGTCCGACGCAAGCTTTGATTAGTATAATCGCGACTTGAATTTTGATTCCGACTTCGGAAACATGAACGAATATGTGTCCGTCTATAAGTATGATGTTTCTGGTCTCGCATGCAATTTATACTGCAAATTAATTGAATTGTTAAGTATCCTAATCTTATAAGAAAATTTGAAAGAAATAAAAGTCAACAAATTGGCAAAACAGTACTTTCATTAAATAGTAATAGATATTTTGATTTATTCGCAACAAAAAGTATAAGTATTTGAATAAATATTTAAATTTATTTTATTTATTTTATCGTAATTGGAATAATTATTACTTGTATTTCTATTCATACCATTTTTATTTCATATTAAAATTCATATACAATAAAAGTAAAGCTAGGTATAAATTTTTAGTCATTTTTTATTGTATATTTTCATGTATCAATAAAACTCAATTGTTAAAATAAATATTTTACTTAAAAAAACAAAATTAAAGATTTATGAAAAAAATATTTATATTAATTTAAATTATTATCACTAATATTATTAGTTAATTATTATTATTATTATTGTTATTGTTGTAATGATAAAATCATTCGTAAAGTTTTGTTATAATAAATATAAAAAATGCTTGTGTCAATAGTATCAAAATTATTAATATATCAATTTAATATTCAAACTGATCTAAATCAAAATTGTTTCATAGATAAATATTTTGTTCATATTATTTTTAATTCAGAATATATGATATAATAATCAATAGTAATTTAAAAGTTTTAATTTTAAAAAGAATTAAAATTTTTATTGACAGTTCAAAAATACCTAATTTTAGACTGACATATCTTGTCCATCATTTAGATTTCAGCTTATTTTTACAAGTTATTATTTTATAAATGTACATAAATATATGTAATATATATATTTTTAAATAAAACAGAACAATTATACATCTTTTTTTTCATATTTATAATAAAACTATAGTATATATTTATTTTTTTAAAACAAGCATGTAATTAATATGCTCAATCTTTTCTTATGTAAACATAAATATGCTGTAAAAATGTAAAAACCAATCAATGCTTGGTTTTTGTCTTAGCAAAAGATAGGTTTTTAGTGCCCAATGATAAGATTTTAATAGAAACATATATTCACCATACCTCTTTGTTTGTGCAGCTTTCTGTTCATTATTTATTAAGTCAATATGTAGTATTTTAATATCATCCTTTAAGATTTTTTGATTGTTAATTTGAATATTTTTTATTTTCTCATGTTTCAACATATTGGCAATGAATTCCTTTTTAATTAGCGTAATTTTATCAACATTAATTTCGTCAGTTATACCCTTACTTATTGGTTGCTTTTGTTCTTGTTTATCTGATTCATGTTTCCTGTTTTGATTTCCATCTTCGTTCTTTTCGAAAGAAAGAATAAAAACCATCTCAGAGGTTTGTATACCTCTATCTCTCGAAGGTTGCTTTGGTTTAAATCTCTGTTCTTCTACTTCTGACTTTAACTTAAGTACTGATACAATCTCTCTCTCAGACAATGCAATATTGTCTAAACTATCATTTATAGGTTCTGTATTTGTTGATGCATGATGAATATATACTAAAATCATGGGTTGTACAAGAAAGTTTGTACGGCTACCATCACTAAGATGTTCACGCCGACTGCGATACTCTGCAAGATTCAATTTCTTACGAACTGGTTTTTTCTCATCTTTAAACAATTGAACATCTGTTGTATCCTCAATAATTATATTTCGTACCTGGTCATTTAGGCTATTTGTTGTTGTAACAATTGATTTTTTTAAATTACTTTTTAATTTATTTTGAGGTATAGTTAGTGCTGGTGGTTTTTTAAGTACTGACACCATCTGTACAAGTCTAGGTGTATCTACTGATTTTGTTTGAGTAAGGACACCTTTTCGCAGTTGAAGGATTCTTGTAGCTAAAGCTGATTGAATCTTCATTTCGTAAATGGGCTTTGATGAAGTCATATTTGTTTTATTTAATATTTTATTTTTGTCTAATAGACTAACTTGGGATAAAGTCTTATTTAATTTTCTTGATTCTTTGGTTGTCATCCCTTGCAATATACATTTTGTAGAGTTAGATGAAAGCGGCTGTTCTTTATTTGTATTATTAATAAATTCAAAGTCGGTATTTTTTTTGGAACTAGTATCCATCCATATCGTTCTAACCGCAACCGCAACTTTACGATTATCATATTTTGCATGTTCACCAGTATTTTTCTTCCATAAATCATTTTGATTACATAACTTTTCTTTAATTAAAATGAACTGTTCATCTTCACTTGGTTTATTAATATATTCATCTTTAAATTCAGACCTTTTGTTACAACTAACACTGCAATTACTAAGCAGTAAATTGGAATTACTACAATAATCGTGATCAAGTTGAACCAATTCGTCAATATATCCATTGGTGTGCAAATTATCTGTAATCTAAAAAAATACCACAAATTTCACTTTTTTCTATTTGGTTTCAGAAAATAGATCAACATATATAAAACATAGATTTAAATTAACTCATAATTTTAATTCTACTTTTGTAAATAATTATAACAAAAAATTGTATTCTGATATGGCTATGAAAACTGTTTAACTTTAATATAAAATTCTCCTCAATTTTAGAAAGATTTAATTACAAAGTTAAATTAAATAAATTTACTTATCACTTTATTTAACATTTATTTATAAGTTATCACTTTATTGCTTAGCAATCTTCAATAACTAAATATTTTTCTATTAATATAATATATTTTGCAATAAATTATTATTAATTTCTATGATGAATATATATCAACAGCATAAAAAAAATATGTATTGGAAAATATATAGTTTTTCACTATAATAAATATATATAATACAAAATAAATTAGCATGCCCATACAAAATTTATCCATTAATTTAGGTAAATTAATAAAATGTATCCAATATACTTAAAAAATATTTAAACGACCTTGAAACAAATTATTAGTTATCACTAATCAATTTTTCATTGTTTAAAATATAGTAAACTATATATATATATACATAATATTTTCTAACAAAAAATAGTTTTAACTCAATATCACAAATAAAAAAGATTTTACGAGTTAAACGTATTTTTTCACTTAACTAATAGTGAATCAAATCCATTAATTAATATCTAAAATATAATTATTTAAATAATAAACAGATAAAAGGAATTACCTGTATCCTATCAGTAAGTGCTTTGGGAAGAGAATTCTGTATATCTTTCAAATTCTGTGAATCAATGAATTTTTCTACAACAGATACTTGGGATTTATTAATGGAAAATTTTGAAGCAATTGGCTTAGAAGTAGCTTTTAGTACATGGGAAGAAATGGAGGTGGCTTCAGTAGCTTCAAATTGCTCTAAAAGGCTCTTGACATCACCAGCTTCCAATACTAAATAAAATAAAATTTTCAATAATGTAATAAATTTTAAATTATATAAAACTATGTAATAGGAAACTGCATTAAAAGAATTTACATTACTATTTAAATTAATTAAAATACTAATATTATAAATTTCTTTATAGTTAAAATATCAAAGAATTTTATGTTTACTTAAACTTCTAAAAGTATTAAACTATATGATCACTAGATGAATATAAAATTATTTAAAAATAATGTACTATATTACTTGATGTTTATCAATTCTCATTAGTTATGAGTTTTAACCATTGTAATAATTTTGAATGTTTTTTAAGACGTTTATTATAAAATTTCATAAAACATATTTTATATTTAAGCTTAGTTTTTAAATATCAATAATTATTAAATCCATATATAATAAAATATAGTTAAATATTAACATAGTATAATACAATATAGTTTTTATTTTTAATTTTATATGAAACATGTACCAGGTTTTTTTGGAGATGTTGACGAAATACTTTGAAAATTACTAGTTTCTTGTATAAATTTTTTAATCTGATCATTTTTGTTTGATTTTTGTAAATTCTTTATACAAGTCTTATCAGATATTTGAATAGCTTTTTTACTTTTTTTGTCTAATATTTCTACTTTATACTTTTTAGAATGTTTCTTTTTATTATTATTTGAAAATTTAGAATTATCTGAATGTAAAGAAATAACTGGAAACGTATCATGCTTAATGTCTAAAGGTCCCTCCTTTACCATGATATCAATTGATTTTGGTTTATTTGATATTCCATTTATACCTGAATTATAAAATAAATATGTTTGAATAGAAACAATTTTTAAATAATATTTTTTCATTATATACAATTATAATATAACTTTATGTATTATAAAATTATATATATTTAATAACGTATTACAAAAATGATTCCAAAAATTATTTAAATATTTTACATTTAATAAACATAAATACAACTAAATCAAATAAGTAATTTCAATAAATATTATAACTATATAAAATGAATATCTTCTATATAAATAATATTAAACCTATTCAAAAACAAAATGAACTATTGTTTTAAATAAAAAAAACACTATAAATTATTCATAAATTAAAATTTATAATGTTTAGACAAACCTAAAGTTTTTGAATTACGTATAAACTGATTAGTTTCATGCTGTCTTCTACTATCCATAAACTCAATCATGGACTTTGTATCTTCAACTGAATCTATTCCTACAACATCTTTGTAAAAAGTAAAATATAAACACTTTGAATATCTATATTGAATACCGATCAATCATTTTATTAATGATAGAAACAATTGTATTTTGATGAAGAATGAAAAAATAAATTATATAAATCATTTATAATCATTTACCTATTTCTTTTTCACTTTGGTCTAGCAGTGACATAGGAGCAGTTTTATAACAATTGATATTGTATTTAATAGAATTACAAATTATGTTATTTGAATGTTTTGGAGGTTCTTCATACATTAAAATATTGTTTGTAACTTTTTCAGTAGATTTTATTGTATTGTCAAGAACATTATTTACTAAGTTTGAATTTATTCCAATATCTAAATTGACCATATCAATATCTTCTTCAATTTCAGAAGCCTATCAAATTTGATTGTTTTATTTATGTAAATAACTGTGCAATGAAATTTATTTCAAAATTTAAACGTAATATAGTGAACCTGTAAATATCCAATATGTTCTTGCCAATCAGTGAGTACTTTTGCAAAGTCTTCCTTGATATTTTCCATTTTTGGAATAACTCCAGCAACTCCAGAAACAGGTAATATTGCAAGATCACCATTGAGTCTGTGCATAAGTTATTATTTCTTTTAATGTAGTTGAATTTATAGTTTAACATAAAATGACACTTAAAACTGAATCATAGTTAGAAAACTATCTTTGTTACAATCAAAATATTTTTATTAATTAAAAATAGTAATATTATTATCATTTATTACTTACTCTTGTTCAGTTTCCCACAATGTACCATCAGTATCAAATCCTATACTTTCTATATAATTAAAATCATCCACCATTCTTACTAATGAACTTTGTGATTCACCCAGTAGATTGTGCTAAATTAAGAATAGTTAATATTTTTCATTAAGATTTTTATCTTTTTATTATTTTTATTTTTATTATAATTTATTTTTAATAAAAATAATTACTTGGTGATCCAAAGATAATGAGAAATCTGAAATATGTTCCTCATCATGAAAATTTAAAAATCCAGTTTCCATGTCACAAATACCCCAATAATATAGATTCAATTTTTAATCTAATTCAGTAACAGAACTGAATAGAAAATTATTATATAAAATATTTATAGAAGATAACATTTTATTGTTCTCGATCATCCAATAAAAATTATTATTTTAATAAAAAATTTTTATCACAACTTTATAATGAATTCAAATTAACTTATATAATATACAGTAGAGCATTAAAAATAAATTATTTAATATTTAACTTCATTCTTATTTAATATATATAAATTAATTAAAATATTTATTTATATATTATACATAATTTATTTAAATACAGTAAAATAATTCAAATTATTAAATGTGAAAATTTTTTCTTTTTGTAGAAATTGTTTATTTCCTATTATGGAATTTTAATTGAATAACTTAATAATTAATACAAATTATTATACATAATTTTTGGATATTGACATACTTACACTTCAAGTTAAAAAATATGTCTATTTATATATTCAACTAATCTTATTACTATTTAGCAATATGGAACTTTGAATACACAGAGAAACATATTGAATAAAAAGTACTGTATATTATTTTATGCTAATAAAACTCTTTTAAACTTAAAAAGAAATAACTATATACAAAAAAATTAATATCGAAAAGTAAAGCAATTATATTTAATATCCGAAAATTATTTAGGTGACAACAATCATGGCAAAAAAACTCGAAAACACGTTGTTACCATGTGGTTATTTTTTAGGTTATGTCGTTGATACAATTTATAAATTAAAGATTAATATATATATATCGATAAAATGGAGTTATTGAACAACGAATATTTGAAAAATAATTAATGCAACAAATATTGAAAAAGTTGACTGAAGTTATTAACAATAAATAATAATTATTTTAAATGTCTTGTTCAATATTTCAGTGTTTAAAACAATAAAAATGGAGGTTAACACACATTAGTTACCGATTGAATGCACGTACGCGTGCACCAGAGAAATATATATATTATAGTATATAGATCAGGCATTGTTACGTTATAATATTTCGGCTACTACTTTTATTAATTATAGGAATGCGAGTACATTCATAATTATGTAAGATTGAAAAGTCATTTTCGTACAATAACACATTTACAAATTCGTAAAAAATTGATGTAAAACGATAATTACGTATATCTGTAATTACTTTACCTTAACTTTCAAACTAACCCGATTGACTAAAAATGTACTCAATAGATAGGTAAGTATCTCCTATTTTAACTTTTTTAACTTTAACTATCGTTCAAATGCACCCCCTTTCGCCGCTCTTTACACTTATATAATATATATATATATAGTGATACAAAATAATAAAAGAAACATGAGTATTATAAAAATTTAATTATTTTCACTTACTACTGTTTATTTATTAACATCAATCCATTACGTATAATTCAACCTTTTAAATAATTGCAATCATAATTATTTAATAGTAAATATGTTATAAATCATAATAAAATGTCAATAATTCTTAATATAACAATTATTATATAATTCAAAAACCTTTGATTTCACATTAATAGATTCGATATAAATATAGCTATAAATATTGGATAGACTTATCATTGGTTCAGAATTGTACATACTCAATAGTAACAAATGTCATTACTGCATGCTTATAATGTACGTTTTCCTCGTATTCAAATACTATTCATTATAAATTATCTATCAAACAACGGAAGTTGGAATGGTTTTTAGTAAGATTATTATTAATAAACTACTATATCAAACAAGAAAATAATTTTCTAAAACATACAGAAACACTTTGGAAATTAACGTATATATCATACAATGTAATGTCAATAATTAATACAATATATTAATTAGTAGTAATATCATAGATTAGATTTTTACTTATTATTAGAAATATTACCACGAAATGAAAATAGATGGATTATAAATAGATATTATAAATTAAGTATATTGTATCCAAAAAAAAAACTGATTGAAAAAGGTCCGAAACAAATTGAATTTGTGAATAACCCATAAAAGAAACTTATATACAAATATTTCTCAACAGTTTACGGAACATTTTTTAATTAATTTAAGTTTACGGAACATAAAATTAGTAGATGTCATACTTTAAAAATTTAGTACATATCTTCAATAAAATTAAAATAAATTCAGATAAATCATTTGCAATCGTTCATTAAACAAGCTATCACGAATGACAAACGCTTGATTATTGGCATTGTTGAAAAAAGTAAAAATAAAAAATAGACCGGTATTCTTAGTCGATATAATACAATAAAGAATACTAAGAATACTAGAAGGATATGGAAAAAAGCCAGATATGTTCAGAAAATACACAGGATTCTGAATTTATTGTAAATATCTAATGTCACAAAGTCCGTTAAGTCACATTATGAAATATTATTTAAGAATGATGTATGTTAACGATATATATTTACTAAACGACTGAAGTTTACAATGCTATTATCAAAACAAAAAAAAATTTGCGTAAACCAAAAATTAAAATATTGATAGAGAAAGAGAGAGAGAGAGAGAGAGAAAGAGAGAGAGAAAGAGAGAGAGAGAGAGAGAGAAAGAGAGAGAGAAAGAGACAGGGCATAAGCATAATTTAATATAATAGCGTCAGCAAGAAGAAACGAGCTATCCTTACATTCTACATGATAATAAAAGAATAGCAAAAGAATTTATTATTGATAATGTTTGAAATATAGAAAGAAGAGTTGATTCAGTAACATAAATCAGAATCTTTAAATGAAGATTATTTATAAATTACATATTGAAAGCAGTGCTCTAAATAAAGATGATGAACAGAAAATAGATTAGTAAACCTAAAATTATGATTAATAGTGATGAATGTATTTCGATAAATATGAATAAAACTGCACAATATAGTTACACAATCAAGTATAAATATATTTATGTAGATAAAAGAATAAAACAAAATTGAAATATTGAATAATAACTGTTTTCCATGTATATTGTATTATCTACATTGAATTATAAATCATATTTTAAATCGATTAAATCAATTTAAATCGGATAAAATCAAATTTTAAGTTAATAAAAGTAACTCTTATTATCAAGTATGTGTAAAGAAATGTAATGCAGTTTCAGGATAGTCGGTAGATTATCTTATTAATGAAAACCAGTCACAAAATTACTTTATTAAAATAAAATAATAAAGATCACTATATTCTACTTAGCTATACTATGTCACTACCAATAGTTCTTACATCTTTATGAAAATAATAGTAACATAAAACTAGTGATAAATATATCAACAAAAATGAGATGCTCTAACATGTTATCTAATACCTAATGTACAGACTACACTTAGTCCTAAACATATACAAAAAAAATTTTAATCTGAAATTTAAATTTCTAAAAGCACACTTTTTAAAAGTATCTTTTATAATTAAAAGATCGACGTATATTACTTGTAGGTGTCTTAATTCTTTAGCTTCTTGTCTATCCAAAGGTAATCTTTTCAGTCTACCGTCGTACAAATTATATATCACTTAAATTAGATAATTGCGTACTTAACTTTGGACATTTTTCCGCATTAAGCAAGCACATTGCATTGCTTACTACTACATGCGCTGTTGAATATATATCTTCTGCAAATTGGATAAATTTTATAACAACAGTGATTATAAATATATGTATGTATTTTTATATACAAAATATAATACTGCTTAGGTAGTATAATATATTAAAGATTACATAAATAAATACACTATCAATTAATAGAAGTGCTGCGTGTCAACTGACAATAAACAAGTTGTGATGGAGGTCTGACGTTGCAATTTTAGTTATTTGAAATTTTAGTATATAGTAAATAACAGAAAGTAATACATAAATTATTCTTAATTTATACTGTTATTTAATTTTCTATACCAAAATAATAAATTTAATTGCTAGACGAAGAGCTACAACGTAGAACATGAAAAAAACGTGAATGGAATTTGATAAGAATATCAAGTTTATATTATACTTTCTATTTATATTATTAATATAATGAATATAACATAATCTTTTCTAGATTTCGACAAAAATTTAAACTAATGCATTAATAACAAGAAAACATTAATTTAACATTGAGGATTGTAATTTTCAAAAATATTAATTTGTTCGAAACTGTTTGATTTCTTGGCTCGAGCTGCCAATATGTCGATAGCTTTATAATGATTTGCCGCCCGCCCTAGAAGATGCTTGGGAAGGTGTGAAGTGGAAGGGTTGTAGAAATGTATAATATGTGCAAAGTTCATTAACGTATGGTTTATTAACAGTTACATTAATGATAAGCAGTATTCACTTCTCATAGAAGAGTGTAAACTTTGTCTTGTCGCAATGATGTGGTTGCTGATTTTGTAAGTATCAACAATGGATGATGCATGCTCCTTAGTAAGGAGTATGCTCTTTCTTGTGTAGATAACGTAAAGTCTGCTAATGTTGTAATTGTAACAATGAAAGAATAGCATGTAGTCTGTAAGCATACACAATGTGAAAATAGTGTGTAGCCTGAAAGCGTATACAATGACAAGTGGCGTGTGGTCTGAAATCTTATACTGTGGCATCTGCTTATGTTGCAAATATTAGCAGAAATATGCACGTACTCCTGGAGGCACGTGTGGCGACCGAATGATTATAAGGAATACCTTGAGACTATGCTTCTTGTAGCCGTATAGTTTCTCGTAATGCAGTCAGCGCCCTTGACTGTTTTTAGTTTGAACGTGTATTTCTTGGGATGGCTTCGGTGCGTGAGTGTTTTGAGACATTTGAAAGTAAGGCTTTGGAATATTCGATAATTCTCGGAATCGAATGTTTACAAATTTTGATAGAAGGCTGATATCTTTCCTAAAGTCAAAGTCTCAAAAAATGCTCCAATTTCGAACATAATTACATTAATTGTTTTTGTATTATATTTTAAGAATTTTAAGAAAATCAATTTATGACTAAATTTATTTGTAATTATTTTAATGATTTCTTTCATAAATGATAAAAAAGTTAAATACTAAAATAATGCTCACTAAATCACTGTCTAAAGAATAACAAATTATAACGATTCATCATAGATAACGAAATTACAATGAGTTCATTAATTATTTCATATATATATATATATATATAAGATATAAGATATATATATATATTGCATCTTTTCATTGCATCTATTTCTTTATATATTATATATATATTTATTGCACGCTTGTATCTTTTATTTTGTTTAGATGACTAAGGGCTATTGGCTCTAATGTAATCATGTTGTACTATATTTCAAGCAATATGCTCCTGTACAACTTTTTAATGAAAATTATCTCATCGTATCTCTCAAATTCATAGAATAATTTTATCTAGGATAATATATCCATTAAATTGCTATTTAAGCAAATATTAATTTATAGATCCGCTGGATTGTAATAAGTAAGTTTTTGCTTCTTTTTTTGCTATTATGTAACAAATTAAATTATAATATTAAAATTCGATGTAAAAATTGCTTAAAATGTTAGCACGTCACACTACTTGGTAAGGATATTTAATGATTTTTCTCCAGCTCAATATATATTTTCTTACAAAAACTATGCTTTTACTTAAAAAAGTTTTTATGTACTTGTTCAAAATTAGGATACCAGCTCGGTTATCATATCTTTTAAAATAATATTAAATATTATTTGTACAAGAAATAGTTCAAATAAACATATCAATTTTATTTGTCATCATCAAATAACTGCACCTCAAAGAACTATTATTGGCATAAATAAATAAATTTAACATTTACATTCTATTTGAAATCAAACTGCTGTAAATAATTATAATAATAAATAATATAAGTTTTTGCCAAAATTTTAGTTCGAAAAAATGCTATCAGAATAATTTTTTTAAAATTTCTATCAAAGTTGTAACAGCACTTACTAAAGAAAAGTATAAAGAATACTTCAAAACCATTCATCTAGAAGATTCAAATTGTTATTACATAGTACATTTGTTAATCAAATTGTCATAAAATGTGTTCGATAATTCTTATTAAACTGTTAAACGTTAATCGAAAGATAGTTTAATAAACATTCTAAATGTAGTATGTAGTATTATAATTCAATCATATAATAAGAAAAAAATTATTAAACAGTTACTCAATACTAATATTTTATAATGTATTTGAGCGTCATAACTCAACTAAATTAAGAATTATTAAGAAATATAGTTTAACCCCTTTAAATAATTCAGTAAATAATCTTATGTATGTAGAAGCATTTTAATTGTTTTGATTCAATTTTATAAATTGTTTTTATAACATCTTTTAATTGAGATTAATAAAGACTGTAGTGTATTAATAATCAATTTGATGTTATATCTATATATTTGAATAATATATATATATTTGATGTCATATACAGCAAATACCGTATCATTTCTAATGAGAAAAAAGACTTTTATAGTTTGCTGAAAATGAAGATTAAGAGAACATATTCAATAGAGTAATTCTGTGGATGAAATTATAGAAACTATTCATCGATTGATTAAATTTTCTACGCGAGTAGACTTTTATTTATTATATAACACTCACCTATTATAATTATTAAAAATTATTTTATCAACTATCTTAATAAAAATAGTATTATAAAATTAAATGGTTATTTTAATAAATTCATTTAAATTCTAAATAATATTAGCACTTGTTAGAAACAAATACTCAAAATGGCTTATAATCATGGAAATAAAAATACTTTTATTTGCTTTATCCCACTAGTACATATTAGGTAAAATTTTATTTACAAAAACACTAGTTTTTGAAAATAAATTATAATAATCCACTACCACTTCAATTTATTTTTCAATGTTTTAACATTATAAAATATTTCTCAAGTCTGGTCAGGCTCTAAATACTGGAGTGGTTAGATGTTTTAAAAACTTAACAAAATAGCCACACAGATTTTCCGATACATATTTGTTTATAATAATTACTGTCATATATTTATTTAAAGATTTAAGATTGTTTAAAGACTATTTGAAATCCATAGTAGTGCTATTACTGATAACTAATAATCTTGAAAATAAATTTTGTTTAGAAAACTTTGTAATAAACAGTTTATGATTGAAATTTCGAACAATACAAAAATATATACCTAGCATATGTATATACTTAAAGAGTATATACTTGCTTATTAGAAATATAGGTAAGGCACTGCAAATTTTGTTAAATATTAAGATATCAATGATTATATAAAAACTTGTTCTATATGGTTTATAGATAGCTATGGTTTATCGATTCTATTTATCATAGCAACACTGACCCGAACAAATTTTATATGTAAGAATGTCGTATTAATTTCCTATTACAAAGAGTATACTAAATGAATGAATATCAGTGAGAATGAATAAATACTCACAGCTTAAGTTGTTGAAAAAACTATTCGTGGTTTTAAGTTAAATTTAATGTTAAACAAAAAAATTGATTTATTAACAGTAATCTTTATTTATCGAACAGTTTTTTCTTAAAGAATTCACAATTATAAAAAAAGTTGATTTATAAAGTTTGAATTATTTCTTAGACTTTCCGTATTTTTAATAAATAAGGGATACGGATAATGAGTATATAAGATAATAGCAAAAATACCTAGGTAAATATTGTTAGTCAAGACTGAAAATTATCATAGTTCACATACTTAAAAATACTATACATAAAAGTATTTGAATAATATTATCACCAAATAATGATATTAGAACCAAATACTATTTATGAAATATTGGTAGCAAGGATCCTATTAAAACTCATATTATCGTTTTAATCAGCTCAAATAAATTATGTTTGCTTAAGTGTAGCAGTATTGATTTCATTAAATCGCTGATAATAATATAGAGTGAAAAAAAGTCAATTCTCATAAAAATTAATTTGTTTTTACTTTACAAGATAATTTCACATATCTACATATTTTCAAAAGAATTACTAATTTTACTGGAATTGAATAATTTTCTTAGTATTGATGCTTCGTTAAAAAAATACTGTCATAAATAGGCTTCAAAAATCCAAGATTTGTTTACAATTTTACTGAAAAGCATTTTAATTTATCAATTGCTTCTCATATGGATAATACCTGAATGCAAAATAAGAATGCGCTTTTGAAGTATAAATCTACTATTTTTCTGTAACTCGCATTAATTAATATTAGTTATTATATACTCTTTCTTTTTATATTTAACATAATTACTCGTTGACCTTAGCGATTTTCAACTTTTTAATACATCTCACAGAATCTATAATTTTTCAATTACCTTTAGCCATTGTATAATATTGTTTTTATACTAATATAAAAAAAAATATAATTTCTTAAAATAATAACACTTGCATTAGTAAATAATCTTTCAAAATCATTCATAAATATTTTTATTATTAAAAAAAAGTATTTTACTGTATCAATATGTTTCAATAACTATTTTTTTAAAACATTATAATTAATTTATGAATATATTGATTAAAAGTAATTATAGTTTTATTATTTGCACAAATTAAAATATTAATTCCAAACAGCAACTATTTTAGAATAATATATTCTTTATTTCTAAATTATATCTTTATTAATAAAATTGAAGTCAATTATAAAATTATAATATATGACAACTTATACAATTCATAAAGATGAAGTAATATTTCTCATCTGCCTTACAGTAGCTACAACATGTGCATTACATCCAAAACTACCGCTATAATAGTTTTCAGGTGATAGTCTAAGTAATTGAGACATTTGTTGTAAATTTTCAGATAAAGATAAACCAAGTTCTTCCAGAATATTTCCAAGATAATCTAAAAATATATAATTATTATTTATGATTTTACTTTGTTAAAATAGTAAATGTAATTAAATAAATGAAGAAAACCTTTGAATAAATATTAATCTAAATATAGGTATTATATAAATATATTTTTCTTACCAATATCAGTTGCAAGTTGTTTGCAAGCAGTAGTATTTAATTCACATATACTCCAAGTTTGATCTTGAAACATTTGACAAATTTCTTTTGCTACAATCTCTAATAAAATATTTGTAAAACCAGATTCACAAGGATCTTCACTATATCGTGAGTCTGCTATCTTTAATGCTTTTGTTAAACTTGGATTGTCTTTTAATAAAAATGGTTCCAGATGTTGAGGTAGTGTCATTAAATATTGTCCCACTTGAGTTATATATTCTTGTGGAGCAAAGCTATAGTCAGGTAAATCCAAACTTAAAAAAGATCCTTTATCTAAATTCATTGACCAAGCAGGTGCTTTTTTAATTTGAAGCAATTGTGTAAAAATTGGAGCAAATATAACTTCATACGTTGATCGATGTAGATCTATACAAAGGCTTTGAATAGATTTTAATGTTGAATTCAAAATTGATTTTTCTTCTACAAAAAAATAATAATAGGAATTACATAATAAATTGTATAATTAAAAATATATATTACATTACCTTTTTGAATACTTGTAACAAATTCTTGAAATTCTATCTGTGTAGCTGGTATTAAAAGTAAATTTATATATTGTTCAAAAACACTTTTTGTTGGGTTTTGCAATATAATGTATGAATTTATTACATTAGTAAACAAGTTTTCTTCAAATTGTTCAACAAGTCTAAAAAATTCTCCTATAAAAGTATCTAATATTACGAATGAATTTCATTTGTGTACTTATTATTAAATTAAAAAAAAATTTTGTATTAATTAATTTTTTTATTAATTTTTTAATATATACCTGTAGTTTGCATCATTGTTAAACACATTTGAAATAAATTCCAATCTTCATATTTGACTTTACGTTTATTTAATTGTTTCAATGCTAATTTAAATTGTTTTAAATAATTATTAAAATATATCTGTAATAAAATAGTTAAATTGTTTTATAGTTTTCTTTCAGAAATAAATAAAATTTTTTTTTAAATAATATTAAAATCACATAAATATAAATTATAAATTCTTATTTAATAATTAAATAAATTAATATTGTTAATTATATTACATATCAATTTGTTTATAATTTAAATATAATTTGAAAATTTAAAGTCTATTAATTTTTGCTAAAATCTAAATAGTTTAAATATAAAAATTAAATTCTTGAATTTGATACATAAATAACGTTTTAAATGAAATATTAAAGTTGTTTTGATTATCATTCTTCATTAACTTAAAAACAAAAAAATCTCTATCAATAAATGTTATTATTTTGTATAAAATTTATAATACGGTAAAAGTTTATATAAGAATAAAATTATATATTAAAGTGACATATTTAAAATTTTCAACACATTAATTTGTATTATTTATTTATCAAATAAAATGAAATAATTTTATCAGCTTTACAAATTTGAAAACAAGGAAATATGAAATTTTTTTTAAAATGATTGATTAATTTATATAGTAAATTAAGCTCAAGTTGGAAAGTAAAAGCATTTACATCGAATGTTTTAATCAAATACGGATAACCACATCCGTTAGTAAATATATTGCATCTTGTATTTGCTTCATTAGCATAATCCATGATTTTAGTAAGGCTATGTGATATGGCGTTAATTGTGTCTTTTAGATCTTCATGTACAAATTCAATTCCCTCTAGCTGCTGACATAAATATGAAATCTCGTACATTCCATATTTGGAGATATACGGTACATATGGTATATAAATGATTTGAGCCAATGATAAAACTTTGTCAACTGGGATTCGATCTAGTGATTCTGCTTCCAATATGGCTTTTATGTTCGAGGCAAAGTAATGACTTCTCTGTTTCAGTTCCATAAGAGTCATCAATTTTATAGAATTTGAATGTTGTTTTAATGTTGAATCAATACATTCTACGATACTGGGGTTCAAAGAATGTAGTAAGTCGGCGAATAATTCGACCAGTGTTGTTAACGTGAAATTTGGGAAGACTTGATTACACCATTTTACCTTAAATATATTTGTGAAATAATAATGAATTTCCAGAATTTTTTCCATAAATGATTGGTATAGTTCTTTGATATTTATTATGTTAAATAACTTAACAATAAGGCAAACAAAAATCAATATTTCAAACATTTTAGGTATATAGAAAATATATATGTTCATGAACAAATCCATTTTTAACAGAATCACCGTTGCAATGCATCTTAAAATTCATTAAACATGTGTTCGTAAAAATAATAAAAAATTATTTTAGTAAATTACACACTGCACACTAAATAATATAAATTAATTTATAATTTCTTTAGTTCATTAAATGTGAAAAATAATATAATGAAAGTTTAGTTTTTTCGATTTTATTAGTTTATTTAATTGTTTATAAATTTTAAATTACATATAAAGATTTTTTAATTACCTGATCGTGTAATACAGATACCACTTTATCATAGTAAACTTGTAACCAATATGAAATGTTTTTATCTTGAGCAAATTCAATAATTTTTTTCCATTCTTGAATTAATACAAACTTCTGACAGTTATGATAATATTTAATTACTTCAGTTAAGCGATCCATTTTCAAAAAAATATCTACATAAATTTTTGATTCGTCTATAAAAGTAAAAATATAAAAATATGTATATATATATATTCAAGAACGAAAGCTAATGTTAGGGTTTAATAAAAATATTTAAAAAATATGTATAATGCGATACAGTATTTAAAAAAAATTTAATAACTTATCCATTTATCTAGTACGAAAAAGTAATGATATAATTTTATTAATTATGATTAATTTAAATTTACATTGAAATATTGATTCTACAGTTTTGAAAACATTTATTTGTATATAATTATTGTTCTGAGAAAAGAAATTGAAAATTTCAATTTCAATTGATTTAAAATAATGCAAACGACTTTTTACCTCTGGATAATCACAGAAAAATACACGTTTCTAATAGATATTTCTAATAGTGCTGCTATTGATTTTCATTCAAAAGTTGTTTTTTAATAATGTTTGCAGTATTTTGTCAGCATTTTTCAATGGAGGCATGTATTTTCATGACCAATCAATAGGTTGCGAATAAACACTAATTTAAATTTACCCTACCTAGAAAACATGAATTCTGACATTTATTATAATAGTTATACTTTTCTCAATCCTGCAATTTTCGTAAACGCATATACACACGCATACATGCAATATATATATATATATATATATATATATATATATATATATCAATTCAAATAAATACATAGGTACATAGATATAGAATAAAAAATAATCTACAATTGTTTATAACATTTTTATCTAAAACTAAAAATAAATCAAATCCTTAAATCAATTAATTCAAATAAACATATACTTTCACTGTAGCTTCAATTACTTAATGCTTCATTTTTCTTATTCATTATCTATTACATTAATTCTTCCATTTATTATAATTATATTAACATAAATAACAAAAATAGTAATTAATATCTAACAATTATAAAAATATGAAGTCTAATAAAATTTACGATTATCTCAAGATTATTTAAAATAAAATTCTATAAAAATAAAAATTTATTTTTATTATTCCCGCTGTTAATTTAAAAGGGCAATTATAAAAACACTGATATTTAAAAATTTTAGGACTAATTGTTAAAAATATCTGTCCCTGAAATTTGAGGGCCAATACCAAATTTTCAACATGCTTTACTATGTTAATCAAAATATAAAGACAATGCTGAAGACCCAACATGTTTTGTTTCTTAGTCTAAAGATTGAAGATTTTTTTTTAAATGATTAAAATTATATTATTAAATTATTAATAAGTTTTTTCATTTTTTTCGTATGTCAAGAAAATAAATTTTAATATATAACATTTGTTTTTAAAAATAAACATATTAAGGTTTGAATTTGTAACATTATTTTTATATTAAAATTTAATAGAATTTATAATCTTACAAATTTAACTAGATGATGATATTTCCTTACCCAAACTTCCTGAAGTGAAAGCTTGCATAAGTTTTGGTCTGATCATGATTTCCAGTCGATTTTTCAATTCTTCTAGTTGTGACTTTTTATTCTTAAAATCAGTTGAATCATTTAATGAAGATAATGACTGCTTCATACTATATAACGTTTTCGCTATAGTTTCTTCATTTTCCGATTCAAATACACTATCGATATCATGAATTAATATGGACCAGGTATTATCTTCATTTATGCATGTCGCATTACTTATTGTTTGTGCCTTCAACTTATCTAATTTCATTAATACATAAATTGAAGAAGTATCTTTTTTCACCTAGTTTTTAATATATATAACCATTAAAATTTACTTAAATTAACATTTACTTATAACCATTAAAATATTGAGCTACATCCTAATTTACTAAAGTAATTTTTTTAGATTTTTGTAAATTGTGTTCACACAATACTATTAACAATTGAAAAATCAAAAATAATAATATTTACGTTAAATAATTAGAATCATATAAAAATGCTTAAAAATATATTATTCAATGTTTTCCAATAAATTAAATAAAGCTCAAAGTAATACAAAATGAGGCATGCTAAGATTAATAATTTATATAAAAATCTTTGGACATTAAAAAAATATTGTACGAAAAAAAATTACATTTTCTAATTCCATTCTAACAGTTTGCATTTTATTTTTTAGAGCTTGTGCTTCTTGTTGTAGCAGCTGAGTATCTCGAAGAACTTTTGGCATATTAGATAAGACATTTTGGTTTGTTTCTTCAAGTGATACATGAACTTGTTGGATGTATAATTGCAATTTCATCAAAATTGAAGAAAGATGAGCCTGAAAATATTTAACGATAATGAACAGAATTACTTAATAACTTATTGTATAAATAAATATAAATTCAAATAAATCAAATTGAAAAATAATGTCGAATAAAGAATAAATAATTTTTTGACATTTGTATCAAATTAACTTAGTTATAAAATAATTTACCATTAAATTTAATATTTTAATTAAGATTTAAACTGAATATGAATGTTAAAATTACTATATTTTTTTAAGTACTTTAATTTTATTTTCGTCTTATTAATAATATTAATAGTATTTATATACAATACCCTTAAAAAGCATTTTAATAGATTTTAAATTAAAATTAAATTAATATTTTTATTGAATATTAAGAATAATCTAGATTTACTTCTACCTCTATCTACAATATTATACAAGATTTGATCAATATTTTTATAGTAATTAATTTAGAGTGTGTATTTATTTATAAAGGTTAAATGTTCATAGGGTTTATAAAATCTTAATTTTAATGAAAATAAAAAAAGAGTACGTATATGATGTAATATAATACATTAAACTTTAATCTAACGTAAGGATTTACTTGAAGAAAATACTTAAATATACGTACCTATTTTAATCTAATACATCTAAGAGTTATTTTTGACACTGAAACTCACATTATTATTATCTATCGGAAATACTTACATTTAATTAAGTTATTATTCAATTATATATTGTTGTTGGAAGTATTCTTATAGAAAAAAAAAAAACGGATAGTGCCTATTATTGTGATGAAATCAAAAGATATACTTAAAATCCACTACTCGGTATCGAAAATAAAGATGCTACCAGCACTTGTCATTTTGGTGGAACGGAAGGATAGTCAATACCCGTTATTTTAATAAATGGATAACTGAATATAGTAAAAAGTTATTATTCTCTAATAAGTGGGAGAAAGAAGCGTACGCACCGTATAAGTATGCTCATAGGGAACAATAATAAAATGAAATGAGCACGGACACGCGATTAAGGATCTGTATTAGCGACCTGTACATGATATATGCAAATTTGTATGTAAATACATACGTTTACTTAGACGCAGTTACATTAACGCATAATTTTCATCGTAGGACACCTTCATTACAAAAGTAAACAATTCTTCAAGTTCTATTTTTATTATTCATTTTTATGATAAAGATAATTTTTTAAGTTGAATAATAAACTGTTCGGTATAAAAACTAATATGAACAAAAAAATATGCTAAAAAATAAAAGACTTTCATGATAAGTTAGCATTAGATTAATATTTTACGTTTAAACGCATTATTGGTAAATTTTATTTTTATAAAATTCAGAATATAAACTTTATGTTCAATTATTGTATAAACTCATACCTGATATATTCTAATTCCTCCTCTGAGTCTGATAAAAATTCAATTTTTCTCAATAGTACAAATAATGCCGATTCACTGGGTACAGTAATCAGTACTCTTACAGCGAGAATCAATGAGTTTCAAATTCGAATTATATCCTGTGTTTTGGACACATGATGCGTTGTGTACACATTTTTACTTTCTGATGATAATTTCTCAACATAAAATCATTAAAACAAATTCTTATACAATATTATGCACAGTACGCATAAACATAATTTATGGGTATACACCAAATACTACCGTTAAAGTACAGACTCAAATTTTTTTATTGCAAATTTGAGTTAACGTAATAAGCTACATACATAAAAAATAATTATTATAAGAGTTTCATTTATAAAATCTCTATGAAACCTATATAAAAGATGTAAGAATAAATTTATATTATTTTTTTTATAAGTAGTAAAAATAAAATAAAATACTAATGAAAACCATACTGATATATAATAATACTATGTATTTTTCAGAAAATTTAAAAATATTTGCTAATGGAAAAATTATTATCATTATATAATTATCATAATAATCACTATTATAATTATGATAATATTATAATTATAATTCCTATTGTGATAATTATTAATATTAATATGATAATTAATTACAATATATTAGTTATACATTATTATTTGTATATAATGTTTTTTAAACACAATATTTGATAGAATTAAATTTTATTATTATATGAATAGAAATTATTTTTTATATTGCCTATTCAGAAGTAATTTTAAACATTTCTCTTATTTTCTATTTTTATTACAAAATTATTTTTCTGGTTTAACGAATTATTATAACCTTATTATATGTAAATAGAAAATTCATAAAAGGACAAATAAATCACTATTTGAATAAAATAAAAGTACGTATCAAATTCTAATAAAGAATTCTAATAAAAAATATTGAAAATGTAGTACTATTTTATATGTTATAAAATAAGAAAACGAATTGCTGTAATCTTGTATCTCATTGATTCTATATAAAAATGTAAAGAATATAGTAAATAGATGGATTCATTTATGTAAAACGGGTTTTCTTTTGAATAGCTTTGTATATTAGTAATCAAATATAACATATAAATATAGTAAATAAAAAAAATTCACAATAAAATAAAACAATGACATCACACACATATCGTGATATCATAATTATTAATAACGTTATATGATTATAATTTCAATTTAATTAAATTAGAATGAATGTTAAGATAAATTATTATACTTGGTTTATTGGCTTTATGATCTACATTTAAGACTATGGAATAAAATATATTCCTTAAGATTTGAAATATATCTTCTATTTTTGATAAAAAATTTAATTAAGCACTATTTTTTAAACATATTGAATGAATTAACATGACATTTTTCTATGTATATTAATTTACTTATTTTAAAAATATTTTTAAAAATCATTTATTTTGTATGCATTTGATTAATTTATATATTAAAATAACAAATTATTTATAATTTTCAAGCTAACTGAAAGAGAATATTAAAATAATATAATAGATAAACAATATAATATAATGATAAAAATGGATGAATTTGAATTAAAAAATAATTGAGTATTTTTATCTTTACTTTTGAGTTATGTGGAATTAAAATTATTTAGAAGTCTTGGCTTCTAAAATCATAAATGTACATATGATTAAAATAAATCTATATACGACTCTATTATATTAAACTCATTAATTCTACTTTCAAATGTCAATCAATCTTCGGAATGACCTCTATATTTATTTATAAATTTAGGATTTTTGGTAATTTTTAATATTTACTGAATATTAAAAAAATTGATAATGTCCTTATTAAAAAAAAATCTTTATTAGACTCGGATTGTAATGTGACTAAATTTTATTTCAACATTTTAATTATTTATCTAACAAAAAACAATAAAAATCTCGTTTTATAACCTTGATACGTAAATATATTTTATTCTATTTTATCCTATGGAAGGATTGTAAAATTTATAATTAATGAAATATACAAGTAAATGAACGAATTTTAAAGATACTAATTGCATTAATTACAAAAAATAATTATAATAGAAATGTGTAATTAAAGATATGTGGTTCTACGGAGTAGGAGTAGTGGTGGAAGTGAATTGGAAATGGGAGTGTTGAGGCACATAAATGCGTGACAAAAACTGAAAAATAATCAGTATCGAAAACAAATAACAGTACTCTACAGTACCTGTTACATATGTACCTAAGCATCGTACAGTAGATGAGACTGAGCAAATACATAAAAAGAAGTAAAAAGAAGGAGATAAAATATTACCTTACCTCAATATTCGCACGCGCCTCTTCGGACCTACAGATCTTGTTAATAAAATCGATTGGATCAAAATCATTCTCGTTAAATGTCGATATATCCTGAAAGTTCAAAATTTTAAGGTTATGAAGTTAGTATTTGTGAGACAATTATATTTAAATGCGAACATCATAAACAAATTTCTACACTAGCCCATAATGCTTTACAGCGACGTAAGTTTTCTATGTATTAATAAGTTTATAACATTTGGCAATGAAGAATGTTATGTCACATTAGCATACACACAATATGAATTATTAATATGTTAAACATTTTGGACCTTAAAAGATCAACAATAATTATCTTCTTGAAGGAAACTGTGTCTCACCATTATCTTATTTTATACAATTATTGATAATGGACGTATTTCCTAATCTTTCTTTAATGATCTCGTAAGTTTTAATATTCTATTTCACAGTGTTATTATCTGTCACTCAAAACAGCTTTTGCAGGCGTGACTGAATATATTCGCTCTCAGCGCCTCTAGTTAATTTATGTTGCATATGTGTATATGTATAGAAAAAGAAATTCAAACAAGCGCATACACGAGAGAAAGAAAGAGCTAAGGGGTCTAGCAAAAACCAAGTGGTGGAGGAAGCGAGAGAGTTTTTTGTAGTGCACGAAAGAAAAATAATGAATTAGGTACTGCAATTGTTTTCCGTCTATTGCAAATAAGTGAAATTTGTCTGATTTCTATGTATTATTGGTATTTGAAATGAGTTTTGTATTAATTTTCCTCTATTCATCAAATCTAATAAGAAACACTAAACGAAAGATCAAATTGTAATTTAAAAATTATATCTATAATATAGAATAAATATATATTTAAATCTTAAAGTATTTATATAAATCAAACAACACCAATTAAAATAAAAATATTTAAAATAACGATTACAAAGTTAGGCTATTTTTATTTAAGAATAATTCATTCAAAATAATGTTTGTTAAATCTAAAATTAAAACGACTTATATATAATTGAATATAATATAAATAAATAAAGTTCAATAAATATTCATTAACAAATTCTTAAATGAATTTTAATGTACTTATTAAATTTCTTAATTCAATATTTATGATTACGATTTAAAATTATAAAATATTTTTAAAAATTTTAATTATTTGATGGAATTGTACAAATATTTGTATATTCTCTACAAAACTTATTCAATAAAAATAATATTCTTTATATTATAATGTATAAGTTTACATAAAAAAGAATACAAAATGTTTTACTATAGTTTATTAAATATCATAATGTACAGTTTAAAAATATAAAAGTTAATAACATTGCATTTTTGCAAAAGTATTCCTCATTTTATTCTTTTTTATTTAATCTTTTTTTCTTTATTATTTTCTTATATTTAAAAATATTGTTTTATAAAATATAAATTTCATAAATAATAATATATCTTACGTTAAAAAAAAATTAATTATATTAATGTTACTGAATTATTATTTTTATATATATTATATATATATAATGTTCTAAATATTGATGACTGCTTGAAATCGTTTGAAAAATTGAATATAGTGAAATAAATGAAAGAAAAATGGCAATGTAAATTTATAATATTTTTTACTTTAATAGTAATTTGATATATAAAAGAATAAAACTGTTTTTATAAAAAATTCTTATCAAAATAAATAGTATGAGGGAACTTGTTTCTATTTTTGAAAAAGAATAAATACATACAAAATTGAAATTAATAATATCAACACAATAATAATTTTACAAAAATTAAATTTGTACGCACAAAAATTTATACATGATTTTTAAACGTTTTATCATTCACGACAACATGCTTTCATATTTTTTCTTAAGGACGTTTTAATTTTCGTATATATACATAATAAAAAATTCTGTCGAAAATAAGTAACTCGAGATGCTTTTCTTTCTTTTTTTCTTCGTCTGAGCAATCTAGCCACTTATAAACTGTTTACACATATACATATTGTGTCGTCCTGGGGAAAAAAACTGCAAAGCAGAAAAATAATGTAAATAAGAAATGAAAAATGTATTGTCGTTGTTGTTGCGTTAGCTCGCTTGCATGTGCAAACACTGCACATTTTATCGACCCTCACTCGACTAGTAGTCATCCGCGGCCGTTGCCGCCACCGCTGCGGCCGGGACCAGTTTCTCCTCTTTGCTACTATTTCTTTCTCCCTCTCTCTCGCTTACTCTGTGGCGCGCAAGGGCACAAGACAAATGCTCGGTGCAGCTTAGGTTAGAGTCCCTGAGGACAACGCGAGTCTCGCGCAGGCACTCACTGAGAACATCGCCTGATTATTACGTGTGCATAAAGTAGTTGAGTGCGGTCGGGTTAATAACGTTTCTTCGCTCCATATAGGAGTGACATCCAGAAGATATTCTGTTAATAAGCAACCACTGAAGTTCTCTCGTGCACGGAAAGTTGTGTTGATTGCTCTACATTGATAAATAATAATAAAAAATAGTAGGATAACCATTTTTATCGTAGCTTAAGATATAGTCACATTTCTTTTAGAATAATAATAACTATATGATGTACAAAATAGAATATAAATCAAAATTTAAATGTAGGAATTAAGGATATGTGTTGCTCTGAAAAGTGGTTGATTTAAGCACTCGGTGGGGTAAAAAAGCTTTTACGTTAAAAGCCTCTTAAAACTATTATTGTATTACAGTATTGTACAGAATTTTGATTGAATTTTTAATAAAAGGTTGATTTGTTTAAAAGCTGCTATCAATACGTTAAAGCCAGAGTTACCCTGCTTAGAGGCGGCTTTAGCGTTGGTGTATACAGTTAGCAATCCATTTTACGATAGTCAAAATTTACCACTGCCTTTCGAAAATCATATGTATTGTTTTTTAATATCTTGTTGTAAGTTTTTATTTAATTTAATATTACCACTTTTATGACAATTTTGTATTCATTTGCGTATTATGTGACATATCTTGAATTATGAATAATGATGGTCATTTTTACGCCCGTTTTAGTGTACCCGTTTAGTGTAATATAAATTTAATCGGAAGTGACCATACTTGTAAAGATTTATTTAAATTTTCTATCGATATATACGGACACTCTCTCGAAGGACGCAATTATTCTTCCCTCAAATCTCTTGATATTGGTTCATTTTAAATTTTATACTCCATTTTAAAAGTGCAGCGAAAAATATTTCAGAGACAGAAAAAAGGGATGTTAATGGCGCGATGGTCCAAGGACGTTCTCGAGAAAGTGCTTCAATGTACGTACGTGTTGTACAATTTTTCTTCTTTGTTTTCGTTTGTTTAAATACAAATAAATTTTTTTTAATTATTCTTTTCATTCGTATCGAGCTCTTGTAAAAAGATAGCGTGTATACTTTCACGCATAATTCAGCGCATCTACACCCACGCACATGCGGGCACTCACACATTTGCGCCGTTGTCTATGTATTCGTATTTTCCACGGGTGCATATATCGCATAGAAATTCACGTGCGCGCATATAAACGTACGTACGCTCACGCAAACATACATGTACACATATATACGCAACATTGAAGATGTGACTCGTCCTACTTCTCTGAATAAAACGAAGAGTGGGAGAAGAAAGAAAGGCAATTGGCAACCAGTGCACTTTTACGTACACTTTTATACAAATTCGTTTTATTAATATTTTAAGTTTATATTAACATATTCTACTGTGATACTTCTAAATTATTTCAATTTGTTCACATATCTTCGTGAATTTTCAATTATTTAATATTATCTTGCCTTCTATTTATATGATCTATGGTCTTACACGCATGTGTAAATATATATATATTTATTTAATTATTTTTTTACATTAACAAGCGTTAACGTTGTATTTTTGTGTATGCCCTGATGCATTGACTTGCGCACAACATATAGAGCAAAATGGAGAATCTTTTTCGATTTGTTAAGACGTTGATTAAAGGGCAGGGGGGCTGAATAAAATACTTTTTCTTTCAATTTGAGAGCTATTCAAACAACTGAATGCAAATAATTATTAGTTGCAAAGCTGTTTTAAGATTTTTATGTAATGGTTTTCTGGCAATCTATGCATAAAATATCGAAGGCTAATGGGTGTGTCCATAACAATATTTAGTATATTATATTTTTATTTTTGTATTACTTATCATAATCGAATTTTCGTATATGTTATAATTATATTTATCGACAAATAAAATAAAATTATCTTCATATACGGATTAATTCATAAACAAATTACAATAATTTTGCAACTCTGGTAACTTTTTTTTTTGTAGATTATTGAAACTAATTTAAATAATATTTTACTTGTGTTAACTAATTTAATTAATTATTAAAAAGAAATTAAACATCATTATAAATAAAAATTAAATTACAAATTTTAGAAGTAAGAATTAACTTTTAAAATAATATTATTTAAGTTCAAATAAATAGATGTTTTGTTTTTTAAATAACTTCTAAACAAATTTCTAATAAAAGAAATTTACGTTATACTATAATAAATTTGAACATTCGTTGCTTATTTGTAATATTTGATATCTTGTTGTTCGTCATCCCCTTAAATTTTGTTTATGTTTTATTTATTGTTAATATAATTTTATATGGTATTTAACCATTTAACACGATGATAAGAGAGTGTATTCATACTTGAATTTTAATCGAATTTTAAATAATAAAAATTAAGCATAATAAAATGAGGACCAGGAAATGATCTAATTTTCTAACATTGATATTTCAATTATAATCAAATTATTTGAATAAATTTTATTTTTATTATCTATGAAAATGAAAACGATAAATATTCATAAATAACAAAGTAACAACTTATTGTATCATTTAATATTAATAAATTACACAAATAACATCTTTTTGACATTATTATAAAACTACTAGTATTTAATATATTTCAATTATAAAATTAAATTTTTTTTTATAATTTTGATGTAACAATAGTCTAAATATTTTTTATAACGGTTTATTTGTATGTATGTTGTATAAATCTGATAAAAAGGTACAATAATATATAGATTTTTACTTTAATTTATAAACTATTGCATAACATTTTATTTTTCACTATTCTATATATTTTTATAAATTTATTATAATTTCATTTTTCATAAGTCTCTTATATACAAATTATTATTTAGTATATATGATACTTTATATTATGAAAACTGTAATAAGTAGTATTATATTTAAATATATATGTAACATCAATTTTTATATATTTTTTGTTTAATTCTTTTCCTAATGTATGAAACGAAACATATTTGATATTTTGTCAAATATAAAATATAAATATATATTTGGTATTTATATATTTTTCTTTTCACATATTTAAAATTTTTTTTTAAATTATTTTATTTAATTATTGAAAAACTATTA